AAAATGTAAAACTTGTAAGCCTTTGTCGATAAATGCTAAGTAGGTTCCCGAGATTAGCGCGTTCAAACAAACAAATAAACTCTTCAGTTTTGTAATATTAGTGTAAATGCATTTCAAATCTATCATTCCCTTACGCAAACTTATGAAACAAACTTAGTAGTTATTAGTAGTCATAGTCGGTACTATCAAATATAAACCACATTCGCAGTACACAACCGCACTATAAAATTTATTATACCCTCTTTTCGCGTGTTGATGAGTAATTCAACGCAGCGTTGGCAATTAAAAGTATTCGTGCTCCCAAAACGTCGGTCATTCCCCCCATTCCAGACCATATGGGCTCAGGATCAAGACGATGCATTAATTAGAACGGCCACGTGCATTTGTCACGCATAAAGACCCTATCCCCTTCTATGGCAGACATTTTTGTGTGTCCGGGGAGATTAAGGTTTTTTACATAAAAATTTAGGAACTTCTTTATTACATTTGTTCGTTACTTTACTTACTAAACGTAGTAATTTTATTTTATAAATGTTTAAATTATATAATGCCATAATCTGCATAATTTTAAAAATATGCAATTTGCGTAATAATAAGGTTGCACACATCGATACGCAACAACCGTCGTTGTGATATAAAACATATTTTTAATAATATTGCGCATATTCAATAAAACTTCCTTTACTTGATAATAAATTATAAAGCTTTATGTTTTGAAAGTTAAAACTTGTTAATAAATAATTAAATTCAGCGCATTCATATTTTGTACGACAAAAAGTTGCCACAAATTGAACAAAATTCAAGTCATTAGTCAGTTATTAAACTAAAGAAAAGACGATTAATTTATTATTATTAATAAGTTTAGTAGTCATATTGCGGATACAAAAAGAAACAAAACACTATAAGAAATATTTAATTTAAAAATGTTTAACGTGCAAGACCGGTAAAAAATTATAAAAGAATTTAAAATCCGATTAAGTACGTAGAGTTAAGTTAGTTGGTCTAATCGTAAATCAGCGGGTAGTAGATTCGGTCCCCACCGGTTCTAAAATGTTTCTAATTTATATATTTTTTTTGAATTATGTGAACTTCGTCTGGAAATCTGGATATTATATGGATGGCAGAGATATCGCAATTCCGTGCGGTTCACGACTTCACGTACCACCGTCCACAGATGAAAAAGCCGTGAAGTTTAATCGCGTGTCGGTTTCAGCCTGTGGATTTCTGAATATCCAAATCGAAAATAGGTCAAGAGCACAACCTGTTTACAGATGGCTGTGTTTTCACCCATATAAGTGAAACAGACTTGTCTGACAAAAAAAAATAACGTTAAGCGCGATAGTGGTGCAAATCGTCGTGGTGTCTATAAATAGAATCGATCAGTAAAACGGACACAGAAATATGTCCGCCCTGTGTCCACTGAGATTTCAGTTAGTAAATTAAATCTCTCTCCGAGCAATCGATGTAACCGTTTAAATCTCGATGCATTTATCGAATTAGTGCAGTCCCGCGGTCACATACAAACGGGACACTGGTGTAGTTTTATTGGTAATTTGCTCTTTGAACGCGGAAGCGACCAATTTGCTTTGTTTGTGTTCTTTAAGAATATGGTAACGTTTTGAATTACTTAACAGGGTAAAATATATTAAACAGGTCCCCAGGCCCAACTTCGTACCAGGATTATTTAACTTTTGCATATAGTAAATATCTAATAATATTTACCTCAATAATTATACGATACTAATGTGTTTAATCGGTTTTTATTAATAAAACCTTTTTCTAAGACTTGAATTTCAAGGTGTGATAGGTATTATAGTCATAATTGACTCCTTAAAATGTTTTATGAATTAAATAGTCTATAGTTTACGCGAGTAGTACACATTTAAATAAAACACTTTAACGGTTTAAAACGCGATATATTAGTTAAACCTGTGGTCACCGGAGACTCCCCGTGACCCCGCCGGTTGGAAATGATTTTAAACGTCGGGCCGAAGTTAAAAATCATTTTTAAATAAGTTTAACTAATATATCGCGTTTTAAACCGTTAAAGTGTTTTATTTAAATGTTTTATGAATATTTATACATTTAGTATCTAAACCTAAGTATTGTTATTTAGCGGTTTTTTTGAAAAATTTATAAATTTTTTCTCTGCCATAAGAACCATATCTGTATAAATTATAAATCTGTTTAGTGGTAGTATAGAGTATTTTTCCGGGAAGTGAATCAACATCCACAGTGCTCCTTGCTGCTGTTCTAAACAATTGAGGTACCGTATCCTATGTACACGTAATTACGTTAACGTCGAATTTTTTCAACCTATCGATACATGCACCTCTAGCGTCATTATGTACAAGTGAAAAATGTACATCTTCGTGCTTCAAACTTCTATTAAATATACTAATATATATTATATATCTTTTTCGGTTCTCGTAGGTGGATGGGTGGGATGGAGGATGGATTATGGACTCACTGAATACTTAATATGTACATACCCTATCTCAATGTTAAAGAATATGAAATGTTAAATGCATAACTTTACATTTAGGGCTCTGTAGTACGTATTTAATCTAACCTCAGGCGCAGGCGTATAATTGTCAATGCAGACGATTTTAATTGGTGTTCCTCGAATTACTGTTCCTGTAACAAAGCTGGTGCCTTTAAAATTGTGATTCAGTGTCTTTTTAACAGCCATTTAGATGTATTAATCATAGAATATAGTATTTAAACAAACCACTTTTAACGGTTTAAAACGCGGAATATATTAGTTAACTTATTTACAATTTATTTTAACTACGGCCCGAAGTTTCAATTGCTTTGCCGCAACCGGCACTTTTAAACTGTTGAAAACGTTTTAAATATTTAAATTTGTACTAACCGAGTAAACTACAGACTACATAGAATAATGCAGTTAGTTTTTGCATAAATAAAAAATCTATTTAGAGCCTTACCAAGGCATATTAAAAAAATCTATATGAATTGGCATACCAAACCCTGTTTGATTGGATTACTAGAGACAAGGAATCAGCGATCTACAGTGAACTTACTAAGCTAGCTTTGTAGGTATCCTGTTGACAGCGGCAACAGAGTAAGTATGTATTTCGAACTAGTGCATTTTATTCAACATTTATTACAAGAATGTGCAATGACTAAACAGAAACCTGAAAAGAGCGAATTAATATTACACAAAACGTTAAAGAATATTATCTACAATTACTTCTAAAGATTCAATTCTTCTTTGAGAATATTTACAGAGAAAATCTTGCTAATCATCTATGCGATAGTTATTTTAATATTCTGTACTCCGTTGCTATATTTTATTCGTAGGTATATTTTGGTTAATAAAAACTAATTATCTGTAGTTTTTATATATATTGTGTCTATTTGTCAACAGTTTCTATAATGTATTGAAAAAAATACTAATTGTATTACTTTTGTAATAACATTGTCCTCAAAAACACAATCGCATTGAATCAAGAAGAATAAAGCTAAATCTGGTTCCTAAGTACTAGTGCCGCAGGAGTGCTTTCTTTATCTCCTGCTGCTTAAGTGCTTATCAATAGATTTAGTCATTCTACACCAGAAGACAGGAGAAGAAACGTAAAGAAGAGATAGTAGAAGATTATTTTTAAATAACATGTGACTTTTACTAATGTTAGGGTAAAAACTTACTATGCCATGTACTCGTATTTTTAATACCATATATATTATGTACAAGTAATAAACAAAAACTAAATGTGTCGATTTGGTTCACTTTGTTTCGTGGCTTAGGACAGATTTTATACGTACATATATATTAATTTAATGAGAATTAATTTATTCGAATTTGACAATGTTTAGAGTTCAAATAAAACAATATTTTGTTGTTGAGATAGCTTTTATTTTTATTTCATAGTTTAATATGATGCCATATCTTATTTTTGGCCAAATTAACAAACAATACGATCTTAGTATTTTCCTTATCCTGACATACATATATTATTAATTTAGGTTAAAAAATATATTTGATTTTAATATCGAGTAGGAGCTAAGTTGGGCTTTGTTTGTAATGAAGTCCTACCAACAGAGCACACCCGCCCTAAGAAATAGGCCACTTGCCCTAATAGAAAAATTGCCATCTAGTCATTTACGATGCAATTGCTCCAAACCTTCAGTACAAATCTGTGCACAATAAATAAATTGCAACCACCTATATTCAGATTGAAATGGTAAAATTGCTCGACGTCTATGATATATATCCTGTGGATTTAATGCGGGTGAATTACCAATTTATTGCGGCCCTACTGCATCCTATCATTGTAAAGTGTGATAGATCAAATTATGATGGTTATTCGACCCGTATAGATCACTTAAGTTAATAAAACTCCCCTTGCTATTAAATTTAATAGTCTATGAAAGGGCCTCAAACGGCTCTTCCTGTGTAAACGGAAGACGCCGATTGGCTTAATTGAGCGCTCTATTCACCAATCAGCGGAGAGCTGACGCTACGATGCTTTTCTTGATAATTTGAATTTCGAACGAGAATTGAGACCGCTAGAGCCAGAGTAGCCTAACTGCAGTTTATGACTCGACTGCAGTTTATATTTTTATAGTCAAACATAATTCTTACCCAAATAATAGTACAAATTCATTATCGCCTAAGTTATTTGCGCATTTTCAAAATCAAAATCATGTTTTTGTTATTAGGCCACTCTAGCTATAGTAGCCTCAATTCTTGTTCAATAAAATAATAATTTCACATCGGTTTTTATTTCTATATAAAGACTCGATGGTTAAGCGGTTCAATAAAACAATAAATAACGATATAATTTTATTGTTTACAAGATAAAAAATTCTCAACAATGTCTACATGAAGTAGTATATATTTAGAAAGAAATCTTGTTGATATATATACATTATTCAACACAATAACCAATTAAATTTGACAGTTTGAAATATGTTTTAAATCACATTACGCCATTGACCAATCCAGCCCTTACAATTCAATAAGAATTGTGGAACTTCTAGAACTTCTCAATTTTGGTCTCGAGTGTTCCAATATCTTGTATATAGCTTTGAACAACATCACCAGGTTTCAAGTATTCAGGGGGACTCCTGTACATTCCTACACCCCCCGGGGTGCCAGTGAGTATTATGTCACCTGGTAGAAGCGTCATAACCCTGCAACAATTTATAGGTAAGCATTAGGTGATTAGCATATATATACATAGCTATAATATTAGATATAGCCCCAATAATTATATTTTCTAATTAAGAGGGCCATCAATTTATAAATATTGTTTAGTTTTAAGAAGCTAGGCTAACATTCAACAAGGTTTTTTTTGTAATTCCATTTGTTTTTCAGCGCTTTACTGCAAATCAAGAATAAATAACAATTTAATACTGAGGTATTGTGTGTTTTTATTAACAGGCAGCAATTTTCGTGTGATACAATAATGACTTATATATTTTTACCGATTTAAGAATTATTTCTCAAGTGCACAATTCTTTCACATGCTAAATTGAAAAAAAAATTTGATATTGCAAGTTTTTTAAAGTATTGCAATATTTAAAATTAATTTTAGATAAAAAATCTTTAAAATTGGTTAGAGAGGCAGCCGGAATGCTACGGTTGCCGATTCAAGTCCCGTCCATCAAATTAGATGTTAAATTTATCCCAAAATCATTAAAATTATTGTTAATAACTAATTGTAATTATTGATTTTTTTTAAGTAGGGAGAAGGAGTACTCACGAAGAAAGCCTCTCTATAACATCCTGTATCTTATGGACTAGTTGATCTGTACAGCTGGATTGCTTCAGGACACCATTCACTGAACATTGGATCTTCAATTTCTGGGGATCACTGATCTCGTTGCTGGTTGCTATACACGGTCCGATTGGACAGAATGTGTCCATAGACTAAAAATTATTATATTAAATTAATAATAATATCACAGTAAACCTTCATCAACTATGTATTTATTTATATAATCCTTGTACTCGTAGAATCTCTATTTATGGTTACATAAACAACTTAAAGGGTTATATAAAAATGCTTGGGGTTCGGAAGGCCTGCTCTAACAAGAAAAATGTGTTAAAGTGAAAGAATCATGGCGATAAAAGGAGTGGCGGCGAGTTTCTTGCCAGTTTCTCTCGTCACGCCTGATATTAAATGTAAATTAAGAGTCTAGTTTTTAACTACGTGACGTTCAAAATAGACCTGGTAGACAATACAGTTTTTAGCATTTGTTAATTGAATTTTAATCCAATTCTTACCTTTCCAAGAAGAAATTGCCCGCCGTTTTTAGCCTTCTGCCAGTCCCTAGCGCTAATATCCTGGGCCACGGTGTAACCAAAGATGTAATCGAAAGCGTCTGCAGCCTTGACGTTGCTTGTAGGTTTTCCTATCACCACACACAATTCTACCTCCCAATCCACTTTCTGAAATAATTACTTTTAAAATTTTCATATTGTACACATGACTTAAACTAGAATTACAAATCTAATCAAAAGAGACACGGTAAAGGTTCAAGTCCAGGCCGAGTCGTAATTTAAATCGAAAATCGATTCTTAATTTACATGATTACGTCTTTTAAAAGCTTCTTTCACAGGCTCAAAAAGAATATCGTTTAGAAACAGCACATAAGGTGATGTTTCTTTGTCTTCTATCTAAAAATATTTTTATATATACAAGAACTTCAGTAACGGAATAATTAAGTTTAAATATAGTAAATTTCCCCCTCTTTTCAAGCCGTTTATCTATACTAATATTTAATATTTACAATACTGTCTATAGTTTACGCGAGTATACAATTTAAACGTTTAAAACATTATTAAATTATTTGGAAATGATTTTTAACTTCGGCCCATTGATCTTTGCAAGCTGGTATAGACTATAGTTAATATTTGACAAAGCAATAATGTATCAAAGGAAATAGTTAATATAAAGCTGGAGAGTTGTTTGATTGAACGCGGTAATCTCAAGAAGTACTGGTTCGAATCGATGTTTTATGTTGGATAAACCATTTATCGAGAAAGGTTCTAGATAACATAACATAGCTGCGAATAGGAGCGAGTGTGATGGAGATTTTGAAAAAAAAAAAAAAAAATCCTCTCCCGGCCCCCCCCCCCCTTCAAATAAGCAAATGGAGATGTCTATAATAAAATGACTCCTCTTGGATTTAATTCGAACCTGAGTAGTTCCTAAGATTATCACATTCTCTTCAATACACAACCTTTATAATATTAGTATAGATATAGCTGTGTGCAACAGGCATAAACGATGTGACGTCACCCCGCATAAGCGCAATTATTTCATCTTGCGCCCACCTACGTGAATTACAGAGGCAATTTGTCTCAATGATTGACCCTAATTGTAGACCTCATGGGTCACACGATGCTCTGATTCATTAAATATTTTCGGATTAATACATCTGCTCAAATAGACTGATTGGGTTTACAATTTACAATCACAAGTTTCGATTCCTGTTTTTAAATATTATCATTTAAAATATTGCAATATGCTTTAAAAGACACAGGTACTGTTTAATATAGTATATACTTCGTTTAATATAGTCTGTAGTTAACGCGTTTAACAGTATCGAAAAATATTTATATAACTGATTTTAAATTTGGTTCGATATTTCAGATGCTTTGCATACTTAACCAACATTTTTGTGTTTTAAACCGTTAAGATTTCTTCTTCTACATATAGTGAATAGATTCAACATATGCTATTTACCCAGAGATCATGAAAGTATAGGGTAGTTTACCAATTGAGCTCAAGTGTAAACTATGTAGTTTGTATGTGTAAGATTTGAAGTGCAAATAAAGAGATTTACTTGTTTTCTTAATAATCCATACTCCACCCATCCTTGTACTTATCCTACAGAACCAAATAATTAAAAATGATATGCAGCCACTAGTTCAGAAATAAAACTTACAATTCACAATTCTCTATGATCATCAAATCAAATAAACTTTTGGACTGACTTTTGGACCTTTAGAGTGGTGTGTAATAAAAACAAACTTAAAATGCTAATTTAAAAAATGTTTTGGTAGGATTAAATCTACTATAATCAAATTTATTACTACTATGATCAAATTTACTATATTATCTTTAATATTTTGTATATACTTGTAGGCTTATTTAAAGTTTCCAATTAAAAAAATCTAATTATAGTGAAACTATATGCTATATTCTATCTATGGATAAATAAGGTTGATTTGCATAGCATCAACAAGCGTGTTAGCATTGCAATGCTAAAACAAATTGTTGTAAATTTAATAGGTTTATGAAACTCAACTAAATACATTCCCGTTAAACCTAATGAAAGCTAGTAAAACTGAGAGTACAGATTGCTATATATTGAGTAAGACTTTATTATCATCATGAAATCCTAAGGCTTAGCTAATTAAAACTATATAACTTGGAATTGCTATTCACTGAGAAATCATGTCAAAACGTATGTAATATTTAAGTTCTTACATCAGTAACAGCTGTCCGTAATTTCACAGCATCCGATGGGCCAACAACAGTACTGGCAAATTTGCTGAATATCATTGGAACTTCAGGTGGAGTCAGGTTTTGTTCCTCACAATGGTCCTTGTAATTCAGTCCTATACATAGTACTTTGTCCATGCCAGTAATGGGTGCTTTCAAGTCAATGGCAGACATTGATTCTGTTGCAGGTTTTGATACACACCCACAGAATCTGAAATATTAAAATCTATCTATAATATGTATGCACAAATATAAGATATAATGTAATTTTTATAAAAAGCAAATACTCAAATAAATATATATTATCTAGAAACCATTTCTGCAGTATTCTACGGAATAACTACTGTTTAACAAGATAAGTTCCAAAACACCTTTTGACAGAAATATCTCCTAACAAGTAGGATTACTAATGTCAAGATAATAAAATTATTCTCTCCTTTTTGTCCTCTTAAGGTTTTTATAGTTAGTCAGTTTTTAGTCAGTAGTTTATAGTATTATATTATAAGTCAACTGGAACTATTTACTGTTCTAATTTCGTTATAATAAGCAATTTTCAGGTTACTACATTAGGTAAACATTAGAATCATACCAACCCAAAAATTTTCTCCATCTGTTCATTTCGTAAAATCTCCAGTAAAGTTGTAGGCAATTCTGGCAGAGCCTTATTCAAGTCGATCACTTTATCATCATCCAAATATCCAACACGAATTTCATTTGGTTTATTTTTGTACGTAAATTGAACAAACTTCATATTTGCAACAGTTCCCGCCGAAAAATTTCGTATTCCGAATGTATTTGTCGATGTCGTGGAAATGACAGAATTTAAAGAAATTTGCGGTTTTATAATAAACCTTATCGCTCGACAAGCACTCCACGCACTGTAATTCATGGCCATAGTTATTGAGAGGCGTGCGTCACTTATTTAAGATTCACAAATAGAAGTAATTTAATACGAATAATATTCATATTATTATGTGCCACAAAAACAACACTTTGAAAACATTATATAACGCACCCGGCATAATGACAATTGACATAATGTGACACTGACACATTAAAAGTAACACCGACTCAATACACCTGCACTAGCCACCCTTTGTAGGAACAAGTTAAATAATTCAATTATGTAGTATTCTATGAATTTAGTTTAAATGAACGTCTTAAACTTAAAATAAGATACTCATTTTAAATATATGCTTATTTTTTTGCAACGCAACAACCAATTATATGTTGATGTAACAAAAACAGGTGAATTTATAAATTAAAGATATAATTATTCAAGAAACAAAAAGTTTATGGTATTTCTGACAGCCAACTACTAAAAGAACTTAATTTATACAAAACTTATTAATGATTCATTGGTTTTTTACGAGTAATGTAAAATTCTTCTCTTGTGTGATAAGGAGCATATGGATCTTCTACATAATATTTAGGTTTCTTCCAGAATTTGGTTACCATTTTATCTAGCAGCGTTGATTGTGTTGAATTACAGAATACGTGTTGTCTCAAGCGTCTTCGTTGTGGCTGTGATTTCTTCCAAATTTTTTTGTGTCTCCCAACTTTTGTCCTTATCCAACCACCCCAGTGCAATCTAAAGAACCTATCTATGACGGCCTTCACAGTTTTCCTTTTACCTTTTTTACTAAATTTTGTCACACTCCGAATAGGCAGAGCTTCTATTTTATTACATATATCCAGTATTTGTGTACTTTGTACTAAAGGTGTTTGCGCTATACCAATATTGTAAATGCTACAGCGGTTGTTGACAACGGTAGAGTGATTCTTGCTCACATTTGCAATAGTCTTACACACATTATAATATGGTGTTAAAACTTGTCGAAGACCACGAACAACTGAAAATATACATAACCTATTATGAACACATACTCAATATACACGAAACAACGCAAAAAATGGTATATTGTATTTACTTGGAAGAGAGCAGCGAAACATTTCGACTGCGCGTTGTTTTTTATGAAAGATTAAGATATTGTGGCATCTATTTAAAATAAATATTGTAGAAACAAATTGTGGATTGCAGAGTGCAGCTGTCAAATACTATCAAAATGAATGAGCAATATGTGATATGTCACATTCCGCGTGATAAAAAAATAACTTCATTTAAAGATCTAATTTCTTTTGAACTTATTTTACTTTAAAATATTTATTTTATTTTAGAATCATCAGAAGTTATTTTAGAAATGTCTCTGTTATAATTACTAAAGTGATTTTTTCCTAATGTAAGTAAAAATAGTATCTATAAACTTGTCTACTTAGCGACTGTAGTCTGGATTATTGATTTTTTTCTCTTTGACTCTATGGTTTTGACTTTTGACAGGCGACAGCCCGAGTGAAAAAAAAATCATTGCCGAAAATGTACAGATTTACAAACCAAATAACAAATCCAAGCTTAGTTTTGGTAAGTTAGAATATCAAAACTAATATAAATAACCTAAAATAAATAATTGCTTCTATACTTCGTCTAATTTTTCTTATGATATTGACGAATTGTAATTGTCTTGTAATTCTTCTTTCATTAAAAAAAGCCCTACTTTCCTCCTATATTTTAATGTAATATAGCTTAAATCTTTAATTATAACATGTAATGTAACGATAAAATATTATTTATTGAGTTTGTTATTGTTGTAATTACATAACAACAACCATAGATCATTACAAAATATAACCTTAAACTTCGTAATTACTTCCATCAATTAACAGCTGACAGAATCTTCATAAGGCATATATACTTTTGTTGTTGTTTTTCATGTTTTATGAGTGTTTGTATGAAAGCGACGTAAAAGTTATTATCAAACACATTGCACGTAAATTTAATTAGTTGCTTTACTGTATTAGTATTATATTTTAGGTCCGAAAACAAATTGGCGATGGGTCATGTTCAGCCCTCATAGTGATGCGAGCACCTCAACAGAGGCACGCTTCAGACAAACATTCAGCCCCTGTGCGACCAAAATCTCGGAAACTACTATGGGGGACACTCGGAGCAACACTACTAACTGGCACAGCTGTTGTATATGCGAAGTATATTCTTTCAGTTACATATATAACATCTCTTTATACTAACTTAGGTGGATCTAACCTAACTCTTAATTAAAACTATAGAGAACAAAATGTTTAATGCACTACTTGTATTTTAAGTGTACTCATTCTTAAAAAAATTGGAGTTATGTTTTATAAGTTATAATCAATTTTCCATGCGTGTAAATATACTTTGTAAAAAAACAATAATACTTTAAAGTGTGTGTTGATAAAGTTATGAAGGCAATATATTTATGTAAGCATAATTAACTTTTTACCTTACAGACACAGCCCAGAAGCCAGGAATTGGTTAGAGTCAAATGCCCCCTGGGCTAATAACTTTGTAGCCCTTGTATATCAAGAAAACACATCTTATTGGAAATTTTCACTTAACCAGTTCAACAAAGTCACTACCAGTATTGGCAACTTCATGTTTGGAAAGGTATATGCACCATACTTGTTGTTCCATATCCAAACCACAAAGTATTAAAAATTATTACAATCACTTTTCAAAAGGGTCATTTAAAAAGAAAATGTATTATGTAAAATTCTTGAAAGATTAATAAATGTATGACATACTTTATTCATATGCTACCAAATATATCTTATAAAAGTTAACAATTAATATTTTACATAGGAAGGTGTATCACCAATGGAATTTCAACAACGCTCTGAACAAGACATCGAAAAGGATGCAGCGAGAGATTTTGCTAAGACGACATATGAACGTAAGTTAATTATTTATTAGAGAAAAAGTTAATTCTATATTGGTTTTGTACCTATTTTAATATATTATTAACAAACAGAAGAACTTCAATATCATTATATTAACACATAAAAAATGTATGTGATTTATTGGATTTTCAAAAATGAGAGTAATCTTCTGGTAACATTAATTAAGCTTCTTAAATTCTTAAGCAAGCTGTTTTAATAATAACTTAATATTCGATACAGCATCACTAATTATCATACATCACTCTAACAGTACCACCAACGAAGTTTGAACCATTGTATGTTGAAGTGAAACCATTAGAAACACCTGAAATCGAAACACCAGGTGAGACAACATGATGAATGATGTTTTATATAATATAATAATATATTCTGGTATTTTAGTTTTATTTAAAGGGAGACCTTTTTTTGAAATGGAGTGTAATGATTTATATTTCTATAAAAAGTTTTATTGTCATAAAAGCGTCTACAATGTAGTTTGTCTAGTTTGATTCTATATATCTTTTTTTTACTTTTAGCGACTCTTGTCCAAACGGAAGCGTGTGAGCCACACGAAGCTCCTCCCATAAAAATTACTAAAGATATGGTGGAGCTCGAGCATGATATGCACGAGAATACAAAAGCTGCAATAGACAATTACAAGAAGGCAACGAAGTTCTGCTCGGAATACAATAAGGCTTTATACAGGGTGAGTTTTTAAATCTTTTAATCAACAGTGTTTACTCTCTGTTATGATACATTGTCTTATCTACAATAAAATATATATTAAACAATATTTTTTGTAGATAGTAGAATCACCATTGGATGATTTAGACAAGAAACATTTTACGAGCTTGCAGGGCGCTTTGAATGAGCGCAACACCACAGTTGCTAAAGCTAAGGAGACATCTGCAAAGGCCAAATGTGCTATTGGTAATATACTAAATGGATTAAAATACTTGTGATATCAAATAAGGTTTATAATTGTACACAAGTTAAGATTGCCTATGTTCTCATCGTTATAGTTAAGAATGAGACACCTGTATAGAAAATAGCTACTGAGAATAACAAACTATAAGTATTGTTAAGGAAATTACATTTCAAACAAATAAAAATCAGAATTACATTTATATTATTTACATAGAGATGGGTCGACTCTAACATAACTTTTGATACGTCATTTATTTTTTACGTCCTTTTATTGATATATCTTCAATTTTTTTGCGAGTGTTATATCACATGTTTGTCCCCAGAGACACTTGACCGCATGATCAAGGCAGGAGTGCAGGCTCCCCCTGAGTCGATAGCAGCCACACAGCGCTACATTAAACAGTTCCGTGCGGATCTCACCGAAGCTGAGAATGAGTACAAGGAATGCAAGGAAAAGGCGGTGCTAAGTGACAAATATTGGAATAAGGTTGAGAAAGTGGAAATTTTATAACTATTGCTCCAACGAAGTATGTTTATAAAATTTCATAATCTAATGGTTATAGGTAGAGGCAGCCCGTAAAGCCTACAAGGACGAGCTCCAAATGCTGTTTCCGGGAGTCGATCTTGCTGCCCGAAAACTCGAAGTTAAAGGCGACACAGACCTACTACTTCTCTACACGTTGAAACAGGTAGATTAAAAAATGCAATTAATTTTAATAGCTGTATTCAGCTTAAAAGTAAAACCGGAATTCAGTTAACCTCCTTCGGGTATGGGACCAACACATTTCTGCGTCTGTTTTACTGATCGGTTTTTTATAGGTAAGCCCGTGCCTTGCCCGGCCGAAACAATCCATTGTTTTTCCCGGGATCCAAACCGATAACCAATCGTGCACCAATTCTAATAAGACGTTTAACCATTTAGTTACAAGGCGGTTAAAGTGATATAAACATTTTAAAACTTATTTTATATATTATTTCTCGGTGTTTATGGGTAAAATTAAATATTAAGTCATATAAGATGTATGTGGCTTTGTTGTAAAATAGGTACAGTAGGGCCTCGTTATCCGGCGACGCAAATCGGAGCCCTTTTTGGATTATCGAGGTGTTTGGATTATAGTATGCCACTTTCAATGTTAATAAAACACATGCTTAACCTTAGTTTCTTTAATCATATTTTACATTACAAATCTTTTTAGTTTAGTATTTTTTTTACTAAATATTTATTTTTTGTTTCCAGGTTCAATACCTACAGAACGAAATAGCAGAGTTACAGACTACTAGAGACTTGAAGATTAAGCGTGCGATTGAATGTAAGTATTGTTCTTGCTTTGTTATTTATTCCTAATAGGACCTTAAAATAACATATAATGTGTTTTAAGGTCACGATGAAAAAGCCATTATTGAGGCGAAGGTAGAAGACATGATCAAACGCGAACAACTTGAGAAAGAGAAAGAGTTCCAAAAGAAGGTATTTGTATTATTTTATCATCAGCACCCGCAATAATAAAACAAATTACTTTAACGATTATACTCCTAATAATGCATAATTATGTAAAAAAATAATTATTCTATTTATTATAGAGTCTTGCTGTGCAAGCGGAGGCAAACAGGAAACTAAAGGAACAGCTCAAGAAACAGTTTGAAATACAACAAGAAGTCTTGCAAGATCAACTGGCAAGGAAAGAGAAGGAGGTTATAATCAGAATTATATTTTTTAATCATAAACTAAACAATGATTTGCCTGGATATTAATGGATGACATACCTCCTCATATTGTCATGCCTTATAAAAAATTACCATGAATTTGTGATAATTGATAGTACAAACATAACTCAAACCTCTATAATTCATACTTGGTATTTTTCATAGCAAATAATGAGGTGGGATGACTGATGAGTCAAAAATAATGTGTCACATGTCATTGATCCACCAATAAAATAATATGAGATATTATTTAAAAAAAAGATCCGACGATTCTGGTGCTGTCTACACGAAAATTGAATTAAATAAGTGAACATAGCTGAAAGTTTTATTTCTTCAGGTGATGGGTAAATTCAGTCGTTCTGTATCGGAGCAAGTCGAGAAGGAGCGGGTCGTATTCAAACGCGAACTAGCAACAATGGCTGGCAAATTGATGGCTATCGAACAAACTTTGAAGCGTAAGTCCTCTATAAAAATATACCTGAATATGTTAAGCTCTTAGACGTATAATAATGTATCAGCAGTACAAACTTTTAACAAAGATATCCCAAATAAGGGTATAATGATAAAATTTTAAAATGTATTTCAGAAAGAGCTAAAGCGGAAACGGAAGCTCGTCGGTCTCAGTCGCTATGGGCGGCGGCGGAAGCGCTACACGCGGCAACGCGGCGTGCCACGCCCCACGCTGTTTTGACGCATGAGATAACTGCGCTGGAGAAGGCGGGTACGGCAGAATTGCTTTGTAGTATTAAAAAATTTATAATGGTCACTCTGTCTAGCTGGAAGCACAATATAATCATAAAAAAAAATAGAAAAAGGTTCCTTTATAGATATTCACTCGTTGAAGATAAACTAAATTAGTAAAAAATGTTAAGTTATTGAATAATTTTTTTTCTCTAATACATGCAAAATATAATTTCTACCTTCTACAACAATACTATGTTTTTTTACAGGTAAAGACGACAAACTGGTACAAACCGTCCTAAAAGGAATTCCTCAGGAGGTGAGAGAAAAAGGAATTGTCACCGAAAAGGCGCTGAGGGATAGATTTGATACGGTATTAATATTTTTTTAAAGTTTGTATAGTGGTAATAAGAGTTAGTACTGAAACTGCTTCTTCCAAATCCGGTTTGGGCTAATGTTTTTTATTATCTTAATTTAAAGAAGTCATTTTTTCCAGTTGGAGAAGTCGGCTGTAAAGGTGGCTCTGGTTGGCCGTGAAGGTGCTGGGTTGCCAGTTTACTTCCTTTCCTGGTTGCAATCAAAGTTGCTCTTCCAGAAGGTACTTAAATGTTTTTTTTTCTTGTGGTAACGTGGGTGCAAGGGGGGCATTTATACTACATTCCATGACGTCACAAATATAATGTAACGTACTAAGTTTTGTTTATTTATAACGCCTAACAAATGTAAAAAGCCTACTATGTTTGCAATTAACTATTTTAATATTTCAGTTTGCTGAAATACCCAAGGATGAGCTAGACAATCTCCCTACAGATTTCAGTAAATTGGACACTTTCGACATTATTCAAAGGGCGAGGTAAGGATAATTGAATACAAAATTATACGCTTAGAAATTACAGATTACGTCAACTGTACGCCGTACTGACAAATACTTTCTTTATTCAAATCTAACTTATAGGAAGGCGGTAAACTATAGCGTTAAATATTATTGTTTTACAACAAAATTTCCGTTAATAATCTTTATAACAACAACGATCCCATAAAACCGGGAAGTTAAAGTCGGTAATTTACTGTTTACTCGGTACGAAATCGAATACGAGAAAACAGTAAAGTTTCAGTCAGATAGGGAATTGAAGTCTTATAATCTACTTAATGCAGATAAGTAGACTATAAGACTTCATTTGAAATCAGACAGACTTAGAAATGTGTCTGACATTTTTTTTGTAATATGGATGTTCGTTTTAGGTATCACATGGACCATGGTGATCTACCGTCGGCTTTACGATACGTAAATCTCTTGCAAGGAGCACCCCGAGCTGTAGCCAAGCCTTGGCTCGATTCCGCCCGCCGCCATCTTGAAATTAAACAAGCAGCCGAAGCCGTAATGGCGCACGCTTCCGTATCCGGTCTATTGTACTTGTAGTGTTGCTATGTAAAAAAAGAGAACAACAATAATGACCATTCACGTTGGTCACAAGGTATTGTAGTTGCAAGGTGAATCTAATTATGTCAGTAATTAAATTGTAACTGAATTAAATTAAATCCGATGTTGGTTCTGTTAAATTTTTAGTTGTGTTATGGTCACCCCTGGTTTTAATGGCACGTGTTGCCAGTTAAATTAAATTTAAATGTCGCGGAAAATTAAAAACTACATACATGACGTTGATGTCAAGTGTGAGCTTTCAAGTACAGTATCTCCTTTTTTGTGACAGAGAGTACAATTAAAATCATGAAGGATGCACCTCAATTATGCTTTGTATTAGAGGTTTTTTCATAAATAGTCACCAATAAATCTAAATTAAAAAAAAAAATCAATAAACAAACGAAACTTATATGTGCCCCTGTTTGTGAGGTCTTTGACTATAAAATAAATTGAACATTTGATTTCGAATTGCTTGCAATTAAATTATTTTTGAGAATTGCTTTAAATTTAAAACGATTCGTTTCAAACCAATATTATTTTCGTTTTTTTTTAGAAAACTTTATTTTATAAACTTTGTGTTGTAGAGGTTGTATTTGTTTTATGAAATCAGTTATTCACATTTTCAGTTTATAATATAAAGTCAGATCCCTAAAAGTAGAAAAATATCGAGATATCTTTATTAAGTAAGAAAAAACATAGCAAATCACATTGATGTGCATTTAAAAAGTTGACATAACCTCTATCATAGATGATTACTGAAACATTAAAGGAGTGACTTTTTGTTATGTAGTAACTTAATATGTAAATATGGTATGTATGTAATTTAAAATTAAAGTATGAGTTCAAATTTATGTGGTTTTTATTTAACAAAGAAACAACCTAGTCAAAATTACGCCATAATAACATGTGAAAACTTTAAAATTAAAAAATCGATTATTAATTGAAAAAAAAAATACGTCTCGGGCAATACGCAAGTGTTATTTAGGTTACATTGCGCGAGAGGTGCATGTATCATGATGACGTGTAGGACTCTGAAGCTCAATTGGTTAGAGCAACAGCACGGAACCGATGCCGGTTCAAGTCCTGCCCGAGTCGTAAATTTGTTCAACTTATAATCGATTTTTAATTGCCACATTTCATAAGCTATAAATTGAATAAGATAGGGAATAAATCTCTTTGGATGCTGCATTAGAACTATAATTTGCTCCAAACTTCAAAGGTGCATCACTCATACGGTGTGAATTTAAAGTGCGAGAAATCACGAGTTAAAATTCGTGGACGAATAAAATCATTTAGTCGATACAAGTTGTATAATCGCAATGAGATATGTTGCGGCACAACCGAGAATCTGCAAACAGAATTATAAAAAAAAAGTTATTAAGGAAAATGACTCGTAATTATTATCTAATATGAATATTATCGTCTTTACCGTCGCAATAAGATCTCTATTTAGAGTGCACACGCTCAACGGCGAAAACGTTGTGTTGTTAAGCTGTGTTGTTCGGAAGAAAAGGTCCAATTCATTTCTTATCTCGTACATATCGTGGAATTTACGTTTCAGCTTTGTTAATAGCTCTTGAGTTTCGGACATCTGTCGTATATAAGAAATTTGAATCAGACGTATAAAATACATTAAAATGTATTATTCAGAGTTAAAATCCATGAAAACATTTACCAGGTAAGGAGTTCAATGTCAACTTTCTTTTGATTTAAATTGACTATGCTGTGCTAATGGATCTCACGAGTCATTTAATGGGTACATAACTATAGTTTAATAATTACTAAGGGAATTTGATGATTAAATAAAACACTTTAACGGTTTAAAACGCGATATATTAGTTAAACTTATTTGAAAATGATTTTTAACTTCAGCCCGACGTTTCGGATGCTTTGCAGCAGCCGTGGTCACGGGGTGACCATGTGACCACGGCTGCCTAAAGTGTTTTATTTAAATGTGTACTACTCGCGTGAACTATAGACAGTATCTAATTAATAAGAGTTTTATCTCGAATTCCGCTGAAGCGTCTGCAATAAACCCAAGCGTAAGAACCGATGGGGTATTTGATATTTGACGTTTATAAACATAACGGTGCAAGGATCTATAACCAAATATTTAAAAAATAACGTCCTGCATACTGTCGGGGACATTTTTTTAGCTTATACTAAAAGAATGCTTCATAAATATTTTTTGTGTATTTAGAATCTTTTATGCGTGCACACAACAAAAACCCTAATAGATGAATACTCTTCCAACATTTCGCTCTGTTAGCATAGCCTTTTTCAATCAATAGTCTAACGAATAATTATTTAATGCGAACCGTATAGCGCGTTCAAACAACAACAGCTTTGTAATATTAATATATAGGTAGATAATGGCACTTGAAATGCTTACCGCGCTGCTGATCCGGTGTGGAACCTCGCACAAACATATTATCCTCATGCTTATTATCACAAACCAGTATATTTTTCTAGCTACTCCCAAAGCTACATTATATTGTTGCTCTGAAAAAAAAACCTAGTGTTTACTTAAATATCGATTGTAAATTTAAAACAAAACACAGCGTCCCGTGTAATTGATGCTCTAACCTAGCTAACGGTCCTAATAGTAAGTTAATTGTACAGAGCAACAGCACAGAACGCTGTGGACGCCGTTTCAAGTCACGCCCGAGTCGGCAAAAAGGCAATTTATTCTCGATTTTTAATTTATTTAGTGCCATCATGTACATGTGAAAAATATATGAGTTTTCAAACTCAAACTCAAATAAGTTAGGACTTTCTATTGAAAACGTATCACTACAATATTTACCCCCTTTGCCGAACTCGTTGACTAAAATGTAAATCGTGCTCATCAAATGCATTACGATCCACAAAAGATCTATAACAATCCTGATTTCAAAAGTGTCTGTTACTATGGTTACTGCGTCCGCTGTTAATGTGTAAGATACTGTGAGCTCACGTATTTTATTTGGGATATCGGAATCCGAGGGTGCTGAAAAGATAGGTTATTTAAAATTGGCGTTCCGTGGTTGTTATTTCAGTCAAGCGCGTATATATATGGGGACAGTTGCGAAGTATGTCCCCCTCCCCGAAATCTGATTGAAAAAAATAGCAATCTGTCTGTAGTTTACGCGAGTAGCACTTTTAATAAAACACTAACGGTTTAAAACGCGATATATATTAGTTAACTTATTTGAAAATTATTTTTATCTGTCTCGATGTATCGGATGCTTTGCATCAGCCGTGGTCACGGGGAGACTCAAATAAGTTTAACTAATATATATCGCGTTTTAAACCGCTAAAGTGTTTTATTTATTTTTAGCAATCTGCTCATTTCTTCGCTTTCAAAAAGTCTTCTATTTATTTCACAACGATGCAATGCTGGGGAGTATCCAAGGAAATTATGGAATAGATCAGACCAGAAAGTAAGAAAAAGACTTGTATATACCCCTAACACATGTACGTAAACAATAGGTACCTCTGTTCATTTGTGTGTCCGTCAAGAAATTGTTACGTAGTACATTCGGCCGAATGATCTTATCAATACTGGTAATTTCTGTTTATATAAAATTAAATAATAATTATTATATTTTTATTTAATGATATGGAAGAGCTGGAAAACCTGGCAGGTTATTATTTACTTAAAAGGGTATCCAGAGAGAAAACAGATTAATGTAATTGTTTCCTGAATTAATATTTTTTTATTATTATTAATTATAAATCCATGTGTATACTAAACATACTGAATCCTATTTTCAGTAACTGAGCGAACGTGCGGGCTGAAGACTTTCGTAAATTGCTGAAAATTTAAACTTATTTGTAATATTTTTTATCTTTGTATTAAATATTTTACGCGAATAGTACACATTTAAATAAAACACTTTAACGGTTTAAAACGCGATATATTAGATAAACCTATTTGAAAATGATTTTTAACACCGGCCCGACGTTTCGGATGCTTCGCAGCAACCGTGGTCACGGAGAGACGGAGAGAAACGTCGGGCCGACGTTAAAAATTATTTTCAAATAAGTTTAACTAATATATCGCGTTCTAAACCGTTAAAGTGTTTTATTTAAAAGAATTGTTACTATTAAATGCCGCTTGCTTTTTTAGGAAAATTTAAACTATCAAATAAGTACCTAAAAATACTCATATAATTTAATAGAACAAGAAAGTGTACGTTGCACTTCTTTGTTATGAGATACTAGCTGTGCAAGCGACTTCGTCCGCATAGAATAGTTTTTTTGGGCATCAAAATTTGTTGTAAATAACAAACAAAAAACTAAAATAAATTGAAAAAAACTTCGACTCGGGCAGGACTTGAACCGGCATCGTACTGTTGCTGCTTTATTTTCGATTTTTAAATTATTTAGTGCCTTCTTGTGCATGCATGTGCATGTGCATAATAACATGTAAAAAAATATATTATTGTTTTCAAACAAACAAACTCCTCAGCTTTATAATATTAGTATAGATTAAACAAGTTACTAACCCGTCTTCTCTCTCAATAATGTTTGAAGTCCGTGGTTCATTTTCACAGTCGCTGAATGTATACGTTTCGTTAAAAAGAGAAAAAGCAAAGAATTGCAATTTATGAGAATTAAAGACGTCATGAAAAGAGCCAGTACACAGAACGAGTGTCCTGAAAAAGTTTTTATATGTATCGCAATAATTTATTATTTAGCTGATAGCTCTAATCGTAATATCGCCTAGTAAATATCACGTAGCAAGCAACAGGTCTTGTGTTCGAATCCTGGGCAAACAATATATTGTTTCGGTCGGGTAGGGCACAGAAGTCTGACTAACTACTCGCCTGTAAAAAACCGATTTGAAAACGGACACAAAAATGTGTTCGCCTCATGCACAAAGGTTGTCACACTGCTAAGTCTTAGATATATAGTTAAATTAAATTTCTTACCAATCGCGTTTAAGTCCTGCAGTGAGTTATAAACGAAATTTTCAAATACAACAGCTAATATCGAGAAGAGGTAGACAAGCATGAATTTAGTATGTAACGATTCTTTCTTCTCTGTATCTTTATTTCTTTCGGACAACTATGTGCAAAAAATTATTGTTATATTATTTTTAAGATCCATAATAATTAAAAAGTATATTGGGAGCCATTGTATTTATACGAAAACCACTTTTGCATAAAAATAGTTTAATTATTTCTATCCATGACTGTTGTAGCCCATTAGTGTTACCCGCCTTAAGCAGAAAAAGTCCTGGGTTTGAATTCCAGAGAACTAATAAATTATTGTTAAAGTCGTAATCGTTCTCTAATGTCTACACTGTATATACAATCGCTCAGTGAAAAGGACCCAAAAACTATTGTCCTGTGTTCGTTTTATTTCCTAAATAGGAAAACGTTTTTTATTTATTAAAGAGACTTAAAACATGGGTATAATTATGGGTATGTTTATCAAATCTACCTTAGCTCTTATGAAGTGTAAATTCTTACCGATTCCAAATTTTTCAGGCAAATTAACCAGGCGGTACCCCGTCTAGATGCAGTCAAAATGTCAAAGTTAATTTCCACTACAAAAATGCTGAAGTTCACAATATTCATTAAGATCAAATTAAATGAGCCTTCGAGTGAGATTGTCTTGTAAAAAAGGAACAGCAACAAACCATCTGTGAAAGTGCGAATAATAAAATTTAAGAAAGAAGAGTCTTATCTTCTTACTTCATTGTTAGCTTATTTCAAAGTCAAATCTGATACGGTAGCGCCATCTTTGTCGTTAAAATTTGCCGCAAAGCATCCGAAACGTCGGGACATAGTTAAACTAGACTAAAAATAAGTGGACTATATTCTGCGTTTTAAACCATTAAAAGTGTTCGATTTACATGTGTTTACCCTCTTAAACAGACAATACTTAGCAATATTTAACTCATTAACCAATAGTATTCGGTTCCATCGGGCTTAACGTGTTTAAAAATTACTTTGCGACTTTTCTAAACATATAAGTTACACCTAGAAAATCCGGACATAAAATTTGGTCACGTGGAATGGACACGGACAAATGGAATAGCAGTGAAGTGTAAATTCGCGTTTCCTTCCGCCAAATGAACTTACTCGTCTGTCCTCAAAAGTATATAAGTATTTTACGAAAACAAAAATTAAATTAATTCTTACTCAAAAGCGGCCACACGAAGAATAGTCCATATATCTGCAACCATTTCGATAATTTCGGGCTGGGTGTCGTGACGAACGGAAACCCCCCCACACATCTTAATATTAGTGCGGTTGACTTAAATGCACCATAAAACCCTTCAGAGGTATCAGAAGCAGCCATTCCTAAAGCTTAAAATTGAAGTAAAAAATTAATATACATACATAATTTGAATCATTGTAGATTATATTTAAAGATGAAAGCATGAGATGTCAGTTAAATACAATCTAATGGTAAGCAATGATGACTACGGCGTTTATCGGGCAATCACACACCTTAGACCAAGACCGCTTATAATGGCGGATCGTGGATCTAGGTGGGGAAAGACCTAGGACACATGATTATAAAATTAAAATCTAATTAGTCACAGCACAGTAATGACAAAAATTTATACAGAAACTAAAAAGTATACATACCATAAAAAATCGAATGTAAAATCACAAACTGCTAGGTACTATGAAAGAATAACTGATGGCTTTTATTAAAACTTTTGTAAATACCTAGAAAATGATAAGATAATAATCCAAAACTAATGCACTTTAATGCTAGTGACCTAGAAAAATATAATGTTATTTTATTTAAAATAATAGTTCAGATCACAATTAAAACCATATAACAAAATGATTTATGATTTTCTATCTATATTTCTAATGTATGAGAAGCAATTTATTTCTGTTTAAAAATTAGGTTACATAATGGCGTACATGGATAATTATTGTCTGAAAATAATTTCATGGAATTACTGCTACATACTTGCAATGAGTTTATTTAGGATTTACTTTTTGGTGACCTTTAAGTAAAATTATGAATCAAAATTTATATATTTATTTAAAAATTAAGGTTTAAGAATAAATTTTCATATTACAACATTTGTAACAGACTGGCATCTTCTTCTTTAATATTTTTTTATTATTGTCTGATATATTATAATGTTATATTCAAATAATAAATATATTAGTCTTAGGGATTATTGGAATAAAATTCTATCCTATGTTATAACACATTCCTACAGATAAAAACGATTTGTATAGCTGGTCAAACTATAATTAATACTAAAATGTGTTTACTTTGGTCTCCTCAAAACAAGCACCATTATCGTGTTTTCTAGTAGTAGCTTAATGGCTTTTGAATTTATGAATATAGGCATATTAAAATATATTACGTACTATATTAGCTATTAATATAGTACGTATTATCGAGTTGACCGCTCTTTAGCCAAATGGTTAAACGTATTGCCTAGCATTGCGTTAAGTGCGAGTGGTCCTGGGTTCCAATCTCAGGGAAACAAAAAATTGTTTAGGTGAGGAAGGGCACAGAAGTCTGATCAACTACTGGCCTGTTAAAGAACGGATAAGTGAAACAGACACAGAAATATGTTCGCCCCATGCCCCACGAGGGAGAAACGGGATTTCACCTATTATTGAGTTTAGAACTCAGTATTTGTTAGAGAATATATGTATATACTAGCTGTGCCCGCGACTACGTTCGCGTGGAATAGTGACTTGGGGTAGAATTTTTAATTATTTAAACTGTTAATTAATTTATGTTATTGCGTATGTTATCGCAGCCAATTTACGTTGTAAGTGCTACTTTGCCGCAACACTCTCACCTGACATCACTCCTACTCTAACTTCCACTCTCACTCCCACTCCCACTCCCAACCCCACTCCTATTCTCAAATAGCCAAAGATGAAAGTTTTAATGTTGTATCTTCAAAAACAACAAATTTCCATACAAACTTTCACCCCCCTTTTTAACCCCTTACAACCCCTTTTTTGGAATAAAAAGTTAATGTTAAAAACAAAAAGTAAAAGCCTATGTTCTTTCTCAGGGTCTAGACCATATGTGTACCCAATTTCATTCAAATCCGTTAAGTAGTTTTGGCGTAAAAGAATAACAGACAGACAGAAAGACAGAGTTACTTTCGCATTTATAATATTAGTAAGGATTATACAGTAAACTGAATAGTTACATGTGTAATCTAACGACAACACTTCTACAAACTGTTCATACATAAGAATCAAGGGAAAACATAAAAAAAAAAACAATATAAAATAAAACGCAAATACTGCAAACAATCAATTTATTGTTCATTAAAATGTAGTACATAATTTTAACACGCACGAAAGCGTCGTGCAAAAGTATTTTGAAATCTAGTGCCACTAAAATCACTCTAGAAACGTGGACCACACACAGGTATATTTATTTGAAGTAAATACTCGTGGCTTATTTGACTCGTAGTCCCATCAATCACGGTTTCCATTGACTAGTTGCATAATTGTTATAAGGTAGGTGAGGGAGTACCCAACTATCTAAAACGATAATAGTAGTGTCCATAAGTCACTAGCTATTTGAGATCTTGTATTCTTTTTAATAAAACATAGGAAGGGAGGGAGGAAGGATCAAAATGTCGAATTTATTTGTTAGCCGAGTTAATATTTTTATAGGCGATGGATTTGTATCCTTTTTCTTAGGGGCCTTTGTAGCTAAATGATTGTGTGTTCCATAGCGTTAAGTGCGAGAGGTTCTTCGAAAGCAGCAGGTTCGGTCGGCCACGGACGTCTGATCAACTACTCCCTTATATATAATAAAACCGGCAGTGTAACGGACACAAACATGTGTTCGCCACATGCCCCACGTGATGAAATGTTTACTGGTATAGCTCTTGATGATGTATATTAGATACTTTTGTTTTTTTTTTATGATAGAGAAGCATGTTGTTCACTTCATGATGAAAATTATACCATCTAACTGGGAGTTAGAGAGTAAATAAAGTAGATTATTTATCTACTTCTTCCTATTTCCTTATTACTTTTAAAAGGGCCGATATGCCAAATACCTTTGCAACTAATCCTCGATCCAAAGTACATACATTTAGGGGCGAATATGTTGTTTGGCTGAGCATGGTGACACAGTAGAAGAGATTCAACTCGTTCACAATAGCGATGTGGTTGTGATATTTGCGCTTCATTTTTACTATCAAATCCTGAGTTTCGAGCATCTGTTATAAACAAGCAATTATTAAAAAAAAATAGAAAAGTGCTGTGATAAGTTGGTTAGGTGTATTTCGTGCGGAATATATTAGAAGCATGGAGACATGTCCTAAAACCGAAAAAAAGAAGGATTTGGTTCATCGAACAATACGATTTGATAGACTAGGCCTTATAAATACATAGTAAACTAGTTATGTCAGCGACTTCGTCCGCGAAGTTGGGCCAAATTCGTTTTTGCAAACCCCTTCATTTTTATAAACTGTTACCCCCGACGTCGTTCTTGCAAGTTAATCTTAAAAGATCGAAGATGTAGCGCTTTTTTTAGATCATTGAAAGAGGGATCATCCTTTCATATATATTTTTTGGGTATTTTTAACCGTTTTTGGCGCCCCTCTGGAACCCATAATGTTGATTAATTTTCCCATTGTTTTACATTTTTCGCTATATCTGCGCTTGTATAGGTTACAGGGTAATGGTTTATAGCATTCCTCGATAAATGCCCTATCCAACACAAATATTTCAAAAGAATTTTTAAATTCGAACCCGTAGTGCCTGAGATTAGCGCGTTTAACCATATAAACGAACAGACGCTTCAGTTTTATATCTTAGTATAGATAAATTGATACAATACCATATTGTGTGTCCGGTGAGGTACTTCGCAAAGAAAGAAAAATCTACCTAACAAAGTTATACACCAGTAGATCTCCATAAGGTTTGTCACTACTAATACAAAGCCATCTGAAACCGAATATATTTTATGGTATTAAATTTGTTATGTTATTTATAAAAGACCTAAGCTTTTGAGTTCAATATATTTTTCAGTATATAATCATTTTGACAGAGTCGTTGTGTAATTCAATTTAATAATAAACGGGTTACGGGTTCGAACCCCGCCGGGTTCAATATTTTTTCTAATTAATTATAATTTTTTTCTGATACATGTTGGAGTTCGTCATGTCTGGATATTAAATGGGTGGTACAAAATTCCGTTTCGGTTACAGTCTGTGGATATCCGAATATCCAAAACCAAAATGGGACTACAGTGCATCTTGAGTGAATCGAGGAGTCGTCGAGAACCTCATCTCGCTCACGTCGGCCGAACAGCCCGAAAAACAATGATATGCTGAACGATGGCCGTGAAGCCGTGAGCCTTACACAATTTACATACTTGAAAGCCAAAATTCTAAATGTCTTACCTAAAAAATCATAAGCCTTGGCTAATTTGTAGCTTCTGCACATGAGACGAACGAGCATACCCACTGTATCTATTAGGATTGCCACTTCCGCGCTCTCAGTTGCTATCTTTATCATATCACTAATTGTAGTATATGCTTCAGACAGTTCACGGATTTTGTGCAAAACTCCTTCATTTGTGGTTACTAAAATATACATAAATCATTAGTTCGACATCTATCACCAGTACCAACAAAGTATTATATATTAAATGCCGTAGATTATAGACTAATAAGCTAAAAGCAATTTTGAAAATAAGTAAACCTAAGATTTGAAAACATTAATATTGTTTACATTATATTGACAATAACATGTAAAAAATAATAATGTTTTCAAACGTTATAACTTTGTAATTTCATCTTCAACGATTTCTTAAGCTGCAAAGCATAAGACGTTGAACCTTAATACGCAAGTGTTAAGGTTGAAATTACATTGCGCGATAGGTGCAGGTATAAGTTGAAAAAATTCGACAATGAAGCGTAGGACTCGGTAGCTCAATTGGCAGAGCAACAGCACGGAACGCTGACGATGCCGGTTCAAGTCCTGCCCGAGTCGAACAGTTTTCAATTTATTTTCGATTTTTAAAATAATAAGTACCTAAATTAAAAAATCGATTTTTGATTGAAAAATCTCTTCGTGAACTTGAAATGCGCTTACGTAAATAAAAAAACTAATATATGTATTTTGCGTTTATGCGTGAAATATTGTGTTTGTTTATATTTTATTTAAAACTAGCCGCGACAGTGACTTCGTCCGCTAAGAATATTTATTTTTGGCGTCCAAATTCGTTTTTGCAAACCCCTTTATCTTTATAAACTTAAGCTGTTACCCTTCCCATCATTTGTACAAGTTAATCTTAAAAGATAGACATATAAAGTGGCGGACTTTTTTTTAGATCATTTGAAGAGAAATCATTCTCTCACACATATTTATTGGGTATTTTAAACCGTTTTTGTAGCGTAGCCTTGGTAAACCATAATGATGAATAATTTTCCCTATTTTAGTTATAGCCTACTTGCTGTGCCCGCGACTTCGTTTGCGTGAAATAGTGAATTGGGGTAGAATTTTTAATTATTGAGGCTGTTTATGAATTTATGTAAGGCAACCGCCAACCAATCTATGGTAAGTGCTCCTTTGCCGCAACACTCTCACCTCACATCACTCCTACTCTAACTCCCACTCTCGTTCCTACACTCACTCCCACTATCACTCCCACGCCCACGCCCACCCCTACTCTCACTCCCACTCCTATTCCCCAAATTCCAAAGAAGAAAGTTGTATTGTTCTAATACTGTCTTGTTTCGCGGGGGGGGCCCCTTTAAAAAAAAGGGGTTTAAAGCCCCCCCCCCCCCCCCCCCCCCCCCCCCCCCCCCCCCCCCCCCCCCCTTTGTATTGTTCTAGTTTAAAATACCAAGAATTTCCATACAAAGGTTCATCCCCCTTTTAACCCCTTACAACCCCCTTTTCTCAATAAAAAGTAGCCTATGTCCTAGACCTCTATCTGTATACCAAATTCATTCAAATCCGTTCAGTACTTTTGGCGTGAAAGAGTAACGGACAGACAGAAAGACAGACGGACAGAAAAACTGACAGAAAGACAGACAGACAGAGTTACTTTTGCATTTATACTACTAGTAAGACTAGTAAGAAAAGAACACAAAAAGAATTTTTAAGTCAAAGCTGTAATTCCTGAGATTAGCCCGTTCAAACAAACAAACAAACTCTTCAGCTTTATATTTTAGTACAGATAGATTTACGTTATTTTACGCTCTCACCTGTTTTCGTAGTGGGCTCAACTAAGTAATTATTTCGAAGAATTTTGAGTTTTTTAACTCTATTCTCGTCATTCGGATCTGAAAGAGATAAAACAATTAAACAAATTACAGGTTAGTCGCCCGGTAATGACTTGGGGGAGTGCTTAGTTGTATCTTACGTAAAATAGAGTAAAATTATAGTAGTTGTTAGTTAGTTAGTCTGTGATCATTACTTATTTCTTAGTTTTATATTCAAACATATAAATATAGTGAAAAATTGATACAAAAATCACGCAAACAACCTAAATCCAAATTTATAAGATAGAAAAACAGTTAAAAATGTAACCGCCTCTATAGCTAATGGTTAAACGTTCGCCTAGCATTGCGTTAAGCGCGTGAGGTCCTGGGCTCGAGATCGGCACAGATATCTGATCTTTGATTTGTCGTCTGTAATTAAAACTCATAAGTGAAACGTAAACAGAAGTAGTTCGCCCCGTGCCCCACAGGTAAAACAGGATTTAAATTTAAAACAGAAAAAAATAAGTCGTAGTATAATATAGATATATTTGCCTTAACAGCACTTACCCATATTACTGAACAGTTTTTTCAATTCTTGATTCATTGCAACAGTGGCTGAATGGATTCGTATCGTTAATAAGATGAATAGAAAGTTGTCACAAGATACGCCGATCACGTACGGAATCACGAACACCCACCTAGAGAGAACAAACCCTGAAAATGATAAATACTGAATCATCGACAGCAACAAGACAACGAAGTTACGGCGGAAGGTTGAGGCCACTGCTCAGCGTCGTATGCGCGACATATTCCAACAATAGATATAGACAGGTAACAGCTTCGTAAAGATAAACATTTCTAAAAATTGTTACTTAGACTTTTTGCTACAGATTTTTACTCAAAAAAAAAACTCCCGCAATGGGAGGGGGTCGGCGTTGGCTATGGCCCCTTACGATTAAAGCAATTTTGCCTAAGGGCGCTAAAATTTACTAATAATATTATTTTCACTTACAAAATCCACATTCTTCCGCAATACAATAAAGTGTAGCACTCAGGAGAATTATGAGAACATTTGATATCAAGAATGGTATTATTAATTTCTTGCGCAGGCGCTCCTTTTTTTCTGTCTTCTTATTTCTTATTAAAAACTTAAATGGAATAAGTAAAATACTTTAACGGTTTAAAAAGCGATATATATTAGTTAAACTTATTTTTAACTACGGCCTGACGTTACGCATGCTTTGCAGCAGTCGTGGTCACGGGGAGACTAAAGATGGAGGATATCTCTGACATCGAAGTAAAAATTGTTCTGTCAACATTGGTATTTGGCGAAACTGGCCAGTTTTTAATCGTTAAAGTGTTTTATTTAAATGTGTGCTACTCGCGTAAACTACATACAGTATTTAGTAGTAGTTTAGTAAAGGTAACATTGCAGTTTTTTCCTATTAGGGATTAGGTATCACTATAATTATTTTATATATGTATTTGACAATACAATTGATCAAAATGCAGCGGCCGGCAAGAGGGTTTGGACTTTTGTATGTGTGTTCATCCACCAATGCCTACTTGCGGCCACGACTTGTATAGTACTTTTTTCAAATAGACTTCCGAACTTTCAAACCAATGTTGAAGTTAAGGAACAACTAATAACAACAGTTTTTTACGCGCCAAAATATTTTTTTTCAAGCAAGCCAATTCGAAGTTTAAATTAAACTGGTGTAGAGGGCGCTAAACACGACAGATATGGATTTCCATACAACTGTTGGTCGCTGCTCGACCGGTACAACAAGTTTGATTTATTTCAAAGAAGTTTGTCAAAATATACCTATAAAATGTTCATTACAATCTGATAAACCAAGCCGACTTCCGACTGTTTAAATTTTACCTTTTCTGTGGTTTTTATACATGATAACCAAATACTTATACGTTGAGAAGCTGTCACAACTACATAGTCCATTTGTAAAAGAACTGATCCCAAATACACCGCATGGAGTGAAAAAAACATAGTTTCGGATGCTGGATCCCGGTACATATAATAGTAGTCGTAAAGTAGTGAAATATAAACCCCATCTATAACAGTAATATTTTTAATGTAGCACTACAATAGTCTATAATTAGTTATGTATTTGAAAAGAATGGGACTTGCGCGTGATTGATGAAACTATAATTATTATAAATAACACACTTTCAACGGTTTAAAACTCGAAATCCATAAGTTAAACTCATTTTCGAATTATTTTGAATACCGCCCAACGTTTTGAATGCTTTGCAACAGCTGTCGTTACGGGGGACAGGCATCAGAAATTACCGGCTGTAAATAACATTAATTTAAACCGTTTAAGGTGTTTTATTTAAATCTGTACTATAGACTTCAAAAGTAACTATGCTTTGCACTTATTATCGATTGCTGTTGATATAAATTAGTATATATTTATATTCAGAAACCGCGGCGTCTTATAGTTTTTACTGATCCTGTTCGTTTCGTTATACTGATGTGAGTGAGAAGTTCTGACATTATTAGAAATCATGCGATATACAAAAAGGGAAAAAAGGTTACTTAAATTATTTCTTACTTAAGAAAGGTAGAACGAAAAATATTCCATATATATTCCAATACTTTGATACTTGAAGTTGGGGTGTCGTGGTGAATGGAAAAATTCCTAATGGACGGCCTAGTAATGCGATTGTCTTAAAAGCGCCTCGGAAACCTTCAGCGTTATCGAAAACCATTTCTTCAGCTGTATTAAAACTTTAAATTAAATTTATTTCAGAAGTATCTTAGATTTTATATATTGAATTAGACTTACCAGCATAAGCCACGTTTAAATAGTATCAAACGACGAGTGGCGCTTTTAATTTCCACTTACAAAAACGCATTACATAGATATAGATAATATGTATATAGATGATATAGATAATCGTCATACTGTCGAAGCGTCTACACTAATGTCCTTTTAATGAGTATGTACAAGATATTTAAATAGAATTATTGTGGGTGTAGTTTTTAAACAGGATAAAGTATGATTGTGATTGAACTACAGAATATGTAAAGTACAGAAGATTATTTTAATCTGTTTAAAAGTTAGAGCAGCAGCATGGTACGCCGTGGACTCTCTTCAAGCCCCGTCCGTGTCGCCGACTTTTTCGATCATTATGGAATTTAGTTTGCTTAAATCACGTGAAATAAATAGGTATCTAGACTCTTAGATACTTCATAGAGGTTTTTAGCTATAAATTCCTGATTTTGTACGAGTGTTGTCTCAGAACCTGTTTAAATCAATAGCACAATATTCGAGTGATTTAAATTAAAAGTCAAAGATAACAATAATTAATAATTATTATTATTGCTTCGCATTTATCTGGTTTCCCTTGGGATTTTTTACATTTATTACAGTTAATCCAAGTCGCTATAAACAAAATGCTTGCTTTAAGCTTAATAAGTAAAAACTAACATAAAAGTTTGAAAATCTGAGGACAATCAATGTGAATCGAAATATTTTTTTTAAAGCAGGTTAATTTTGACATTGACAACTGGCTGACACAATGACATATAAATTATCATTTGTTTGAAATTAATATTCGAAACTTCTGAAGATTCAAATATCCAAAGTACTTTGCTTTATAGAAAAAAAGTTTTTAATATTTTTTATACAATGAGACGAAGCGTTGCTTACCGATACCGCAAATTTTTGTAAATAAAAAGTGAATATATATATTACACAGTCGGTAAACGTATCCAACAGGTTTAACCAATATGAGGAAAAACTTCATTTTAACTTCAAACGCTGCGTTATTTTAAATATCAAGTGTACACGCCCCAATTATTTTATAAACTTTCAAAAATGAGTGACGAACAAAATGCTCCAGAAAGTGATGAAGAGACTCCATCACCTAGTAGTGATATGCCATTAACCAACCAACCAACTAATGAACCAGTGATGACACAGCCTTTAAGTAGAGCTGAACAACCATTGGATTCTGAAGATGAAGAGGAAAAAAAGAGGCGCGATAATGCAGACTGCTGCTTTGATCCATGGTTGTCTGATGATGTTGATATCTTCTTCCTATGTCGGTGTATTGCTGAATGTTGTGTGGGAATAGGTGAGTGTACTGAAGGTTGTTGTGAGGGCTGTGCAGAGTGTATTGCATCTTGTTGCGAATCAGGTACGGCCGATGCAGTTTCTGATAACAATGAATGTGATTGCAACTGTTTTGATTGAAACAACACTTTTTAAAGAAGTTGTTAAAAATCAACCATCAGTCGTCATGAAAATACTAGTTATAACAAATCCTATAAACACAGTGCTCATGTCAAAGGCTAATATTATTATTTTTGGAATGGAATTTATAATTTTAGATTAAAAAACAGCTACAATCTTTTAAATTTTAATATAAAAGCTCAAAGCTTATATAGAGGTTTCCGTATAAGTAAATGAATTAAGAAATGGGATTTTGATTATATATGATATTACCTTGAATCCATTTTATGATACTTTGAATAATTAGGTAAGATTAACTTACCTATAAGCTTTTATAATTATTATTGTCTGTAGTTTATGTGAGCACTACACATTTAAATCAAAACCCTCAACTGTTTAAAACGCAAAATATATCAGTTAACTTATTTTTACATGGGGAACATGGAAATTGATGCCTTCTGTGACTGCTCCTTCTGCAAAGCGTCCAAAACGCCTCCTCAAATCAAATAAAATATTTTAATACTTTATATATTTTGCGTTTTAAACATTTAAAGGGTTATATTTAAATATGAGCTCTTTTTATGTTTTTAAAATTGAATAGTTTTTTTACATTGGAACCTATATAAATATTTATCAAATTGTTTGCATATCAGTTCCTTAAGTTATAGCTCAAAAACCCACCTTTGCTAACTGTAGCAAAGGTGTGTTTTTGAGCTATAGCTTCATGCCTCATACTAAATAATATGAATTCTGAATATAAATACATGCTTCCATGTAATATAAGCTGTGAAAAATATTATTATTCATTGGTGCTACATGATTACATACAATGCCAAATAAAGACTGACTATTTTCAATATTGTTCTTTTGCACAGCCTGTATATTGTAGGACAGTAATCTGTATTGTATGGAAGGCCTTGAAAATGCATTAAGATTTTTAGATAAGTTTTAAAAGTTGTACAAATTGCAAATACATATTCCTGAATGTTCAACTTGTATGTAATTATATACAACATATGATTTTATTACAAATGTTGTTTAACATGAAAAGACATACATAAATATAAATGCCATTACTCATATATTATAGATAGCTGTACTTAATCATAATAAGTGTTATTTAAAAATTCAATAAACACATATTTATGCTAAATGTATTAATATTGTTTAAAAATAAAATCGAATATTTTACTTTCGTGTTTTTTATTATTTCTTAATGGTTAAAAAGGTTTTGAAACAAGATCTTGTCAAAAAAAGCCTATTTTTGTTATATAATACACAAAGTATATTTTTGTTTAAGGTTTATGTCATACTATAGAGTTATACATATAACCTTTTTTGGTTTTTTGTTAAAAAACAAATGTAAGCTCTACAATAATTACAGACCATGGTTTCTATTGAGGCCTCTTCTGAAACGCCTTAAAAACATACCATTAATATTTGACAAGGTAGCTCAATTGGTTTGAGTAAGAGCACAGACCGTTGTGCATGCCAGTTCAAGTCCTGTCCATATCGTAAATTTTTGTGAATATAAAATCGCGATTTAATTTAACATACCTTTTATAGTTTTAAGTGTAGATTTGTTATAAATAAAATAAAGCACTAAACAATTAAATATAATTCTATTAAATTCTAAGCTTATATAAATATCATCTTTGTTTCTACAAACATTCTACTATATTAAGTCTAATTTTCGTCTGTCGGTATAAATCAAAAGATGGCGCTGTTCACTGGTTTTATTCCTATAAACTGGAAGTCGAGCACAAAACTAGGCTCTTTGTTTAAAGACAGGCTTAATTTCAATAATATTGATAAGTATCTGCTTGCAATTAATTCTTCAATACAATGCTAGTGTTAATTATATTACTATAATGCACAATCCTGATATTTGAGATTTTTATTCCAAGAGTTCTATCCTTATTTCGTGTCCCCTAGCTGGTTTATTGATGACTTGGTTTTTTAATTTCATGTTATGATAGTTACCGGTTACTCGATAACGGCGAAGTATGTGTACGATGGAAACTTTCATCGTCATTATAGCGTAGATTTTACCTGAAAATGATTAATTTTATAAAAATATTTTTTTAAGATAGATTGAATTTCTTGAAGGGATAAAGTAATACGTGTTTCCCGCTTCATTATGTAACACAGAAAAATAAATACCACATTTCTGTCTGTAGGTTACGCGAGTAGTATGAATTAAATGTTTTAAACGGTTTAAATCGCGGTTTAAACCTTATAAATATTAAGTTGTTTTTAAGTTTAAGTTTAATCGCGTATGTAGGTGGTACCTACGCGTCTTTGGAATAAATAAATTCATTTCGTATTTTAAACTGTAAACCACCTTTGGTTTAAAAAAGCAAACAACACAAACCATATAAATATATACTTATATGTATCAGCAAAATATAATTAATTAAGGTAAAAGATATTAGGAAATGCGTTCACATTCACCCTGTTTCTTTTAATTTTTATAAAATAACTAAACGACTAAAACCTCTACTAGTCACTAGTATTTTCCAGTTACTAGAAAATACCAGTAAGCAAATGACTACATACCAATACAATTCCGCTTTCCATATCCAAAACTACCCATAGCACGAGGATTTTCTGGGAGACGGTTGGGCTCTAACCACCTTTCTGGTACAAACTCATTGACGTCTGAACCCCACAATTCCGGATTATTCAGCACACCGTACAACATTACACCACAAACGAGGCCCTTGCGTAGAACGGCATTTTCTAAAACAATTCAAATACAGTATAGGTATACAAACTGACTTCACTGCTCCTTGAGTAAATTTATAAAAGTTATACATAATAGGTAAATATTAATATTTCAATGTATATAATTATCCATGACATCAGGATTAAGATATTAGGTTAGAACAAGTAAGTATTGTAAATAAATAAAACCCGAGATCGTAGACAAGTTAACATGCACAAAGCGATAACGAAGTTCGAAATAAACAAAATTGATGAATATATGATGTATATTTCACCTCCCATCAAGTGACCGTCATACTTGTCTGTACTCCTCTTACATAACAAAATCTAGATACGTACTAAGTTTAGTGTCTTCGGTGATAATTCTTCCGGTAAACGGTGCAACGGGGCACAGTCTCATCGTCTCTTTGAGTACTGCGTCAAGATACTTCAGCTGTGTTAAGTCCGCCTTCGACACGTCTCTATCCGAATCACCAAAAACGTCTAGAATTCTAGAAAAATCTAGAAAAATCCTAAATTATATATTTTGATGTTAGTTGCAGTTTTTTTGAACTAAATATTAAACTATGCTTGGGATAATTAACGTATTTATCAAATGGTAGAATATATTGCGACCGGGACACACGTTCATAGATGGAAACGCTTGTTTTTATTGGACGACGTAGTTAGCCCGGAGTCCATAAATACTAAACGGAAGTTTTGGCGCACTTTGTTAGTGGCTGGACCCGGAGCGTCCCGAGGACTTCGGCTACAGCTTGGACCACCGCAGTTGTGGGTGGGTGCTTGAGGAGCTAGGATGATCACCCGAGTGAGGAGTACGCGGAATATATGGCCTTATTGGAATGACTTAGGGTCGCCAATTCGAGGACAGCGTGCAGATTGAAAATTTTACCAGATGGCTCCAGTAGCGGTTAGTCTACAGCCTGTCTTGGGGGCGTCGAGACGCTAGAGTAGGTGAAAGGCCGGAAAATGGAAAAACTCTCACTAAAACAGAAAAACGCCTTCTGATCTTATATAACCGACCATCTTAATTATTGATTTATCTTTAAAAACCAAACATAAAAATATAAAATCTTAAAAAAAATCTTAATTAAACTATGACTTAACCTATTAACTATTATTAATTGACACACCTATAGAATTCATAAATGTAAATATTTCACGATCACTCCGTACATCATAGAAAATATCTCGTTGCTTTGAAGTAATAGTGTTTAGTACTATTAAATGTTGTTAGGATTATTTTACGTTAAATTAAAGTTGCTTGCGAGTATTCACTTGTTAGAATGTAAAGAAGTTTCCCAAACCCCAGGAACGGACGTGAAAATCACAAACCACGGCTTAATAAGCTAGTTAAACGGTAAGTAAACGCTTACTGTTTCCGACATTTCTGTTGAATTTCTGGGTATGTACCCAACAACAGTAAAGTATAGGCTACAACAGCTGAGCTGGATTGAGATCCGGCGAATATAATGTTGTTCATCTCGTCTTTTATGTCCTTATCACTCAGCGACGTGTTGCTAAAATCGAGTAGACGGTGTAGGAACGGCTTGAATTTACTTTCTAAAACAACATTTTTAATAACGTAATTTTGAAATTTGTTACAAATTTATTATTGTAAATAATAGCATAACTTTATTAGGTATCAAAGCATCAAACTTACAAGTATTCGAGGAAGATTGGAACAAAATTTTATTAAGTAGAGGGGATTCGAACTCACGAATGTGTCTGTCAACAGAGCCACATATATAATAATTAATATGTATGTAGTTCGAGTAATTGCTCACCTGATTTAGGATCGATTATTTTCTGGTCGGTGTTGTACTCCTCTCGCTTTCTTTGTAAGACCTGCATTTAAAAATATACTATACTCCTTGCAATAGTAAGGTATTGCCTGTAGTTTACGTGAGCAGTACACATTTATATAAAACATTTTTAACGGTCTAAAGCGCGTAATATATTAGTAACCCGTGACCTAATAGAAAGCATCTGAAATATTGGGCCGTAGTGAAATTAATAGAAAATAAGTTTACTAATATATTTCGTGTTTTAAACCGTCAAACTTGTTTTATTTAAACTACGCTATTGTACTTGAATGTAGTGCACATTCTACTATTACACTACCAGCTACTTACCTACTTTAATGATGGTTTCAATATATTAGTTAACTAATTTTTAACTAAGCACACATTTACATAAAACACTTCAATTTTTTGTTAGTAAGAAACTAAGGGTCCCTTCTATTCATTTTATAATAATAATATTAAAAATCGTTTATTTAAAAACTATGAACTATTAATCGATGCATACGCTTTGTTTTCATTATAAGAAGAACCATCAGGGCACTGGCATAAACGGCAGATTCCCAAAAGAAAGAGAAGAGACCACCCTTTCTTTTCTTCTTTCTTACCTGATCAGTTAGCTGATGTGAGATAGCCACGTTAGAGTCTTCAGTTTTCTTCAAAGCTGACATGCTGTAAATTAACTCCGTATAATAGAAGGGGTTTTTAGCTCTCTCTATCACACGATCGACAAGAGTGCGGAAAGCCGTTAGACACCTATTGTTGTATTCCCGTTGTTGGGTGATGTCCACTCCGGCCATGGTTACTGAAACAGCTCTACTTTTTTAGTATTCTATCTTCACATGTAAGTCAAGAGTCATCTCTAAGCAATTATAAACAAGAACATAATTAATTCTATCTATATACGAGTACAAATATACAACATAACAATAAAAAGTACAATTTGATTATCGTTTTATAGGTTACTAGCTGCGCCCGCGGCTTTGTCCGCGTCGAATAGTTATTTTCGGCATCTAAGTTAACTGACATCTCCGTGTCCCATCGTTCTTGTAAGTTAATTAAAAAGATAGACGACAAATATTGTCGTGAACATTTTTTTAGATCGTTTAAAGAGGAATCATTTATTCTTTTATATTTTTGGGTATCTTGTACCGTTTTCGCCGCTTACGCAACGGAAACCTACAAGAATGAATAATCTCCCCGTTTTGTCCACATTTCCCGCTTCTTTAAGTCACAGCGTGATTTTATAGCCTAAAGCCTTCGTCGATAAATGGTTCAAGCAACAAAAAATATTTTCTCAATTCGAACCAGTAGTTCCTAAAATTAGCGCGTACAAACAAACAAACTCGTCAGCTTCATATTATAGATGTGTTCCAGGCATTATAATGAATCCATAGATATTTTTAAGCTACAAAGAAATATGAAAACAATCTTAATGTTCTTTCTTTAAGAAAACATAAGTTAGTTTAAATACTGTCTATAGTTTACGCGAGTAGTACACATTTAAATAAAACACTTTAACGGTTTAAAACGCGATATATTAGTTACACTTATTTGAAAAATGATTTTTAACTTCCGCCCGACGTTTCGGATGCTTTGCAGCAGCCGTCATCAACGAATATATCGCGTTTTAAACCGTTAAAGTGATTTATTTAAATAAGTTAGTTCAATAATCGAAAATAAATTGAAAACAATTTCAACTCAGGCAGGACTTGAACCGGCATCGTCAGCGTTCCATGCTGTTGCTCTACCAATTGAGCTACCGAGTCCGATGCCGGTTCAAGTCCTACCTGAGTCATTTTTTTTTCGATTTTTAAAATATATAGTGCCTTCATGTGCAATAACATGCAAAAATAATAATAAAGTTTTCAAACATAAGTTAGATTTAATGGTGGCATGTGACTATTTGACAGATAAAATTATTAGAAAAACATAGCAAACGCTTACAGCAGACGGTTTCTAAAGCAGTCTTCTCTAAATAGTCGTGGTGGTCGAAATTCTCGTCTCCAACATATTCCTCCCAGCTTTTGACGAGGCGTCGACTTTGTTTGTTAAAGATATCCAGAAAGCTGTCAATCACTTGTTGATTGAATGATGGGCTAATAAGTTTACGGCGGTCTTTCCATATTGAACCTAAAAGTAACATGACCATAAGTAACTAAATATACTATACTTCATTGTTTTTCGGGTTTTCCAGCCGACGTAAGAGACAAGAGGTTCACGACGTTTTGGAATTCTTCGAGAAATCGAGGAGCTAATAGGAGCTAACAACATCTCCTGATGCCGTCTGCTCGTGATAACCAAACGCCGAGAACCTGTTCTCATACACGTCCGCCGAACAGCCCGAAATACAATGATATGCTGAAAGATGGCGGTGAAAGCCTTACACAATTCATTAACTATATACTGCTTGCGTGCTAAGTTTAATTCCAGCTTATAATATAAGGCACATGCAGACTTGGCACTTGAAATTTTTTTCAGCTTAGAGGACATTAGCTGTTGAAATTTGGTACACGTATTACAATTATGTGACTTACTTAATTTTATAGTAGGGTGAATTTGTAAGTATTGTAAGAAATAGCCATTTTAACTGTAAAACGGAGAAGGAAGGACTAAGAATAGAGTTACTTAGTTTAGGAGAGAGACTTAGTTAAGTTATTACGTATTATGGTGACGTTCTCAAATTTTGATAAAATGTCTACTGTGTAATTAAACCATAGAACTACATTCCTTACCTGGTCCAACTAAAAGACCATCGCCAAGGAACGGTCTTAGGAATTTATTTGCAAAACCCGGTCTCTCAAAGTACGAACTTAGTACTTGGTTGCAATCGTCGGGGTCCGTTATAACTGAAATTTTTGATTAATGATTTGTTTAATAATCGGTTAGTACTTTCATACTTTAATTCGAAGACATATTTACATTTTGTCAATATATTTTAAGGTATCAAATGGCGTGAATTATTATATAAACTACGGATGAAAGAAATAAAAGGATAACTGAAATGTAATCTATCCGAAAGTATATACACAAATGATAATACAAAGCACAAAATTGAAACAAAAGTTAATATGGTAATTCGATAATGTATCTTAAACTTTAAAAAACAAATTTAAATTTGTATATAGTCGCCTTGACTCAATGGCTGTTTGGTTGTGGCCTAGCATTGTATTAGCCAAGTCCAGAGTTCAACGGGAATACTAAGAAGACATTCGTTTCGATTCAACACTGAACTAAGAAAAACGAAGGGAAAGAATAGTTTAATAATATTCGTATAACTTGAATGTGGATTTGTACTAAAAAGCACTATTTATGTACAGAGTAAATTTAATGAAAATAATAATAAAAAGCTTACTATATATAGGCATTATTCCCACGTATATAACAGAGACGTGTCCGTTCTTCACGGTATAATCACATACTTTTTTTATACAATCCCACGAAGCTGAAAAGTAGTGTAAAAAAGTTTTAAAAATATTCTATAGTACAAAGCTACGTATCTAATAGGTACTATATGTAGAAGATTATAGATGACTAATAAAGTATAAGTTGAAAAAACTTTGCTTAAAAAGTAAATAAGTTTAAAAATCGCTTATAAATTAAAAAAAAACAACGATACGGAGAGGACATTTTTAAATTTATAATCTATTTTTAATTTATATAGTGCTATCATGTGGAATAATATGGAAAAAATATAAAAATATTTTTTTTTTAAACATAAATGATTTTATTATTATTGCAAAAGCACATTGTCTAATAAAAAACATCCATAACTGGGACTAGCTGTGCCATAAACCTGATCAAATTTTCCTTTCATCTTTTTAAAATGGAAAATAAATTGAAAAATGTTCGACTCGAGCAGGACTTGAACCGGCATTGTCACCGTTTCGTGCTGTTGCTCTAACTAATTGTTTACCAACGTATTAGTTTAACGTATTTACAAATTATATTATGACCCGACTTTTTGGATGCTTCGCCGTGGCTTTTCGCGTTTTAAACCGTTAAAAGTGTATTTAAATGGGTTCTACGCGTGCTAATGCAAGAAGAATTTAGCATCCTTCTGCAGTTAAGTAAAATATTTCAAGACTGCTAAACAAACAACTCATTTCTTCCGGGCCCTATATCTTTCTATATATAAGTATTGTTATTTCTTATTTTTTTCGTTAAACCTTGCCTGTATAGGTCAATGTCGGCCTGAATATGTTATATTCGTGGAAATAAACTTAATCACTGACAACATTCACTTGAGTATCTGTGACATTGTTTTACTTTTACTTAACGGAGGATTTATCTATTTATACATAAATCACAAGTAAACAACTTGAATATGTTCGTCCCGTCGTTCTTGCAAGTTAATCTTAAAACATAGGAATATATTCGCGGACATTTTCTTAGATAGTTTAAAACATATTTTTTCTTGCATACATATTCTTGAACCATTTCAGCAGCGCACGCAATGAAAGCCCAAAAGAAAATAATTTTCTCCGTTTCTCCACATTTACCACTGTTTCTTGGCTCCTTTTGGCACAGCCTAGTATTTTATAGTATGTTATATGAACCGACAATGACTAACCAAATTTACCTAAAGTAAAAATAAATTTTAAAAGTACAAGTAGTTTTTTCTGACTTCAAGGCAAAAAAATACCAATAAAATAAAATAAAAAAAATACGTGAATTTATCCGACCTGTTGCAGTTATAATATTAGTATTATAGAGACGACAGCAAACAAACAACGTATCAATAATTTACCTACGGCGTTTAACTAAAACAGTTTAACGGTTTAAAACGCGTTAACTTATATAAGTTAAACTTATTTGAAAATGATTTTTAACTTCGGCCCGACATTTCGGATGCTTTGCAGCAGTCGTGGTCACTGGGAGACAAAAGTTAAATAAGTTTAACTAATATATCGCGTTTTAAACCGTTAAAGTGTTTTATTTAAATGTGTACTACTCGCGCAAATTATAGACAGTATTTACCTACGGCGTCTCCCAAAAATAGCGAAAGGTTCCCCAACAGTGGCAGCTTCCCAGGATACACAGGCATGTTACCCGGATACATTCTGAAAGACCAGTACACGTACAAAATACATACGGCCGCGACAACTAGATACCACATCATTGTTGTGTTCAACACAGTCAGATATAAACTAAAGAACAGGGCGGTAAAATACTTACTATTTATATGCAAATTACTTTTTCTTATTAATACGAAATATTTTTTAAGGTTCGGTATTAAAAAGCCTAGGACAAGAGTCGCGGATTTTTGTAGTATTAGGTAAGTAAGTTATCACTAAATTGCAATACACTAAATCACATCAAATTAGACAGACGTCCAAGCTAGTCTAAACTCATCGGCTGTTAACCCAAAAAAAGGACTGATAAAATCCTAGGGATATTTTTTTACTTTACATAATTTCAAATTTGAATAACATCACGGCTTTAACTTACAAGTTGCTTTTACTTCATAATGAATAGTTTTTAAATCATGTTTTAATAGTTAAAATATGCTTTTAATAGAATGCATATTTTTTTAATAGTTGCTATTACCACTATTCAAACCTACACTACAAAATAACTCTTTCATTAAAATAAAACACTTTAACGGTTTAAAACGCGATACATTGAAAACTATTTTAACTACGACTCGACATTTCGGGTGCTTTGCAGCAGGCGTGGTCACGGCGAGGCTCAAACAGTATTTAACTGATTCATTAGTTGTGTTTCCAGTACCTACGTTATGATAGCTGGGACGCAGGTGGGAATTGGGAATGCCTGGGAACTACCACATTGTGACAGACTGAATAACAGCGTTGAGGTTCTTATTTGGTACCACAACATAAGCGGAGCCAGTACCTTTTTGCAGATGCGGGGCATTTAGTGACATTTGTAATTAGTTTCTTTCTAATTTAGTTTCTCTGACGGGTCTCGCTAGTATGGTAGCAATGTTTGCCTAATCTACGGGTTCGATCCCCACTAGGTCAAATGTTTCAAATTAATATTATTTTTTGAAACATGTTATACTTCGTCTGGAAAATGAGTAGACCAAATAGATGCTCAATCAATATATTAAATAATCCGTAAAAAGCCGTAAATTTTAATTGCGTTTAAATTTCAGGATTTCCGAATATCCAAAGCCAATGAAGGTCAATAGCGAATCTTATTAACATGCTATATGGCTGTTGTATTTCACCTACCATCATGTGAAGCCCGTGTTTATCTGTCCTCTATCATGACACACCCAGCCCTAGCGATTGGAATAAAACATAAATATGTCGAAATAAATTTATTATCTTAGTTCTAAGCTAATTTCGTATCCGCAACCAGGCTTGTTGATGGCCTGGTTTTTGAAGAACATATTGTCGTAGTTTCCGTGAACTCGGTACGTGCGAAGGATATGTACCAGTGACACTTTCATAGTCATGACTGCGTATACTTTACCTGTAATAGGAATAAAATATTAAAAGAAATGCTCGTATTAAAAAAAATTACGATATGCAAGAGTCCAAACCACGACTGACTGCGTACAGTACTTTACAGTACTCTACTGTACAGTACAGTACTCCACCAATATGACTACTATCGATTTGTTCGGTTTATATATTGCTCTAAAAATCTAAATTTACAAAGCAATAAATTTAGGAATTAGAATCATTTTTAAAGTCTGTCTTTAAAGATACGAGATCGGGACAAATTTTAATAATTATAGCAGGGATTTTAATAAAAAAATATTTGAGATATCTAGCTGTGCTTTGGATGTTGTGATTTCGATTCTCGTTCAATAACACTGACGAGACTACGATTTTTCTTAAGTGATGTATGTATGTAAATTTGAAAATGCTTTTACCAATGCAATTTCTTCTACCGTATCCGAAAGCTGCAAACGCATTCGGGTTCTTTGGCAAGAGATTGGGGTTCAGCCATCTTTCGGGTACAAATTTATCGAAATCTGGCCCCCAGATATGAGGGTTGACCATCGCTCCATATAAAGAAGTCACGCAAATGTGACCTTTTCGAAGCACAGTATTTTCTAAAAAATAAGGAAAAGGATATTAATGTTTCACATTACGACCAAAGTAATTATAATTAACAAGTTTCTTGTGGTTTCCAAACGAAATTAGTTGTATCTCAGCGTTGTAAAGATATTATGATGTTATTTTGAAATTCACGCAGTAGGCAAATCTGAAAAAACTTAAACATAGGTAAGAAAGGCTAGTTCTTCTTCTTATTCTTCATACAAGTTCTCACACTTTTTCTGTTAGGCATTGCTCCCGTCCGATTTAAAACATTTTTTTTATTAGAAAGAATAAATGTTAATTGTATGTGTTAATTTGCTAATATTTTTTGGATCCACAAGTTATGACTACATATACTACTAGCTGTGCCAGCGTGTGCTAGCGTAGAATTAGTTATTTTGGGCGATACAATTTGTTTCTGCAGACCTCCTCGTCATACTCATATTTATAAATTACAGATTATACCCACGACAAAAAACCCTTAAAGATGAATAAATATTCCCGTTTCTAAAACATTTCCCACTGCATCTTCGCTCCTATTGGATGCATCGTAATATTTTATAGCCTAAATCATTTCTCGATATTTTTTTTATTTGAACCAGTAGTTCCAATAAACAAACTCTACAGCATTATATATTAGTATAGATTATTTCTTGCGTACTTAGCTGAAGATCATGTGTTATAATCCTTGCCGTAATAGGTGCAACTGGGCATAATCTTAGTGTCTCCTTGAGTACTGCTTCTAGATATTTTAATCGCGGTAAATCGCTTTTATCTACATCTCTGTCAGAATCGCCAAATACTTCTCGGATTCTGGTGGCAAAAAGAGTTTTTTTAACGTATAAGTAAGTAATTAGGGTACCCAACAGGGTAACGTGTTGTTTTTCTTCTAATTCAGCTATGTATATGTGTTTACCGAATTTTCCCCACAATTTTAGGCTTTGGGTTCGAATCTGGCTTGTAATACGGCCGACATCATTCACGATCAATTTTATTGACATTGACAAGTAAAAATTACAATCATTCAACTTACAACACGTACGAAAAACAAGAAGACAAAAAGGTTTTTTTTCTACAGAAAACGAAGAACTAAAAGATGTCTATAACAAGACAGTTGATATCTTTAAAACAGACACTGCTGTCTCAGAATTACAATAGCAAAGAATTTCAAATAAACAAAAATAAATTAACAAAGTTTAAAAAAAAAATCTGCAAATAAAAATAATTGTAAAAAATTGTTAATGTTTTAGGTAACTCATAGAGTAATGAAGACTTTAATAATTAAATTTAATTCTTTCGTAGCAATATTGGCATTAATAAAAACTGCCAAGTATTTTCAAGTAGGCGTTAAAAATAAAACAATACCAACTCGTCTAGACACTTCTCTTGCATGTGTGAATATGTTCCCAACAAAAGTAAAGCAAATGTTACAACTGCTGAACTGGTTTCGAATCCTGTCACAATAATGTTGTTCATTTCATCTTGTATATCTTCATCGCTGAGAGTGCTTTTGTAGTCCAAGAGACGTTGTAAAAACGGTTTAAATTTACTCTCTGAAAACGACCAAACGAATTATAATATAGGATTTTTTCGTATATTAAGTAATTACAATGTTTTTTCATAATAGCAAATTACATATCTAGAACGACGGTAAATGGCAATAATAGGCGTTGACAATAGTTTTTTTTTTTATTATTTTATAATAGAGGAGGACAAACTTGATGGAATGTGAAAAATCTCAGTCGTATAACATTTAAATAAGTTACGCTATCGACCTATTTTGGTCTTGTAAGATGTTGGATTTTGTCTGGAAATATTTATTGGATGGCAGCATCATGAGCAGCATGAACATTGATCACGATTCGGTTTCAGTCTGTGGATTTCCGAATATCCAAAAAAAGCCAAAAAAAGTCGACAGTACACAGTAGGACAGTCTTGTTTAGGTTATATGACCGGGGTATTTCAGCATGAAGTGAACTTTGTGCTAGTGACCTCCTCTATCATACATTTTTTTAACAATAATATGAATAAGTAATATAAACCTTCACCTGTATTATTATTGTTGTTATAAACGTCAATATCGGCGCCCGAATTCCGATTCTCATTGTTTTGTTGTAAAACCTGAAATGTTTAAAAGCTTATCTAGAATGCCGTTATTCAACCATTAGTTATTTGTATTGTTTCAATACGTTATAGCTATTCCATATATATATATATAATGCTATTTAAATAAAACACTTTAACGGTTTAAAACGCGATATATTAGTTAAACTTATTTGAAAATGATTTTTAACTTCGGCCCGACGTTTCGGATGCTTTGCAGCAGCCGTGGTCACGGGGAGACACCGGTGGGTCCCCGTGACCAACGTCGGCAGCATACGAAAAACTTGAGGGTTTTGTCTAGTACTCGATCTTATACATAATAATAGATTTTTGATTTTGGTATGAAATTAGTATTTGTGTATTGCTGATTACCTGGTCTATTATACGGAACCCATCGCATGAGACTAACCTACACTTGCATGGTTTTTACTTTGATTTCTGTTTGTAGTTCTTTCGGCATTTAAATCAGGATATTGAATATACGTTATGCATAAATAATGAATAACACAATTCATTTAAACTAAGTGTCTAAATTTATATGCAGAATATATAAATTGTTTATTTAAAGTAAATAGATATTCTTACATTCAATATTACATTTTTGACAAGCGCATTTTAATACAAATAGGGGACTGCACATTGCGTAAATAGTCGTGGGTTCGGGTCGCGCCTTTACCATTGAATCTTATTTTTACTTGCTGTGCCAGCGACTACGTCCGCGAGAATCATTGTTTTGGGCATCCAAATTAGTTTTTACATTTTATAAACTTAAGCTGTTAGCCACGACGTCGATTGCAAGTTAAACCCTCCCCGTCGTTCTGCAGTTAATCTTTAAAGATAGGCATATAGCTACGCGGACTTTTTTAGATCACTTAAAGAGAAATCATTCTTTACGCGTCTGAAACCCACAGAGATGAAAATTTTCCCTAGTGTTGTTCACATATCCCGCTGTATCTTCGCTGTTATTAGTCACAACACGATGTTTTATAGCATATAGCCTTTCTCGATAAATGCTCTAACCAACACAAAAATATTTCTTTCATTCGAACCTGTAGGCGAGTATAAGAGTTGAGATAAGCGCGTTCAAACAAACAAACAAACTCTTCAGCTTTATATATTAGTATAGTATTTTATGTCATGATCATGTGAACTGTTAAATAATAAACATGTTTTAATTCTGTTAAATATGTACGCATACAAACCTTGTCAGCCAATGCACGCGTAATTTTCACATGGGAGTCCTCAATTTTCTTAAGATTTGTCAAATCGTATAAAGTGTCGAAGTATAGGAGAGGATTTTTACCCCTCTTTATTATAACGCTAAGAACGGCCCGGAACGCTTGTAAGCATTTATCGTTAAAATCGCTCTGCTCAGTGATGTCCACACCGGCGGTTGTCACTGTAATGAAATATACATGTATTCTTAAATAAACCTCTAACGGCTTAAAACGCGAAATATATAAGTTAGCATATTTAAAATACGACCCAAGGTCTTCGATACTTTGCAGCAGCCATGGTCACAGGGGCACGTAGTAAAACTGATTCAATAATAAGTTAAGTAATACATTTCGCGTTTTAAACCGTCAATTAAAGCACTTTTACGATTGAAAGTTTTTAAACGGTGACTGTCGTGACCACGGCTATTGCAAAGCATCCGAAACGTCGGGCCGTAGTTATAATAATTTCCCAATAAGTTTAACAATTTATCGCTTTTCAAACCGGTGTTTTATTTAAAATTGAAATTTTGCCAATTACAAACAGCAACTTACAGCAAATAGTTTCCAAAGTATTCTTCTCTAAGCAATGTAACTGATCAAAGGCTCCTTTCTCAACTCGACTCTTCCAGCTATCAACCAGGCGTCTGCTTTGGGCGTTGAAGATGCTTATAAAACCATCTAATACTTGTTGGTTGAATGTCGGGTTTATGAGTTTTCGGTGGTCCTTCCACACGGCCACTACAAATCACAAAAAATAAAGTAAACTTTTTCGCTACATGATTGATGAACATATGGCATAAAATTGCAGATAGGCAGAGTAGCCTACCTGCAATTTTATAACTTGACCTATTTATATTTTAATAGTCCAAAATATATGTTGTAGATCTACAAGAGCACTGTGACCGAAAATGATTGCGCATTTTTACTTTTCTCTTCATTAAATATCATGGTTTTTGTTATCTATACTAATATAAATGCGAAAGTAACTCTGTCTGTATGTCCGGCTTTAACTCCGAAACTACTGAACTAATTTAAATGAAATTTGGTACACAGATATTTTAGAGCTTGAAAAAGGACATAGGCTACTTTTTAATGCTAAAAAAGGTTTGTATGGAAATTCGAAAAAGGGGTTGAAAGCTAGAACAATGAAACTTTTTCTTTGGCTTTTTGAAGAATAGGAGTGGGAGTGGGAGTGAGTGTAGGAACGAGAGTGGGAGTTAGAGTAGGACTGAGGTGAGGTGAGAGTGTTGTGACAAAGTAACACTTACAACATAGATTGGCTGCCCTAAATGCGACCTTACATAAATTTATAAACAGCCTAAATAAATAAAACACTTTAACGGTTTAAAACGCGATATCTTAGTTAAACTTATTTGGAAATGATTTTTAACTAATATATCGCGTTTTAAACCGTTAAAGTGTTTTATTTAAATGTGTACTACTCGCGTAAACTATAGACAGTATTCAGCCTAAATAATATAAAAATTCTACCCCAAATCACTATTCCACTATAGTCGCGGGCACAGCTTGTTATTAATAAATTAATGATATTTTATTCGTCACGTTGCAATTTACAAATATTGATTAACTACATTAAAGAGAAGTGGAATATCAAACCAAATGTGAGTTTTTAGACATTTAACAGATCGGTATAAAAAGTAAACTCGTGCTCCTTGTGGAGCATGGCACATTTTTTATCTGTTTCAGATCGATTATTAAATGCAACTACAGTGCCCCGTCTATTGTTTCCCTAAAAGTCGAACCAAGGACCTCTTACGCTTAACGCAATAGCTAGCCGTTTGACCTTCTTAACACTTAGACGGTCGAGACGTATAATATTTCATTAGCGCAAATAGGTCGTAAGTTTAAGCTAATTATGCAAAGTTAATACTGTAGGTACATAATAGGGAATATTCATTGAATTTATAATAAAGATCAGTTTTTACAAAAAATAACCGACTTCAAGCATTAAACTATAGAACACTTTTGACAGTTTATTATTTAACGTAACTACGGCCCGACAATTCAAATTTGAGATGCAACGAATATCCGGTTGCTATCCGGCCGGATACCAAATAGTGATTTTGTTTAGTATTAATATATTAACTTTGAAAATTTGTTAGTTAGTATACAAGAAAACAACAACAAATTATCAATATTCGTTTACCAGTATCACCTTTAACATACAGCTTAAACTTATGAAAAAGCTTTATTTAAAGTCCTTAAGAAAATCCTATGATCAGCAGCAGTTGAATGGATCAACTAATCGTAGCGAATCTGATGTTAATTTTAAGCAAATAAAATAAGTGTTACCAAATAAACAAAAAGATAGTTTAGTATTCATAATTAACTAACGGCAAATTGTGTTGAATAAAAACGAAATTCTGTGAATTTTTGGGTAACAATCAATTTCTCCAATTTTTGTGAACAAGTCCTGCCTGCCCCTCAAAAAAGTTGCTACACGATATATTTTTTATTTATAGTTTCATGAACAGCAATTGCGCCATTATCCGCCCGTCTTTACATTGGAGGCGAATCACCTTCACTACTATGTATTTGAATCCTCTTCGCTATAACTCATTTTTAGTTCTTTGGCCGGCCGAACATTCGGCGGCCGGATAACGGATATTCGGCTCGTGAAGAGGCCGAATATTCGGTTACCGGTATCCGACCAAGCAACTACCCGTTGCATCACTAATTCAAGTGCTAAGTGTAAATAATATAAAAATCTAAGATAGCTGATATATTTCACATTTAAAATCGTTGAAAATGTAAAGGACCTTTTCATACTTGAGTATTGTATATAGTATTGACTAGTAGCTTGTAAGTCAGTACTTAGGTACATATAATAGTTGTTATTACTTTGTAATTAATTCTATTCTATCGTAAATACATACCATTTAATTAATTGACAACGAATCACTCAATGTCTAGATTATCCTGAACAAATATTTATATTTATAAAATGTTAAAATAAGCTGTACGTGGTTGGAATCGAAGCATTGAACCAACGAAGCGTCAAATACTTTATCAGGTGATTGTTAACTTTTCGTATTTCATACCTGGGCCAACAAGTAGACCGTTCCCGAGAAAGCGTTTTCCACAACTCTTCAAAACCCCGGGCTTGTGCATGCAGGAACTTAGTACTGTGTTGCAGTCATCGGGGTCAGTGACGACTGAAAATATGCTCAAACTCAATAAATTTATTCCATTGACAAGCTAAAATGTCTCCCCGTGACCACGGTTGCTGCAAAGCATCTGAAACGTCGGGCCGAAGTTAAAAATCAATTTCAAATAAGTTTAACTAATATATCGCGTTTTAAACCGTTGAAGTGTTTTATTTAAATGTGTACTACTCGCGTAAACTATAGACAGTATTTAAAATGGTAAAGCTTAATAAGAAGAATGACTAAAATGAATGGCGAGGCAGTATTGTAGGCAGTAAAGGGTCTTCCTAACCCCCGTCCCCACCCTCCCCGGGAGTGAAAATTTATCTTACAACATCACATCTTATCTCACATCTTATCTTTAAACACTTCAATGATCTTTCACATGTTAACGTGCTGGCATTATATGAATTAACGATTACGCAACAGAAGTAGGACACCGTAGCTCAATTGCCGGGTGGATGCCGGTATGCGTCCCGCCTGTGTCCTATTTTATTTCTAAAACCGATTTTAAGTTTATTAGTAATAATAGATACTTACCATATATTGGTATCATTCCTACATAGAACACAACAACATTTCCGTTATCGTAACAGAATTTTGTCACCTTTTTTATTTGTTCCCACGTTTCTGAAATACATGAAATACGCTTATAATTCAATGAAACAGTCTAGAAATAATAAGAGATTTTAATATTATCTTAAAGAAAACACTTTTAACAGTTTTAAAACGCAAAATTTTGGTATTGGATAAAATAAATATAGTTTACAATTCACGTTTTAAACCGTTTAAAGTGTTTCATTTAATTGTGGACTACTCGTACTATGTGAGACAGTATTAAGATAAATTTTATCAACAATTCAATTAGAGTATTATTCATGTTGTTCTTACCTATTGGATCATTGGTAAGCACAGATAAATTCCCCAATAAAGGTATCCTCCCGGGATAAGTTGGCATACTTCCCGGGTACAAAAATATATACAAAAAGAGATACAGACAACATAATGCACCTATAATAAGCCACCACAACATTTTTCTGACCCGCGCTTTATAGCGGTAAAATAATCACTGAAATTTTTCTGAGTTAAACTATACCTGCTTATATGCATATATTTTAGTATTCCGTATCACGCGCTACATTTCGTTTAATTTAAATTGTTTTTTTATTGAGACCAACTTTGGATAGTGGGGGGGAAGACGTGGAACGCAACTTGTTACAAAAAATAAAAACATCAATGATTTAATGAGGGTCTAAAAGTTAACGTATTGACGAATCTTTTACCAGTCATTCTATGCGGTTTTTTTTAATTACCTTTGAAAAAATACTAGTCCTTGAAAATTCATTCCACCATATTCAAAAAAAGGCATTGTGGTGACTTGTTTTAGATATTTAGTATCTATTAATCAATTCGTAAAACTGTGCATTTCAATACTTTTAGGTTAAACCTCATATAGCAGACTTTGTGTTGTTTGTTAATATTTTTATTAAATACTAGCTGTGCCAGCGACTTCGTCCGCGAGAAATAGTTATATAACTGCTATCCGACATCGACATCGGACGCGTCCCGTCGCTCGCGACCCCTCGTTTGGGTCCCGTCGTTCTTGCAAGTTATTTTTTAAAGATAGACATATAGTTTCGCGGACATATTTTTAGATATTTTAAAAAGGAATCATTGATCCTAAGATTCAAACAAACAAAATATTAGTAAGTATAGATACGATTTATCTTTATAAACTTTATTTTCTTCATCTTTTTTGTTTTTATATTTAATAAATATGCTTATATAATTAAGTTAATGCTTTATAAAGTGATTTTTTTAATTTCATTAGCACGTGCTATAACGCACGTGCACGTCCTATGTTAGTATCAAATACCTATAATCTCACCCGCCATTATGGTTGGGGTTAACAATATTCATTGACATTGTTCATAATAAGTGTAAACTGTTAATAATATTCAAATTAATTATAATTCCCTTTTTTCGCGGTTAAAATGTGAAATGTAAAGTAAATTGCATATTTTATATACACGCACTTAAAGGACGCGCGAGGCGTGCCCAACCTCGACGAAACGAACTGCCAAATGTCTCTAAAGACCAATTTGAAACAAGGTCTTCAATGTTTATTTAGTAAAAATCTGTACTCACATATTGTTATTGAGGTAATGAGGTAATTTATTCCAGGAATATTATCCATATTACGGTGTGTAGGTAGTTCACAAAAAATATATGTAATTATGTTTTTCTCAAAAAAGCTTTAAGATAAAAATTGTGTTTGTTTCTTCTACATATGTAATGGAAATATGTAAATGGAAAAAGTAATACCATGGCAGATTTTGGATCTATTGTGGAGCTAATATAGTTGCACTAGTGACCGCCTTTGTCGCCTTATTTAAAAAATTTGGTAACCGTATTGTCTAGCGCTGCGTTAAGCGCGAGACATCCTGGGTTTGAATCCCGAAGAAACAATAGACAGTTTAGGTCGGACAGGGCACAGACTTCTGTTCAAACTACTTGTCTTTAACTACAACCTCTCAGTGAAACGGACACAGAAATGTCTTTGTCCCATGCCCCACGAGAGGAAGCGGAATTTCACTTTACAGTTACTCTAATAACCCAGTCATCACCTTGTTCCAATGAATTAACAGACAAATAAATAATGCAGTTGCTAATGTATGCAAAAAAAAAAAAATATTGTTTATATACGATTCGCTTTAAAAACAACCTCACAGGGGACAGTTTGATGTATGCAAAATTAATGGTCTTAAAAGTTAAAATGTTTTATTTAAATTACTGGTCTTGTCAAAAAAAATGTTTATGCGTATTTTTTTTGTACCAAAAACAATACTTACACAATTTTTAATAAATCCTCTAGTCTTAAAGCTCGACTCTCTTTAGAAGTGAAATTAATATTATTCGGAGTTCTTTCAACTTTCAAATATTTTTACGTGTTTAAGTAGCATGAAATGGTGCTAGTCATATAATTAAAATTATTGCTTGATTATGGAGGTTAATTATATGAAAATATAAATAAAGCAACTGGTCCATTATCAACAACTTTATTCTTGTCAATCTAGAGTTTTTTAATCTATAAAAAAGATGCGTGAAACAGTTAGATAAATAATGAGGACTGGTTAACTTTGAAATTAATTAATTAGATATGTTCATTTAATAAAACACTATAACGGTTTAAACACGATATATAAACTTATTTGATAATTTTCAAATAAGTTTGACCAATATATATCGCGTTTTAAACGGTTAAAGTGATTTATTTAAATGTGTACTACTCCCGTAAACTACAGGCGGTATTTAGACATGTCCACATAATTTATTTCATCCACATCTTGGGCTATTCTTAAAATCAAAGAGATTCCATTTAAAATAATATTTATTGCTTCGTCGATAAATAAATTAACAATTAGCACTTGTCGAGCGTTTAGATTCGACCTCTTCAATAAATCAAAAATTCCTTTCATCAATTACAAATGCTTTCGGATAAATAAAAAGAGTTTAATTCTTTATTACGCGTGACATTTACCGGTAATTTTTTTTTGATATTGTTTGTTGAAATGTGCATAAAAAGTTACATTTTGCATGGTTACGTCTACCATAACAACTCCAGACATGGGTATACAGAAATTAAATTTTAAGTTTTTATTTCAGAACATAGACATTTGGTTATTCACAGACTGAATCTGAGAGCTACACTTTACGGCGTTTCTATTTGTTTGGTAGTTTGATATTCCTACCACTCATTTAATGCCTATATTTTTCAGACGAGTTCTAACATTATTAGATAAATTATAAAGAAAAGTGTACAACGCGGCTATAACTACCAATGGATCAACAAGTCTGTTCAAATTATACTTATAATCCAAGACAAGAGTTATAATAACGAGACTATTTCAATAATAAGAGTACGTAAAACAAATCTGTCTATCTTTGACGGGTGTCGTGCTTATGTACAAATGTTTTGAATGTAAAAGATTTTCTAATAAGACAAAGACGAAAGAATTATTTATCTTTAATTAAAATCAAATATTAGCGTTGATTTATAATGTGTTTGGTGAGAACTGGCACTTTTCGAGTTTCGACCTGTTTCGGCCGTCGTGATTCAGAAATGGTTGTATGTTATCAATGCCATAACCATTTATTATAGTGAAACGTCGTGAACCATTCCTTAAACACGATCACGCAGTAGAATTGTAAAATGGCCGCTAAAACCTGACACAGCGTATAATGTTAAGTCTCTTAAAGTCCAGAAGTCCTCTGTATGCAAGGAATGGAAAATGGGTGAAATTACTCTTATAGATGTCCGTGATAGAAAATTAAAAATAAATAAGTCTAAGAAAATGCTTCAGAACTCTATATGAAAAACCGTTTGTGATTCAAACGGTTTGAAACCAGCAATTTTGGCCATATAATAGAGAGCTAAAGATCTTTAATGGTTAGTGTAATAAATAAAAATAATCATCAAGCTTAATGACCTATTTTTCAAATACAAAGGTCTGTTCCTACTGCTTCGAAACTTTTAACACATATTTTTGTATCAATTTACCAATTAACAAAGATTTCCGAACTCTTTCAAGGATGTACGTGGCTTCTAAATTGCTATAAGTCTTATCCGCAGTCTTAGTTTCAACAGCCAAAGTCATTCGTTAGCAGTAGCACCGGAGCTGTCCGAATTGTCCTCCGCTTTTCGTTTACTACCCGCATGTTTGCTCTTTTTCACTGGCCGATACTTCTCCCACTTCTTATGATTTAACGTGTCAAAATCGTCACAAAACGTCGCTATGTCCTTTAAGTAAGTTATTAAATGCAATAATTCCTTATCTTTATCTCTATTTAAATGCGCTTGACGGAATGCACGTATTTTTAGTCCACTCTTCGGGTTCATGATGAAATTTCGTCTTATGTCATCTAGCATAATGGTATTTTTAGAGCTATACTGTGGATATTTTCCCCAGATAACGCCAAGTGGTTTTACCTGAAATGAGAATGGTACATTACAAAACTATGGATAGTGGAGTTCGAGCTTAAAATTGGAAAATATCAACAACGACAAGTCCTTTGTCTTTTTCTATAAACATTTGACTAAAACAACCCCAATACATTATAAATGTTTAAGGATTAAAATTGATTAAACACTGAAATAAACTTTAATTAATATGTTTATAATGTTTATCACTTTTGGATGGTATATACAATAGACAAGATCTTATCATAATAGATTAGAATATCCAATATAGATCTGAATTTACCAAAATCTTACATCAATTGTTCCATATTTTGGTGTATGCACTGTAATCATTGCCAAGTAATCTAAATAGAACATAATTTTGTATTCTGGATGAACAGAAACACCGAGAAGTTTCATTTTCTCTTCAATCCATTTCATGCCAGTGGCTGACCAGATAACAATATCATAATCTTTGTAGGCTGATGTGAGGAATTCATGAAGATACGGCCTCATTAGTTCATAACCTGAAAGCAAGATGGTTCTTGAAATTTATTTGATTTTGGAAGAATACCTTGACATCAATGCTAAAGAATTGATGGTGCAGGATTATTAAAGGTCAAAATTACAGATACACATGGAATCAAAAATATATACCTGTTTCTGCTACAGATCTGTGATCAAATAATGTATAGTCTATATCCAACACTAAAAGTTTCTTATCTGGCCGAGGCTCATTCAGTATTTTTATTTTGTAGTCTTTAACTCTTTTGTTTATTTTAGCTAAGTATATCTGAAACAATTAAAATATTGTTTACTTAATAAAAGCAATTTAATAGGTAAATCCATAGTTATAGGATAACAAGCCTAGCTGCTTTCCCTTCATTGGCAAGTCTTTCACATTGTGATAATTGAATTTTAATCTACTGGGAAAGAGATGGTCAAGTTACCGTGAAATATTAATAGATCAACTGGCATAATGTACAGTTGAAACCTAGGAACCAGTATGTCCAACTGACTTACTACTTACACTATTTAAATATACATATTATTCTTAAAATTGCATATCTTTCTTAAAAACTACTTGTTGCATAATATTTAAAAAAACTTTTAGATCTGTACCTCTTGATTTTCAACATCAATTTCTTCTTCTTCTATGTCTAAGTCATTAACTACATCATCACCAACATCAGGCTTTGACATGGCACCTTCTATTGCTTCTTCGAGAGAACCCATCATCATTATTTTAAGATTTGGCTTAAGGTTTAACTCTGAGAGTGTATAGTTATCCGTAGCTACTTTTCCTGAAATTATACAACAAATAAATTTTGTAAAAATGTATTTAAAAACAATAAGTAAGCACTATTCCAACTATTCTATTGTTACGTATAAAAATATACTTTTTATGTAGTGACTTATTACTACATAAAAAGTATATTTTCACCAGACCAGTCTATATAGTTATCTGTGTCAATATTGTTTCAAAGAAATCTTATTGATTTGGGTTAATTAATGGATTTCAATACCTATAAAATGAGTTAACAGCGTTCAAAAATAAAAACAAAATCGTTTAGGGTTCATTGACCCTTAGTAACATAAAGAGCGATCATGCTTATAGGACTCATAATATGGTTTTCCTTCGAAAGTTGTGTGAAGTAAATGGTAATTACCTTGAAACTTAACATTAAGGAGCTTCTGTCTCTCAGGCCGTACTCCTGTGGCATTTTCTATAGCAACCTTTAACATCGCAACGGAATCGGAACGTGCAAGCTCTGGTAGTTCATATTCCTTACCGTTCCACTTAACGCACAACTTTATAGGACTGTCGAGGTCGCTCATTTTAACATATAGAGAAGAATTTAGTCGAAAGAAGAAAGTATTCGTAAACAAAACAAGAAGTAACTTTATTATACCTAAAGCCTAATTTCACTCTTGACTTTTGTCAAAATATGTCATAACCGTCAATGACAGATATTAAAGTCCAGCAAATTGTCATTCATGAATATACAGAAACTAAATGCCTACAGATTCAAATATTTTAATGGTTATTAATTGATGATTATATTACGAGAGTTAATAATGCTATCCATGTATAAAATAAATATTTTGACAAATCTTCCTTAATACCTCCTGTATTACAAAAAAATATTGGAAGTTAGCTATTGTTACATAAGATAAAAATTTAAACAACTTCACCCTGAACATTAGTTGTATTTTTAGTTGTTATAAACAATATCTTCGTCTTTACTTTAATCTTCTACAACGTGTATTTCTTCTATGTAAGTTTCAGGTTCAAAATGTGGATCTAGAGATCTACTCCTTACTATCTCCTTATAAATAAAAGCTGACTTTCTTGGCGTTCTAGTACGGTCAGAGCTAGAAAAGTCAACTTCATAAAGGCCAAATTTTTCCCTGAAAATAATCAATAAAGTTTATAATGGGCGATGTCTTATTATTTCCTATACTGCGGTTAGTAATTTATTTCTAAATTAGACATTCATTGACAGTAAGGGCCATACTAACTTATATCCAGCCATCCATTCAAAATTATCGATCATACTCCATACGGAGTAGCCTCGTACATTACAACCTGCTTCCACAGCATCTAACAATGCTGAGAGATAACTCCTTAAGTATCGAATCCTATCTTCATCCAGCAAGCCGCCAGCTGTAGACCAACCATTTTCCGTTACATAAATCCGTGGATTATCGTACAACCTATTTACTTCCATTAGCAATTTGTAAAAGCCCCATGGTACTTCCTGAAATAATTGATTAGTTTTTTAAGGGTCAAGTGAAAGCAGGCCCAATAACTAATTCTTTTTTTTAATGAGAATATTTCAGACTTTCAAATAATACCTACTAAATCTCTAGTCACTTTCAATATACCTAAGTAGTTTTTACATCTGTCCTAAATGACAATGATTTGACATTTCATTCTACTGACAGCAAAAATTATAAATGTAACGTAAATAATAACAATAGGTGTTCATAATGTATGCTAAACGTTTATAGTTTTTAATTTTAAATGAAGAAAAAAAAACATGTTATAATCAGATTGAACATCGCTTATAAAAAATAAAATGACTCCTCGAATATAGATGAAAATCGACCATGTTTGCTACAGAATTGTAATGTGATGTTTAGGAACAACTAAACAATGACTGACGACTTGGAGCAAAACACTTACATCATTATTATTCCAACTGAAATATTACTCAATATTTTCAGTTATCTATCACCAAAACACCTGGCTAAATGTAGATTAATATGTTGTCGTTGGAAGCAAATTATTGACGATGTATCTCTGAGCGATAGGTTTTGGTGTCTATACTGTCAGCGCGAATATCCTTCTATTTACGAAAAGGTAATGTACAAAGCTAGACCGGGAATAACATGGCAAAATATCTATCGCTCTCTATTTTTATGGTCTAAATTTCTGGATGCCACAGAAAATGTTGACGAGTTCGCCTCAGCTTCAAATTTAACAGAGGAAATAAGAGATTTTAAAGTACTCAGAGATGGATTAATAGCTGTTCATACCCGCGATGGCATACATTACTATGATCTAGAAACATTGAAACATTCGAAGAAAGTCAGACCAATAACAGGAAGTTATGCTAGCTATTCAGAAAATGATAATTTTCTTATTTTCATAGATTCTGGTAACAACCTGACAATTGTTCAAAAACAAGATTATTTTGGACATGGCAATGGAAAGACACTTGGTAATGTTCAGAAGTTTCTATTGCATGATCAATTCCTATATTATGTTACACTTGACAATGAAATTCATGCATGCAATTTGTACTCTAATGAGATCCATGCATTATTTCTCAAAAAATTTGAAGAGCAAGTAATGACTTTAGGCTACAGTAACACTCTTAACATTTTGACCTATGAGAGAGAAATTTACTCTCTATTGGAGGGCACATTTAAGTTACAGTGTAATATAGAAACTGTGCCTAATATGCAACATGTGTTATGGAAGTATAATTTGCTAGAGCGAATGGATTGGAGAGTGTATATACAGTGGATGTATATCTTAAACCATAGAATACAACAAGTATTGCTTAAAGACATGTTGATCATTTATCCATATGGTGATGTCTTCTTTGTTGGTACTACTTGGGGTGTATTTAGAATCTACTACAAACCATTTGTCAACGGCGAATTTGACTTGTACAACTCAGTACCAATAAAACAGTACAACTTTGCTGAGCGCTCAGATTGTCCAGTATTATCAATGAGCCCAATATTTCAAATTGATGTGGTGGAGATGGAAGATGGGCATATAGTATTAGTGGCTATGCCAAAGAAAATTGCAGTTTTATATTACACTCATGTTTTTAAGAGAACACCAACATGGCCTGTGTTGCCATTTAATGAAGAACGAGGTGTACAAATTTTGAATAGACCCTAGGAAATTTAAGATATATGAGCAATAACAAAATCGACACTAAAACTTTATACTAAATACTCAGGTTTTTAAGCAAATAAAAAAAAGGTTGCAGTGATGAAAGATGGATTATCATGCTATATCTCTTGATGATGCCATTTAGTCATCCAGCTTTGGAAATGGCCGCGAAAGCTTTACGCTATTTTCAATTTAATTATTTAATCAACATGTCTATCATACATTTTTAACATTCTTATTCTAGTTACATATTTTAGCAAATTTTGGAATAAAGTAATTTATTTGGGTTTAAGTATTTTTACTTAATCCAGTCTTGACTAAGCTTATAAAACAGTGGAAACCGCTAGGCCAAAGTTATTGTTAATCCTTTTGTAATAACCTTTTTGTATTGAAAAAATAAAACAAACTGAATTACCTATTACTATCTTACCTGTAACCATGATGATTCTCCTTGAGGCCAAGAAGGGTCCTTGACTAACACCGAGCCCATATCGTCCATATACGATGGCACAGCATACATGCCCTCAAGAGAAGCATCCCTGTATGCCAATTTGGTGGTATACGTGTTCAGTCCTAGAAAATCAGATGACCCGCGTATTGTTAATACTTCAGCCGCTGTAAGTTCTGGTAAACGAGATCGTCTAAAGCCCTGTTCAGCGCTTTTCGCTGCGATGTTCTTTTTTAATTCGGTGGGAAAATCGCCATCTTTTGAAAATATTGGATTAGCATACTGGCCCCACTGAAAAGAAATATTCGTCCTTGTAGAAATATGTATAATCTGTATCGATGTTTATAACTTCAGAGTCTGAGTCAGAGTAAGTAATAAGTCAAATAGTAGGTATGTAAAACTCAGTGACATGAAAGGATGGAAAAGATAAGTCAAACTATTATATAAGTATCATGCACTTGTAGTCTCCGCGAATAGTAGGAACACAATTAAATAAAACACTTAACGCGATATGTGTTAGTTAAACTTATCTACAAATTAGATGTTTCAGATGCTTAGCGGCAGCCGATAAATACCTTTATTTCATATATATACCTATTACATTTTGCATTTCAAACACTTTAGTGTTTGAAATATATAAGTATCATGTGATAGGTAGAAATCTAAAATCTACTACAATAAAACCCGTTTTTTATTAACTCCATTAGTATCAATACCCAACAAATGTCTCTTAAAATACAATTTACTGGTATTTTAGAACATTTATTTAATTTAAGATTTAAATTACAAGTGCGATAAATTAAATTGAATCGATTGGGAATGAAAATAATTAGGTAGGTACTACTTTAAGGAAAAAAAGATAGAAACAATATCCTTTATATACGTCCTTTTATGCTTATTACGTCACTTAATTCTAACAAATTATGTTAAAGTACTTCATTTAAAAAAAGGCGGAAACAACGCCCTATAACATAATACTAGTCTTACGTCGAATTGAATAGCGTCCCAGGCAGCTTGGTGGTCCTCTTGTGACTCCGATGCCGGTTCGTACCATGAAAAGCTGATAGAAATACCAATTGTTCCATTCTGTTGTTCTCTGTAAACCTCGTCATACAAATGATATGCTTTTGCATGAGCTAAAAGCACATTTTTAGCGCAGAGGTATTCACCGACTCCTGTCATGTTCACTAGCGGTGCTTTCTTGTCTGAACCGTAACCTGTAGGTAAAGCATCAGAAGAATGTCATTTTTATTTAAAGTATAAATCTGCATACTTATACTGTATGTAATCACGGTAAAAATGCAGCGACATGACTCCGATTACTTAGAGCTTAGATTCGAGGGTTTAAATTTATTTAAAAACTAATTGAACAAAAAAATAACACAGGCGGAACTCGAACCTACGACAAACAGCGTTGTAGGCCGTTGCTTTTAAAAATTAACTTATAATATCAAGCGGTTTTCAAATTTAAAAAAAAACGTCTGCGAGAGTATAATATGTCTATCTTTTAAGATGAACCAAGAACTAAGAGACCCGAACGACGTCGTTGGTAACCGCTTTAATTAATGAAGATTGTTTGCGAAAAACATAATATTATGATGCCAAAATTAATATTCCATGCGGGCACAGCTAGTTGCTGATAAGAACAATACCTTCATAGCAGATCTGTTTCGGTTCGTTAATTGTCATCCAATATTTAACCCTATCACCGAAATGTTCAAAAAGAACTTTAGCATAGTCTGCGAACCAGTCGACGATGGCTGGGTTTGCCCATCCGCCCAACTTCTGCAATTCTTGTGGCAGATCCCAGTGATAAACCGTTAGGAACGGCGCTATGTTATTCTGAAGCATTTCATTGATTAGGTTATTGTAGTAGTCGATTCCAGCTTGGTTGACGTTATTCGCAAAACCAGTGGGAAGTATTCTAGGCCATGATACGGAGAACCTGTAGAAGTCCAGTCCAAGTTCCTTCATGATTTCCACGTCTCGTTTGTAAAGATTGTAGGAGTTAGCGGCTACATCGCCTGTACTTTCGTCTGTGATGGGAGATGGCTCGAGGTGTGTAGCTACGTCCCATATTGATAATCCTTTACCTAGAAAGTATTTTTAAAATTGTGACAGTTTTTCAAGAGGGATTCCTTTTTAGTTCTAAAGAACGGGAAGCGCACCGACGTCCATGAAAAAAAGAGTTGATATTCAAGAAATCAGCAATCTTAACTCGCAGATATAACTTTTTGGGATAGAGGAAGACAGACAAGGCGTTCACTTGAGGTAAGGTTAATACTTCAGCCATATAAGATATAAACATGATGTGCTATCGACCTTTTTTGACTTTTTGACATCTGTTGACAGTAGTTTCATGACCCAGACGGAATTTCGATATTGACTAGAAAAATGGAGCCAGTGGCCATTGAACCAATGGTCCGTTGATCATTAGCAACATATTGCTACCACTACAACAACATGCCCGTCAAATTAATACTAATACTTTATAAATTTAAACAAACTTGCCATCATCAAACGCACCGCCTTCGATTTGATAAGACGATGTTGACGCACCGAACACAAATCCTTTCGGAAACGACCTAACTCGACTTTTCGGTGAGACTCCATGTGTTCGTGTTATAAAAAGGAAGCTGGAAAGACAAACATAGACAAAAAGTATCAAACGAAACTTATGATCACAATGTTGATATTAAGTGGTACCACACACACGAATGTGGAAAAGGATAAAAAAATCGATAAAGCAAATTACAACACAAATGATAAAGACGAATTTTCAATGTATATGCATAGGTTTTCAGTTGCACAATAATCTGGTATGCTAACTGCTGATGTAGCCCAAGTTAAAACATGTTATCTAGTGCACAAGTTCGAATCCGGGGAATAAAGTATTTCGGTCGGGCAGGGCATACTTGTCTGTAAATAAAATTGATCAGTGAAACGGTCACATAAATGTGATCGCCCTATGACGAACATGTGGAAACGGGATTTCATTTTAAGAAAATTCATTTTATTAATTAAGTTGACGTTTATATTCACTAAACAATTTAAATATTGTCAAATTCATGAAACTTACCATAATAAAAAAAATTGTCGAGACATCACGACTACTCGACATGCGAAATAAGACTAGATTACAGTACTGTATATTTGATCGGCAGGTTATTCTATGATATCTAATGCTTTTATATAAGAGTCTATTGTTCCAAAACAAAGTGAAATCAATTTCTTGTTTAAGAAAATAATTTAGACAGTGCTAAGATGACGCTTCAATTGTAAAACATTGGTTTATATTACATGTTTTCATTATCTTTGCTTGCATCACCTCCATGTGTAAATGGCTTTTTAATTCTTACTGACACGTTAAATGTTATTTCTGGCTTACGATTGTTAAATATATATTTTTTTGTCATAGCTCTATGTGAGCGTCGACCTATCACTTTAAAGGAATGTAATTTAAACCAAAGTAAAAGAAATCTCACATAATATACCTTCGCTGTTTTGGATCGTATTCGTTTGGTCGTTTTTAACGACGCATATTTGGGCGATAAATGACAAAACAGAATGTGTTAACAATCCGATCCGAATTTACATAACATTAGGAATGAAGTGAAATCCTGTTTAATCTTTATGAGGCAACACAGACAAATGTATTACAATAGTGATCGACTAAAAGTATGGATTCCCCGGGATTCGAATCTAGGGTAACTCGACGCCTTCCACTTAACGTAATGCTAAGCAATGCGTTAAACTCACGGGCTTCTGAATAAAATGACAAAAAGATTAACCATCTTTTTGCCAATATATTATCTAACCTCGTAAGATCAGTATTATATGTCAATATAATCCTGATAAGCGTTTGGTTGGATCAACTTATCTACTTGTTAGAGAAAACCAAATACATTTTCTCTGTAAGATAAATTTTAAATGCAAGATTATGCTAAGTGCAATAAACACAGGCTAAATCTAAATACATTCTGGATGACTTATTATGTCTTTGTGTGTTTGTTTAGTTTAGAGGTCATATCTTCAATATTGTAACGCGTTACCTAAGATGTTGTGCTAAGCCCTACAAGCCGAGTCAATGCCAGCCAAGCCAGCCATGCCAGCCAAGCCAGCCAAGCCAGCCAAGCCAGCCATGCCAGCCATGCCCAGCTATGCCAGCTATGCCAGCCATGCCAGCCGCTAACCATCATGTTAGCAAACAGAGCCAATCACAAACCGAGCCGTAGACTGTGATATAGTCTGTGATGTGATACAGTCTGTGGTGTGATATAGTCTGTAGTGACAAAGATAGTTCACTCCCGAGATGACAGATCGTGCATTCACATATCGGGAAAACGCGCGAAAGCGCGTGCACGACATTGGGTTAGGCATTCTAATTCTGGGACTAATCAAAGCGAAAGCTCTGTTACAATTTGATAAAAATTAAAGTCTTTAATCGGTCAAGTTGTTTATTTAAATTACCTCGTTACAATTCAGAAGTGGGATGAAGCGCAATAAAGTTGGACACGGCGTCCGCCGAAACAGTTCCTCCAGAAAAAACAACACCGACCGAAATCATGAGGAACCGCCTGCCAAGAAATTGTTAAAGCAATTGCTTCAAAATGAAGTAAAAAGAGCCATGAACGATCTAAATCAGGAAATCTCTAGCGCCGGCCCAAGCAACCCTCAACGAACGTCATCGCTAATTCCCGATTTCGATCCTGACAGCGACGATTGCACGGTGTCGGCCTGGATAAATAAGATCGAGCAATTGGGAGAGATATATACATGGAGTGACACAGTAAAGGCATTCTACCTTCAAGACAAGCTACGCGGTCAGGCTCGCAAATGGTATAATCGACTCGATGATTATGATCATACGTGGCAAGAATGGAAAGTCTTGTTGCTACGCGCATTTCCGAAGCATCGAGATTACGGTTCTTTGCTAGAGGAAATGATGCAAAGGAAAAAGCTACCTAATGAATCTATGACCAAATATTATCAAGATAAAGCTACATTATGTTTTAGATGTAAGCTATCGGATGCTGCTAGCGTGTCATGTATAATACGCGGCCTACCCGCTTCCTTGCAACCTAACGCACTTGCTTTTCAATGCGAAAGTCCTGATGAACTTTACGAAGGGTTCCTTAGCGCAATGGATGACTATCGGGGACAATCTGTCACCCGCCCGCAATGCAAAGAGAACCAACCTTTTACTGTCCCAAAAGTTTATGAAAACGACCCGTGCCCACGATGTAAGAAGGTTGGTCACATGCTGCGTAATTGTTCCATGCCAGATCTACGCCTGTGTTATAAATGCGGTAAGCAAGGACATATAGCCACAAAATGTGATACTTCGATTTTAAACTCGGCCGGTGGTGGTGTTAGAGACATAAAATTAATTCAAAATTACAACGATACCTACAAAAAAACAGCTCAAGTAGATGGCATTTATATCAAATCATATCTGGATACTGGTAGCCAAGTAAATGTAATGAGCGCGAAGATTTCTACTGCCCTTTCCTTGAAAGTCATACCAACGAAAATAATACTTAAAGGATTTGCCGGCGGTTTAATTACATCCCGCGGGAAAGTTCAAATAAATCTGAAAATAGATAACGTGGAAATGTCTAGTGAAGCTTACTTGACAGACGCAGAGATGGGTGACGTAGACCTATTGATTGGACAGCCTGTCATTAACGCGGGAAACGTGACATTGACGGTTGAAAATGGCGCGGCCACTCTGAGATTAATTGAGAATTGTGATTTTCTATCTAAAATTAATGACATTAACAAATTGGGAAAGTATATCGTCGTCACGGCTGCCAAAGAAACTTTACCCCCGGGAACGTCAATTATCCGAGTAAGAGTTGAAGGAAACCGCGAAGACAACAATGTATGCAGTGCTATGCGACATTATGAGTTTGGAGATATCTCTTACTCTTTACCAGCTACGCTTCTGCGAGGCAATTTGGGTTACATAAAGATAATCAACAGCGGCCAAAAGGACATAACATGGGACGCCAGTCAAATCCTCACGCGGGCAGAGGATTGCTCAGAGCCAGCCATAGATAGCCAGGTTAGCCTTCCTTATTTTACTAACTGTGTGCAATCTGTGTTACATTTAAAGCCTGAAGATACTATTGGGGGTGTTCAAATAGCAGATATGAATATTGGTAAAATAACAGACAGTGAATATTTACAATTAATAGAATTGTTAGTTAGATTTAAGGATTGCTTTGCTAGGGGTACTGACGACCTTGGTTGTACTAATCTCATTTCAATGCCAATCAATCTCACCACTGAAAAGCCTATTTATCGCCATCCCTATCGGTTATCACATTGTGAACAGGACATTGTAAAAAGTAAAATTACCGAATTGTTAAATGCAGGTATTATCAAAGAGTCCGAATCAAGTTATGCATCTCCTGTTGTTTTAGTTAAGAAAAAGAATGGTGATAGTAGGTTATGTGTAGACTATCGTGCCTTGAATTCAATTACAATAAAAGATAGGTATCCTATGCCTAATATTGAAGATCATATAGCAAAGTTGTCAGGGAAAAAATATTTCACTTGTCTCGATATGGCACAAAGCTATTATCAACTTCCATTAAAGCCACAAGATACTCACAAAAGTGCTTTTGTTTGTCAAGCAGGGCATTATGAATATACTAGAGTGCCATTTGGGTTAGCAAATTCACCCGCAGTGTTCATGCGACTAATTAGTAGGATAGTGAGTTCAATCAATAATAGCCTCGAAGACTCATGTGAAGTATTAGCGTTCTTAGACGATATCTTGTTACCTTCAACAAGTGTTAAGGGTGGCCTTAAAATGTTAGAAATATTACTTAGTAAATTTAAATTAGAAAATCTTAAATTAAATATGAATAAATGTTCATTTTTGCAACAAAAAGTTACTTATCTGGGTCATGAGATCTCTGAACATGGAGTACAACCCGCAGAACATAAGCTCAATGCAGTTTCACAATTTTCAGCACCCAAAAATGTACATGAAGTTCGGCAGTTTATAGGGTTGTGCAGTTATTTTAGGAAATTCATCTATAAGTTTGCTCAAATAGCTCGTCCATTAACTGATTTAACTAAGAAGGATGTAGCTTGGAATTGGGGCACTACTCAGGCGGAGAGTTTTGTAGAATTAAAGAAACGCTTGTGTTCTAAACCTGTGTTAGCTTTATATGATCCTTCTCTCGAGATTGAGATTCATACAGATGCCTGTAAGGCCGGGATAGCAGGCATCCTTTTACAAAAACAACTTGATATCACTTTGAGGCCAGTCACGTATTTTAGTCGCATAACATCTAAACATGAGAGTATGTACCACAGTTATGAACTCGAAACGCTTGCTGTTGTTGAATCACTACGGAAGTTTCGAATTTACATAGTAGGTAAAAGAGTAAAGGTAGTCACTGACTGTACAGCCGTTCGTTCGACCTTAACTAAACGCGATTTAATTCCTCGAATTGCAAGATGGTGGTTGATGATACAGGATTACGACCTTGATATTGAATACAGACCCGGAGAACGAATGAGACACGTTGATGCTTTAAGTAGGAACGCATTAAATACGGTCAATGTGTATAGGTTGGGGTCTGAAGATTGGTTTTATACGGTTCAGATACAGGATGAAAAAGTCAAAAGTATTATCGATCAATTAAAATCGGGCGCCGCAGATAAGGACATAGTTAGGGACTTCGTAGTTATTAACGATAGATTATATAGACAGACTATTAACGGAAATAGGCTTGTTGTTCCTAGGGTAGCTAGGTGGAAAATCGTTCAAATGCATCACGATGATATAGGACATGTAGGAATAAAGCGTTGTACAGACTTAATCAAAAATGATTATTGGTTTCCGAAAATGAGTCGTTTTATTAAAAAATATGTGACGGCTTGCTTACACTGTGCGTATGGAAAGGGTGAAAATGGTAGGCGAGAAGGGCTACTACATCCCATTCCTAAACCTGCCGAGGCGTTTAGAGTAATTCATGTGGATCATTTAGGTCCATTTTGCAAAACAAAGAAAGGATATAGTTACATGTTAGTTATGACTGATGCATTCTCGAAGTTTGTAGTTGCGGAACCAACCCGAACCCTAAATTCTATTGAGACAATAAGAGTACTAAAAAAAGTTTTTAGTTTGTTTGGTTACCCCGATAGAATAGTCTCGGATCATGGTAAAGCGTTCACTAGCAGGTACTTTAAAAAATTTGTCACAGAAAAACAAGTAAAGCACACTCTAACTACTATTGCGTGCCCTAGGGCAAATGGGCAAGTGGAACGAACCAATCGAACTATACTTAACGCATTACGCGCTACAGATCCAAGCGAAGCGGCGAACAATTGGTCAAATAGCATTTGCGATGTGATATGGGGCATCAATAACACTTTAAATGATAGTACGGGGTTTAAGCCGTTTGATCTGATGTTTTCCCGAAATGCTAGGTCTGTATGCGATGTTTCAATTCCGGGGCGAGTATTTGAGTCGACTCAAGACAAACGTCGAAAAGCTAAACAACGTTTGGATAAAGCTAGCTCTAAAATGAAACGTAATTTTGATAAGTGTAGAAAAAAAAGTCGTGTGTATAGTAAGAATGATCTGGTTTTGTGGAAACAGGCTCCGACGAGTAGTGCCGCCAAGGTCAATACCAAACTAGATGACATTTATTCAGGTCCATACATTGTAACTAAAGTACTAGGTAATGATAGGTATAAAATCAGAAGTATAAAGGGGGTACGTGGGTATAAAAGTTTTATGGGGTTAGTTTCTGCTGACGCATTACGTCCTTATCGAAGTATAGCCCCAGTATCTGAAAGTGACTCTAGTGGTGACGAACAAGTAGAAACTGAGGATTTGATTGATTTACTAGAAAGCTAAATACGTATTTGTTCCCGTTGCGGGAGCAATCGTTGCAGGATGGCCGATTGTAACGCGTTACCTAAGATGTTGTGCTAAGCCCTACAAGCCGAGTCAATGCCAGCCAAGCCAGCCATGCCAGCCAAGCCAGCCAAGCCAGCCAAGCCAGCCATGCCAGCCATGCCCAGCTATGCCAGCTATGCCAGCCATGCCAGCCGCTAACCATCATGTTAGCAAACAGAGCCAATCACAAACCGAGCCGTAGACTGTGATATAGTCTGTGATGTGATACAGTCTGTGGTGTGATATAGTCTGTAGTGACAAAGATAGTTCACTCCCGAGATGACAGATCGTGCATTCACATATCGGGAAAAGCGCGCGAAAGCGCGTGCACGACATTGGGTTAGGCATTCTAATTCTGGGACTAATCAAAGCGAAAGCTCTGTTACAATTTGATAAAAATTAAAGTCTTTAATCGGTCAAGTTGTTTATTTAAATTACCTCGTTACAATATATTTTTTTCGTCTATTGAACATAATTCTATTATAAGTCGATAAGATTTCAAAATTGGAATTTAAAATAATAAAACTTAAAAATATCTTTGCAATAATGTATGTATTTTCAAACAACAATACAACCGGAAACAATCAACACTCAGAGCTGAAACCTGAAAACAAAAGGTATCTTAAATAAATTATCTAATTGTTATTGCATTTGCATTATGAAGGAAACAATAAAACGTTATAGAAATAAAATAAGTAATAGACGAGAGAATTAAACAAAAAGTGTCTTTTAGGTATATGAAATGAGATATAACAGTAATAATAATAATAAAAAAAATTGTCATGTTCAAAACTTATGTTGAATACTGTTTAGTATGAGAAAACAGCGCAACGCTATTGTATGTTGTATAAAAATTAATAAAAAAAACCTAAGCTCTATTCTTTTTGCTAGACTTCACTTTTGCCTGAACTCTCGAGCGCGGAGTCTCATCCGAATGTGACTTTTCTAACGCATGTTTTGTTCCCTGTAAAAAACATTATATATTTAAAAATTTAAAGTTAATAGTAGTTAATTGCACGAGATACATTTTAAAGTAAATATCACAAATTTGAAATTAATGGGATTCTTAGTAAGTACCCAATGACAAGTGTTAAAATATATAGCGTTGATATCAAGTACCTTGCGAGTTGATTCATCAAGTCTTTTCATTTTGTGAGCTGAAACATTAATTCAAGTGTTTTAACTATGTCAAGATTAGCTGTTGTCGGCCCATTGATTTAACTACCTTCTCTATTAGAACCAGAGGACGGGCAAATGGAAACAAAGGGCTGTGAGTTCAATCCCAACCGAGTCCAACATGGTAAATATCCAATAAATTTTATATATTTTTTTTAATTATTAATCGCGTTGTGGTTTCGCTCCGTGGATTTCTAAAGCCGAAATAGATCGACAGCGCATCTTGTTTAGATGTTATGTGGCTGGGGTATGTCATCTACCATGAAGTGAACCATACGCGTGTCTGTTCTCCTCTATCATACAAACCCATCGAATCGTTTCGAATTTAATGATTTTTACAAACCACGGTGTAGACTTCGTTTTGGAACGTCGTAGTTCCGATATTGCTTGGTCTGAAATTTATATGGTTAAATAGTAGACAAGTACTTAGATAGTTACTTTTATACGAATTGGTAAAATACAAGAAACCCGATAAGCTTATTTTTTAAATATTTAATACATACGTTGATATAGAATATGTGTACTTTGTCGAGACACCTTTACTAAATTAGTAATATTGTTAGTGCAAGTACGTTAATAAATAGTAGGCCTTTGCAGGATATTTATCAAACTTACCTTTGTTACTATAGAAGGGAACAAATGTGGAGTAAACAATCTCGACGAGAATAGCTCATTATAATACTTTTGAGACTGAAATCAATCAAGATAAATATCAATTAATCACCCCTTTTTCCAATAGACATAAAATAACACTTTGAATGTCTAGACACAAGGCATCTATATCAGCTTAAAATAAATGTAATTACAGAGTAACTCATCTCACCTCTAAAAGATATCTTGATGGAGATAAAATATCGCAAGTGTCTGAAAGATTGAAATATATCTGAGAATTCTAAGAAGAATTTAATAAGAAGTAATCGCAATAATACATTTTTTTAAATAAAACACATAACGAATTTAAACGCGAAATATATTATTATTAGTAAAGTTTTTTTAATACCATTTAACTATGGCCGACGTTTCGGATGATTTGCAGCGGTATGGTCAGGAGGGCACGTAGTTAAATTGTAAATAAGTTAATATTAACGCGAATTATAATTTAGTTATAAATTTTGCGTTTCAATCAGTTTTGAGTCTTTTATTTTAATGTGTCGGACAATTCTGATCATCTCAATTCAATTATCAGAATGCTTGCGCGCAAACTTGTAATAATATATTATCTATTCTAAATTTACTTATTTCTCGTTTAAAATACGTTACATAACTTCATAGCAATTTGGTGATTTGATAGAACGGTTTTAATTGAGTTTTAAACATCTGTATTTAAACTTTATTTAAAAAACCGTAGATACTTTACCGCGTATAGTGCAGAGAACACAAGAGCTTTAAAAAAAAAGAACTAACCTCTCGGTATAATCTGTGCCCGGCTTAAGAATTTAACAATACGCTTATCTGTAGCAACTCCTCTGCTCTTTCTCGTTCTATATCTGTGATCACCAGCTTCATCGTGAAACTTCATCGGTTTTCTTTCAACAAGGGGACTCCACCAATCATCAGTTATGGTGCTCACATCACATATTTGAGTCTTATCCGTGGTAGTAGCTTGGTTGGTTTTAGTTGCCACATTAACTTTGACCTTCTTGACTCGTCTTACTGCGGTTCTCCTTGGCTTTTCTTCTATGTAATCTACTTCGAGTCGACTGCAAATTGTGGTTGAGGTCTTTGTATCGTCCGTCTGGGAAGTGAGGCTTAAGCTGCTGTATAAGGATATATCTGAAGACGGAGTTTTGTTGTGTGGACTTTGTGGTGTACGCTCTTTCTCTGTGAAAATATTTTCACTGTCACTATCTATTTATTTAAAAGAACTCTTTCTTACGATTTACAATAAATTATTGAGACTACAAGTTCACTCTATTTTATCACATCGTTTGTTTATGTTATTAGTAAAACTATTTTCTTTTTCATAGACCAATAATTATCATAGGTTTAGCTTTCACGGCCATCGTTCGGCTGTTCGGCGGACGTTAGCGACAAGAGGCACGGTGAACGCTCGTGATGGCGAAACGTCGAGAACCTCTTCTTGCTCACGTCTGCTGAACAGCACGAAAAACAATGATACGCTGCTATGCTAGGTATTTTTTTTTTACAAATCTAGAAAACTTCTATGTTGTATATACTCGTATGTATCCTTCTTACCTTGTTTCATGACACACATAGAATTGCAAGCCTTGTCCACGCCAATATATCGATATTGTGTTGCACATGAGCAAATTCCTTTGGTGGCTTTTAAATTGTCTATTAAAAAAAATGTACTTCAATAACTTGAACTGCGTCTACTACAGACTAATGGAAGAAAGTATTTTTTACTATGTGTATTTTCAATGGTACAGTGTGTTATGTGTGATGTAGGCGATTTACTCTCCTTTTTCCTTCTCATTCGGGTGCCTCGGCCTTGGATCATTGTGTCATCAAGACATTGACATGAACTGTAAGAACATATTTAGAATATTCATTTATTTCTAAGCTTACTACGCTATGACAAATATAAAATAAGATTGTACCAGGATTGTTGAATCGGTAGTACTGTTATTCCTTTATCGTTTGTAGCTGGACCAAAGTTGCCTTTATCTAAATTTATCTTTATAGATGCCTTGGTATCTTTCTTCTCCACTAGATGAGATAGATGAGTATAAACATCTTTGATTAATGGTGCTGGATTCTTTATTCTATAATAATGTTTACAGTGGTGTTATTAAGATTTATGTTATTTAATTGTTAAGGCCATAATGTTTCGATTTCCCACACGGAGATTAATATGTTTAAAAAAAAAAAGGTTAAAACAATTTTGAATTGTTGGAAATGGAAACCACGATTCTTTTATTGGGCAATTGGAGAAAGAAGCTCTTCAAACGATAGAGTTGTATTATTTTAGTGACTATATTTTAGATATAAGAAATACATAAATACTTTTGACAACTTACCTTAAATGCAAGAAGCGATCTGAGAGAATTCTGTAAAATATAACAAATATGAGTAACAATAAGACGTAGTTAGACAATATAATTAGGAATAACTCACAATTTCAGATCTTTTATTCGGAAGCATTTTCTTGTCATTCTATCGGTGGCTTCTTTGGATTCAAAATTACTAGTTAACGCCGTACTTTCGGAGGGTATTTTCTAAAAGTGTGAAGTAATAATTAATTAGTATGTAGACTATTATAATAAAGCTGAAGAGTTTGCTGGTTTCTGTAAGGATTTTTCTTTAAATGATTTAAAAAATGTCTGACCTTTTTCTTTTAAGTTTAACTCGCAAGAACGACGGAACGTGGACGACGTCGCGGGGGCGTAATTTAAAAAGCTGAGGTCTTTTGCAGATATAAATAATAAGATGCTCACAATCGCTATTCTCTCGGACGAAGTCGCGGGTACCGCTAGTATATAATATAACTGTTATAACCTTTATAAGCACCTTACCTTGTCGTATGCATGACGCGACATTTTGCCTTCGTTTGAAAGGCTGAAAATGTAAATAGAACATTACCAAAAACGACATGAATAAAATAAAAATGCCTTTGAACAAGTTGTACACAATTTTTTCGCTATGCCATTACTAAAATAAAAAATCGTGCAGTTTAACATTGTTGAAATAAAACCGTCAAAAGTTTCGTAAATATTTGGTAAAAATTAGCTTTATAACCATTCTCCAATAGCATTAAAATCATCTCCAATTGAGCGGTAAAAATCCAATCTTTTTTGGAGATCTACGTTCTTCTGTTGTTTTTAAATCATCTGCGAAAATGATTTGTTTTTTAATAAAAAAATCATATACATACACAATAAGAAGATATGTCTATCGTTTAAGATTTTTATAAATTTTATCAGTACCATGATTATTTTCATATTGGTGAACTTCAATTAACTCGCTCGGTTTCCAATAGGAAGGTGATGCATCTTCCTCTCTGTTCACATTTTGGATCTTACAACAATTCTTTTTATTACCTCGACACCAATCAACAAATTTCTCTAAAATATGTAAACATCCGTATCGAAGAGAGTAAGGCATAAAAATGTATATACAACTTACAGTGCCCTAGGACACAGTCACATAAAATAACAAATTTTATCGAACGTTAATCAATAATTAGACATTTAGTGTCGTCAGCTTTATTCAATGCAAATTCTCGATAAAATTGGAATTAAGTCTTAGTCCCAAGCTTGGAAGTATGTAACGACCTAATGTACAATCAAACTTCACAATTATTGGCGACAAAAACATTTTAAGAACAATGAATATCTAAAATACATTTTTTACTTGTTTTAGATCCTACTGCCGACTTTTTCTTCTTAGCAATCTTTTTACAGTCATAGTGGCATTCGCATTTGGAACATCCCTTCTTCATTTCTTTAGAAATGGGTTTCTTTGTATCGTCAATGTGTACCTCTTGGTTATTTTTACAGATACAAACTCCTTTTGGACATGTGCACACCCTTGTTTTCACACATATTGTATCCTTTATTTTCTGTAACGTGATAAATAAAATGCCGAGACTAGCAATCGTAGAGTTTTTGTCTTGGTAGATAAGCTAAACAAATGGGATAATACATACATTCAAAAGGTCTGCTTCCCTCTCTTTGTTTGATGCTGCGTACATCCTGCATCTAGCAAGTTGGTTCAATGCGCATTCCTTTCTTATCCTACTCTTCAAAGAATCTCTATGAAGGCTGCCTTTCACCCAACTTTGGTCTTGTAAATAGGCTGATATTCTGTAATTCCTAGATATTTCATTTTGCCGTTTAATGTAAATTTTGTTATTCTCTTTCTTCTTTCTCCTTTTGAAGTTGCTTTTATGATTTTTGGAGCCATGTTTGCTTTGATTACTACTATTAAGGTCGGTACTAGAGACATATTTATTATTAAGCTTGAAACAGGTAGAAAAAGCGACAAATAACGGTTTTGTATATTTATAATGGTTTTTAGATTTAGTCTTATGTTTAGGCATATCAACATCTTTAGAACATTTTTGTGCTCTCTTATTATGTAGCTCGTTCTTATTTGTTTCTTGTAAATTTATTTTAGTAGATGTTGCTTGTTGTTGGCCTAACTGAATTGTATGTCGGTTGTCTTTATTTAATATGATCGTAAAGTCGATGTTGGTTCTCTTATTCTTTAAAGCTATTTTATTATTTATTCTTTTCCGCATAACAGCTTGAACGGCATAAATAGGTTTAGTTAAACAAGTCCATTTTGGTAGACTTTTACGTCTCGTGGCGTTTAATTTGTAGGCGTAGATGCATGATTTTTTAAGTTTGAAACAATTTTTCAGAATACTGTAAATACTACTTAAGAATCTACTCTTTGATGTCCATGACTTTCGTCTAATCTGATAACATTTTCGACGAGGTTTTCTAAATTTATCTCTCGATAAATTTTGACACAGTGCGAATAATTTTATCAAAGATGTAGTATTTCGTTTCGTAATATTATGTTTTCTTGTATATATCTTTTCCGGTAAGATGGCGTAGCCGCGTTCCAGCGTTCTTAAGCTACAATTACTAAATGCAAGCAATGTTAAATCAGTTGCTTTTTTTACAGCTGTTTTATCTTTACTTTGATCATATTGTGGTAATAGAAGAGGCCCTTTTTCTGAAAAGGAGCTTGAATTTTTATAGCCCACATGTAAATTTCGTTGTCGGTTTTGGTTAGTCCTCTTAATATCACTTAGCTTTCCATTCGGTATTTTTATATTGAAATAATCCTTGCTAGAGTCATCTTTACATTCGTAACTGTTATATGTATCATCGCTATCATCATCGGAGGAACCTCTGAAAAAAGTAAAATGGAATGTTAAAAAGGATTCGATAAAATATGGCATAAGATTAGTCTTTATTGTACTTCTCCAAACTGATGTCACTGTAATCTCCATAATCTGCTGGTGATAGGCAAATGGTGCACAGTTTGCCGATATCATTAAAGCAACTATTGCAAAATATTCCCGGACACTTTGGAGTCTCGCACCTTAAAATTTTTTGCAAAATTGGTGATTGACTATACAACAAAAATTGACGATAGTGGCAAGTTTCTGGCGAAAAACACAATTTAGGTAAAATTACAGCAGTTTTTTCTTTCAACTGAAATTATGTTTTTATGGTTAAGCAGACGAAAAATATATTTTTATTTCCGAACACCCAGCTAGTTTTGCCAAATGTTAGTTAAGATGGAACTGATGTCGCTAGCGTAGTAGTAATTCCTTTGACATTAAGAACACCCTACATCTTTGGTTCTCCAAAGTGATCACCGCCTGCTGCAAAGCATTGGAAACGTCGGACTGTCGTTACAATAAATTATAATATTAGTCAACTAAGCCATTTGGCGTTTTAAAACGATTTTATAATATACGTATAATACCTGGTTAAGTGGGTGTTTACATCTTTCACTTTTTCCGTTGTATCGCATAGAAGACAACGAGTTTCTCTAGGAACCGTTCCCAATAGATAACGAAGACACCAACACCTTTAATATCAACACCATATATGTACAAACAAAGTTATATTATCCTGAAGAAATAGTTATATACAATTAATTTCAAAATTGATGAATGGCTTCAACCGCGCTATCATTGGTTTGTTAAAAGTATAGTTTCTTATAGAGTTCGTATCATAAGTGTTTCTTAATAATTCATAATAACGTCCGGTTAGTATTCACGGCCTCAGGCCAAGAAACATCTAAATTCAATAAAAAAAATCTAGCCAAATGAATATGGTGTTTATTTTGAACATTCTTTATACTAACGGTAGGCGAGAATCCAGCCAGTGCCTAAAAGTAAGATGCTCGTACCCACAATATTTGTATTCACGGTGTAGTTTCCGTCTAGCCAGCTTCATAAAACTACCTGGACAACAGACCAAGCATATTAATTTAAGCCATGTCATTGTATGAACAACTACTGGAACCTGACCTCTCGTCCTCAGGATGTGGTTATAGAGCCAATTGGCACGAGCTTTGGCACGCTCTGGGCGATGGTGACCCATAATCACGTGACGCAGCCGAAGGCCGTAGGGTTCAAACAGTGCTAACAACCAGAGTATGACTATTATGACACCTGGAACATATACATTTAGATGCTAAGCGTCGTATAAATACTGTAGTTTACGCGAGTAGTACACATTTAAATAAAACACTTTAACGGAAACGCGATATATTTAAACTTGTTTGAAAATTATTTTAACTGCGGCCCGATTTTTCGGATTGTTTGCAGCAGTCTTGGTCAAGGGGAGACAATTAAGAAAAAAATAATTGTTTCACTCACTGTTTAAGATGACACTTATGACTGTACGTACACTACACTTTCTTTTTTTCTTTTTTTTTTTTTTTTTTTACATTATTGTACAACAAAAAAAGAACAAAATGTAAAGATATGCTGTACTTGTAACATGACAGAAATAATTTAACAAAATCTTAAACTGACTGATTGTATGACGAAAATAAGATTTTTTAACATAAATATGCTATTGTTTATTTAATCCTTAATACAAAGTATTCAGCATACCGATTTGTGTATACCGCTGGAAGTCTGGTGGGTGAGGATTTGGAAGACATGCAGTGGGCGATATCGTTGGCGTTTGAAGTGGGATAGTTAAGATATTGAATATTGACTTAAGTAACTCTGCTGCAAAGCCAGTGCCTGTTATTTTCACACCGGCGTCTGAAGGTCCAGCTTGAAAGGTGAATCTTTAAGTCTTTCTTTCTTATTATTGCCTAAGAGTATATGGGGCTTAGACGATATGTCGGCCACAAATGACAGCATAGGGTTCGGTTTTGGAAGGTAAGATGCCCCAACTATGCACTGTATGAATTTAAATTTCACAGCTTTTCCATCTCATCTCTGCAGGGTTCGCGACCCGGACGTATCTTCGACGCATCCATTCACTCCATACAATCCAATTAACCTCTCGTCTGGGTGAGATTTTACAGACGATATCCAACATGTTTTAGACAAATTAAAGACTGATTTGAGAAAAAACCTGAAGGGAATCGAATTCACAACCCGTGCAGTTTGAGGAATAAGAATAAAGAAATATGTACACAAGTAAATAAGTAAGTATTTACACATTATACATACGCGGTATTTGTGTTTGAAGTCGTCCATGGTGTTCTATGGTGGTTAGAACCCAGAATAAACTGTAGTCTGCGATGATGTGTATCATCAGTTTAAAGGTCGTGATCATCATAAAGACCGCTGAGCGAGACATAAAAACCTTTTCCGTGGCTATCAGTCGGAAGGACGTAGTCTGAAAAATACAGTGTTAAGTATTACGTGAGTTATGACAAATTTTTATTACACACAATGTGTGAACTCCCGTTTCCCCCTCGTGGGGCATGGGGCGAACACATTTTTGTGTTCGTTTCACTGATCCGTTCTTTAGCAGGCAACTAGTTGATCAGATTTCTGTGCCCTGCCCGACCGAAAAAAATTGCTTGTTTCCCTGGGATTCGAACCCAGGACCTCTCGCGCTTAAGGCAATGCTTTAACCATAGGCACAAATGCAGTTAATCACAACATTTGGCATATAAAAGTGCTGCGTAATAAAGTCAAAAAGAGAACACAGCAACTAGTTATAATATAATAAAGTTATTCGTCTTAGGTGTAAAAATATTGACTACTATTGGTCAAGACATTGGAACTGAAAGACAATGATAGAAAATTAAAGCAACTAGTAAGTATATAACTTGTACTTTACATATATACAATTAATCTACGACTACTTTAGGGACTGCCTCAATAATTTTATATAACGTCTAACAATGCGCTCTGATCAATGTCCGATTTGGAAATACAGATGAAAGGGAAATGCTATGAAACATGTTTTCTCTTAGACGTTCGACCCGTCCAAAACATCACCAATTAAGATTTTGTTTCAGAAAAGTAATATTCAAAAAAAAAACTGTTGGACCATACATTACTAGCATCAAAACTTTTATTAAACCGTACAAATACTGTCTATAGTTAACGCGAGTAGAACACATTTAAATAAAACACTTTAACGGTTTAAAACGCGATATATTAGTTAAACTTATTTGATAATGATTTTTAACTTCGGCCCGACGTTTCGGATGCTTTGCAGCAGCCGTGGTCACGGGGAGACACGAATAAGTTTAACTAATATATCGCGTTTTAAACCGTTAAAACGTTTTATTTAAACCGTAAAATTCAAAACTAACTGGTATATATTTAGTCCTCTCTCTTCTATTGAGTGGTAGTATAGTGTCTCTACCTTCCTGAAATCTCTTCAGATCTATCTCATATAGTTCTTGCGTGACGTACCGGTTGTCGAATCTAGATCTTGTTTCGTACATATGTTGATAATATTTAGCCCTAATCAATAAAAATATAATTAAGTACTATAGTAAGCGAATATAAACATTCAAATAACAGTTGAGTTTATCACTGAGATTTGAAACGTGTAATTAAGTTAAAAAACTTTGGACATTTCGCTTTTTAAACCATTTGAAGTTTTTTATATAAACAAATATTTTTTATTTTTTCTATTCTAAGATAGAAAAGCTGATATTAAGAATAAAATTTAAATAGCTAAACGTTATATATAGTATGCATTACATACCGAAATATGATCAGCAATAAAAATAAGCTAGTGACACAGGAACTCCAAGAGAGCCAGGTGATCAATGGATCCGCTCTGTTACGTATTTCGGTGACGATGCCGGCTGCCACTTGGCTGGCTGAACGACTGGCATTGCTCACCGTATACTTGTGATGAACTTGAATGTTCACAAAGAACATCGTTTTCACACGCTTGGTGAAACTCCTCCACTCTAGAATAGAACAAGACTCTCACCCACATTGCTTACATCAGAGATGCGCAGACTGCGTCCCACCGGACGAATACTGGTGGCTGGCCGACAATAAAAATAATACTCAAATTAATAAAAGTTTCCCCCATTTCTTTAATTGTGGCATTGGGAAGATCTAAGTATCCCCAACCCTATATCCCAACGCTTCGCTGACCGACTTTTTAACAGGCTAGTAGCTTAGTAGTAGTAGTGATCAGACTTCAACCAAATAGAAATTATAAATAATGTTTAACCAGGAATCGAACCCAGGTCCTCGTTCACGCGGCGGCACCATTGTTTAAATAAGTAAGGAATTGAACAAACAAGGGAAATCACGTTTACCCCAGCGCCCGTGGAACTTGGGGCGAACATATTTCGGAGTCCGTCGCACTGATTAATTTCATTTACAAGCAAGTCGTTGTTTAAATAAAACACTTTAACGGTTTAAAACGCGATATATTAGTTAAACTTATTTGAAAATGGTTTTTAACTTCGGACCGACGTTTCAGATGCAAAGCAAAGCGAATAAGTTTAACTAATATATCGCGTTTTAAACCGTTAAAGTGTTTTATTTAAATGTGTACTCCTCGCGTAAACTATGGACAGTAAGCAATTAGTTGATTAGACTTTTGTGCCCTGCCCGACCAAACTATATATTGTTTCCCCTAAATTCCAATCCAGGGCTTCTCACACATAACATAATGCTAGGCAACACGTTTACCATTTAGCTACAGAGGTCGTCAAATTAATTGAAACAGATACAAAATCGTTATATGCCTACACAAACTTACTCCGCTGAATCGTAGCTGCAAATGAGCCTCGCGCAAAATCATCCACGACACAGATCTCCTTGTGGGATTTAATAGCTTGGCAAGCTGCTTCTACATTCGTGACATTGCACCAGAATAGCTTCGAACCAAGTATGGACTTGCAATCTGGTATGCCTTTCTTGAGAATGTTCATACAATGATTGTATGGAGTTCCGAGTTTTCGGTTACAGATGTTAACGACTGACACCAACCAGCTGTGTGATGATTGAATGACATCAGCTGAAATGTTTGTCGAGTTTAAAAAATCCGCCATTCTTTTGTCTTTTTTTTATTAGAAAACAGACAAGCAGATTCCTTTGTAGTGGGTGAAATACTCCAGCCATTATAACATCTTAACAAGATGTGTCGTCGACCTATTTTGGCTTTCGATATTTGAAATCTATAGAGACGGAAAAGTGAATAAACTTCATGGCTTTTTCGTACATCGACGGTGGTTCTTGATCCTCTTTAAAACCTAGATTTTCACTCGAAATCCAACATGTTTCAAAAAAAATATAAATTGATGAAAACATGTCCATGCATACATTTCTACCAGTACCACCTAGCCCGTCATATGTTCCGCTGTACAATCACAATTATCTAGTTGATTACTCGTCTGTTGATTGCACAAAATAATTTATGTTTATTATCGGGGTTCAAATCCGCGTAACGCTTACAGCAGCGTTAAGCGTTTCACAATGGAGGCGGTATTTTTCGAATAGAATAAATAAATTACATTTAATTATAGACGCACAGTAGGTACAAAATTTTGACATGTGATAAAATGCTAATAACATAGACAGTGGACAGTGTAGTTCGAGCGGTTCGAGACCCGACCGAGACGTCGCAAATAATTAAAACAAGTAAAAACGAATGTAATACTAAAAAACGTATTTATTTTTACACATTACAAGTGATGTACAGAAAAAACATGTTAAAAGATAAAGAAAATAGTGGCAGTAATCGCTTTTTAAAGCGCCAAAACGCAAAATTATTTTGTTAAGTCATAACTAGTACGTATACTGCAGATAAGGGCAGGTTTCAAATAACAACAAAAGAAAACCCATACATCTAGAACACTATAGTTAGAAAAGTATTTCCCGCCATTGCTGCGATGCTAAGAAAGAGTAAACAATGCATAATATAACGATCGATTAAGAAATAGGTCACAGCTAAATTATTCATGAAAACCATTAATTTTATCGCGTCAAGGCGCATTTAATGCTATACTGGCGTAATTTAAACTTGATTTCTTGAAATGTCTTTTGTTAAAGTTTATAACTGTCTCGTTGGTGTAGTGGTTAACGCACTTGACTTCAGCTCACGAAGACCCATTTTCAGATACAAATTCGTGGCAATCCGGTATTTTGAAGAAGAAAGTGTTATCATCCCCGTGTTTTACAGAGCACGTTTGTTTGATCCCAGTTATAAAAGGTAGCTTTTTGGCAGTTGTCGTAAAATCCTACCAAACAGAACTAGTGGAGGATGGTGGGTCTGAATTCAAGAACAACTCAACAGTGGGACACTTATAAATTGAAGCGATAAAACACTACTGTTTCCCTACTTTATTTATATAAGTTTCGTGTTCTTACAAACGTAGAGCTTTCAAAGCACTTACTACGATTAAGTACATTAACGAAATTGAAGAGACCTAAATATTTCTCGTTTCAATTTTACTTTCCTTAACAGAATATTTCATGACGGTCACGACAAAAGCAACTGAAGAACCACCTATAATGTTTAAAAAAGCCTACACAATCGTAAGTTAGAACCTAAAGAGTTCTAACTTCTGTCTGTTCGTCTCAACTAAACAAGATTCCACTCCAACGCACAGGGGTCTCACATTCAATGACAAGAAATTCTAGACCATAGACTACGCTGGTTTAGTACTGGTCAGCGACTTTTACAACTACCGCTTCGGATCAATGTACTCTTTGTGGCATAGGTGTGAATTGAAACTTCTTCGAAACATTGGAACAATTTTCGTAGAAAAATTAATAATACCAAACTAAAACTTTGCTTGATCCAGAATTCAAAACTAAGTGAGTTACCTCTATCTATTAGACGTAACATAAACATAGGCGGGAGAGGTGCTCGTGTCAATAGGTTGAAAAAAATCGACGACGACGTGTAGAACTCGATAGCTCAGTTTGTTATAGCAACAACACGGAACGCTGTGTATTTTTTATTTAACATAAACAGTAATTTTACTACATAACTCTAAGACTAAACTTCATAAATATATTTATAGAATCATATTCATACCAACACTGATAACCATTCGTTCTATTTTCAGCAAAATATCCTTCATGTTGCCGCTGACCCGGTCGAACTTGTTCAACATTAATCGAACACTGTCCTTCATTGCATGGAATGGCTGTTTCATGGAATCACTTAGGTGCCGCACGTTTGTTTTTATTTGTTCCTGTGAAATTGAGAGATTAGCTTATAGTAAAGTTAAGTGCGAGTCGGATTTTGCATAAAGGGCACTGTAATATTGACTAGTACTTATAAACAAAAGCAACAGTTTGGGCACCGATTCCTAGAAATGCAACATGAATGCATTTCATTGCTTCTGTAAGGTGTCACCTTTTTATGATAGAGGAGGATAGACAACCAGAGGCTTCACTTAATGGAAGGAATGGAATGAATACCCCAGCCATATAACATCTAAACAAGGTGCACTGTTGAACTATTTTGGCTTTGGATATTCGGAAATCCACAGAAACCAAAACGTGAACTTTCATGTGGACGATAGCTGACCCAGACGGAATTTCGATACCTATTCCTAAAACTAAACATTGGTTTGAAGTATGTTGGACCACAAAGGGATAGTATACCTACACGACCCGTTGATTATTAGCCATACATTCCAACTTGTCTAACAGTTACCAGAATTCCGTTGTAGAATATTATAATTTCTTTCGTGTATATATAAGAAAAGCGAAGACGTTTAACATGTAACATTCTTTAACATTTTTATGTCTATTATCTCCCCAACGAGAATTAATGATGACAAATGAATGAGCGATATTTAAATTAATGTTTTAATTTTATTCATCTTTGTTTTACATTTTTAGTGCCACATTTTGGTCTGTTCACAAATTACAAGTTTCCTCCTAACACATTGTTAACAAAATGTATGGTTAGTGGATAGTGCAATTTATTTCGTTGAACGCTTCGTTGAAGAAATAATAGTTTAAATATATACATACAATACATTATATTATGGACAATAGTATTGCTACAATCTAGACGCCGGTTTTTTATAATGCAAATATAATAATAATACGAATATTTTATAGTAACCCCATATCCCCTAGTAACCACGGTTGCTTTAAGACGTCCGAATTTATATCGCGTTTTACACCGTTACAAGGTTTTTTCGCTTTTCAACAATTTGAAGAAACCATTAAATAGAAACAAACTTACTAAATCACGCCCTGAGTTATTCCTAGAATCGACGTACGTCGTTCCTTGATTGTTTGGAACTTCACTGTTTTATATCAATGTTGTCAAAACTAACAAATTATTATTAACTTCCCGACTCGCTGCGAACATTTATTTAGCTCGCAGTTCGCTTCGCCAGTCGCCGGTGTGCGTGGCGTTATTGCTATATATTTCTTTTTCTTACATTGCTATATATTTGTGGTAGTCGCTACATGTGTAGTTGAGTCAGAACATTTTAATAACAGAAAAATATAATAACATCCAGTGAACTCATAAATCATAAAATTGCATGTCTCAACAAGAGCAGCCGGTGACAAGTCGTTGTAAAGTTCATACATAATTCAACAAGGCTTCGTGTTTTTTGGTAAATACTTTGATATGAAAAGGTTCGCGTTACATATTAAGTAGGAGAATATATGTATACGTAGGTACATGGCTTTTGAATTTACGTAGTTTTATAGGAGAGATTCAATCGTGTGTATCTTTCTCTGAAATTATATAATAACAGCAATACTATAATAAGGTATCAATGATGAATTAAAAATCTATAATAAATTGAAAAAATGTACGACTCGGGCCAGGACTTGAACCGGCATCCTCAGTATTCAGTGTTGTAATACTAACCAATTGAGCTACCGAGTCCTACACGTCATCGTCGATTTTTAATTTTAACCTATAATACATGAACCTCGCGCGTAATGTCCTGCCCGAATCGTATTTTTTTTTCAATTTACTATGGATTATTAATTCATATAGTGCCATAATGTGAATAATGATTATTTAAAATTCGAATACAGACGAAATTAGCGAATGTTTTCTTACTTGACTACAGGCCATAGATTCGGTCAAAACTTCAGAATTCCTTAAGGTATTGGTCGCTGGCCCAGTCAAAATCAGAATGAGGGCATAACAAGTGAGTGTGTATCTTCCAATTCGTGAAAAGAATTGTGGTATTAGCAAAAATACCAAGCATCTGCAACATATAGCATACATATAAATTTGCTTTCCTACCTAAGCATATTTTTTTAGTGGTGTCAATCATTGCATCATTGTCGGATCGACGATTCTTAGATGACGTCGATCTTTACTTTTTTAGGATTACTAAGCACCGTTTGTTTTCTGAGATTTTCGTGTAATGAAAAATATGCACAAGTAACTAAATCTTTCAAACGAGAACTAAGTAAAAACATGCATTTTTTTAATCACGCATTGCATTATAGCATGTTATAATCAATAAATTTCATAATATATTTATATCGCAATGTACCTATTAAATTATGTAACTTGGATAGCAAGTGAAAGATTCTAGACTAGTTTTAAAAATAGTAACAACGTAACACCATATAGACACACTATTTACCTAAGCCGATTGCTGAAAGCCAGTCCAAGTGTAAGCAATAGTCCAATAATAGAACTCATTATAGTAGCGTGCACCAGCGATATTGACAATTGGTACACAAAGCATATAAAGCAAAGATATGTCAGTACGATCCCGCCAAGGAAACCTACAAAGCTCTTGATTATCAAATTAGGAAGTGGTTGCTCTGATCCACATTTGTTTTGCTGGAATAGTTTCTTGAATTGTCCGTAAACTTGTCTCGTTTCGGCGCCATAAAGGTGCCATTTTGTAGGCCTTTCGGGTGAAGCTTTTGATTGTAATAACAGCCTTAAATTTCACACTCTCATATTCAAGACGGTGTTTCTCTAACGTTCTCGCCTTCCATAGTGCGGCGAAGTAGGACATATTTTATTTTAAACGATAATTCATAAACGTATAGCATCGGCTTTAAATTTAATCATCTTTAATATTAATTTCATTTTACCACTTTGTTAAATTCGAGAGTTTGACGTCTCAGCTGATAGAAATAAAAAAGAACTTCTAAGCGGTCAGTATCTTTTATGGCATAAATGGAGGTTTTATCAATAAAATGAGAACAATGAGTTTTTTTATGAATAAATGTCTACAAAAATAGGATTAAATACTGTCTGTAGTTTACGCGAGTAGTAGGTACACACATTGAGACTGTGAGCTCGTGACCACGGTTGCTGCAAGGTATCCGAAACATCGGCTTAGTTAAAATAATTTTCAACTAATATATATTGCGTGTTAGACTGTTAAAGTGTTTTATAAAAAAAAAATGTACAAATATAAATCGATTCCACTAAAAATACCTATTAAAATCCAAAAGTATTTAAACCATTAAATACATGGCGACACGTATAGCATATTTTCTCAATATTGCTTGAATTTCAAAGCTACACCTATAAGCATACACCTTATTTATTGTCAATACAGAACGCTTCGTTGCCGTAATAAGGATGTTCTCTATTTGGCAGACCTAATCAATTCGCTCAAGATCTTTAATTAAAGAGTTCTCAATCCCTGACCTCGTGCGATATTATCCGAGGTATTTTTGAGTTCGTTGACTCAACTGAATTGTCAATAGAATTCGAATCATATTCGCCTACAGGCTCAGACCACCGCTCGTCTGCGCAGGGGTTCATTCATAAAACATGCGCAGAACACTGCAATGCTACAAAATCAACTTCACTTCGGAATCGCTCTTTGGAAAATCGTTTTATTAATGTATTTTAATGTGCTAAATCACTGACATTCTTGTGTGCACCTTTCGACATCGAAATCCAGTGAAAATGTGCAGATGATCTTTGGTTATTCTATTTTTAAAGGGTGTTTTAATACTCCATTGAGAAAATCACGTAAGTGCTTACTTATATTACTACCTTTAAATTACACCATTACACAGTTTTTTTATAATCAAGTTTAAGTATTCTACTATGTTTTTAACCTTGAAAAAAAAGTAAAATAAAACTATTTTTAAAAGACAAAGGTTTTCAACAATTGTTATGAAAACTGTTCATAAATATTAAATAAACTTTTAAATATTTTGTATTATTCATGTAGCTACAAAGTGGCCTGAATTTATAATATAAAAAACAAGAAGTGTAATATAACAATGTACCAAAACCTACTTTTTCATACTTAACTAGAATTTTAATATTAATTACGTATTTTAAATTTGAGTCTATATAATATAATAAAGAAATATATTATGTATTTTAATAAAAAATTTTTTATTATAATAATGCACCATTTGAGCGCGTAAATTGGAACATTTCCAAAAATAACGCCGACAGCTGATAATGACATTGACAAATGACACTATTATATATAATTTATTTTGCTTTTATTATATCCTATATTCTATAGTTTAACTTCGTAAACAATGCCGACCAAACCAAACCACGACTCTCAGACGCCGGCACTCAGTATAATGTTCATTAAATCCTCTCCACTAAAATGAGCGCGCAATTAATTGAAAAAATCAATTTTTAAATAGATTATGGATAACGAACAGCCTCACCAAGAGCTGGTGAAATGTGTCGTAGTAGGAGACACTGCAGTGGGAAAAACAAGACTTATATGCGCAAGAGCTTGCAATAAACATGTTTCCTTGTCTCAATTAATGACTACGCACGTACCGACTGTTTGGGCTATAGATCAATATAGGATTTATAAAGATGTAAGTTCTAGGCATATTTATTACTATAGACATAGTACAGTACTAAAAAAAATAGTATTTTCTTACCCTTCCTTCTTACTGTTACTTGTATAGGTCATTTAGCCAAGAATTTCAAGCATTTGTTTGTTTTAAAGCAGTTGCTTTATCTTTTAACAAATCTTTACAAAACAAGCAAGCTTTACTTGTTAGTTATTTACATGAAACATTTCTGTAGGTACTAGAAAGATCATGGGAAGTTGTTGATGGGGTGAATGTCTCATTGAGGCTTTGGGACACCTTCGGCGATCATGAAAAGGACAGAAGATTTGCTTATGGCAGGTAAGATTTTCTAAGTTATCTTTGTGTGTGTTTAGAATAAAGTAGACAAATCTAAGAATGAATATTGTTTGGAATCAAATATGTGGACAGATTTCTCTAGTTTTTCTTAATTATATTAATATAAAGAAGAGGTTTGTAAGATGCCGTTGTACCGCCTCTGTGATTAGCTTAGTCATAATTATAAAGAAACATAAAAATTAAATTGATAAGTGAGACTTTACAGGGAATAAAGTCTTTCTATCTGGTCTAAATAGAGTTAAATTCAATGGTGGCATGTAGGACACCATAGTTCAATTGGTAAGCAGCAGTACGGAATGCTGTGGATGCTGTTTTAGGTCCAGCCCATCTCATAAATATGTAAAAAATACAAGTTTTTAGTTAGCTTATACCTAATAAATAAAATACAATAGATTATTTATATCCTTGATTAGATTTTAGTCTACAGTGAATACTCTATCATCTTATCTATTTTTAATATAAAAGCATCATGGACTATTGTACATTATCATGACCTTACTACAAGCCATACAGTGACACACACTATGTTACCTGATATTATACAATTTTATTTATATTACGCTTATCCGGGATTAAATAATGATGAGTAATAGATGTGTATTGAAAATTCTATATTTGCGTAGACCTTTCTATATTTCATCTGCCTATTTTATTTTTAAAAAGATTGAATCACTTTGATATTTTATTTACCTATATCAATCCGAGAAGCAATACTGTCTCATACTTTGTATTTTTAATAGAACGCTTCTTAACGAAGAATGCGTTTTATAAGTTTTATTTTTTCCGCGTAGAATAGTTATTTTGGGCATCAAAATATGGTTTCCAAACCTCCTGTTCAACTCTAAATATTTTCCATTACCCACAACGTCGTCCGCGTCTGTTTTACAAGTTAATCTTAAAAGATAGACATTTCCCGCTGTTTCTTCGCTCTTATTAGTCGCAGCCCTATGTTTAGCCCTATGTTTAGAGCCTTCCTCGATAAATGATCTAACCATCACAATTTTTTTTTCAATTTCAACCAGTAGTTCCTGCGATTGGTGCGTTCAAACACCCTCTTCAGTTTTATATATTAGTACATTCAAAGATTCGAGTTTTATCCAGGTCCGATGTTGTCCTTCTCTGCTTCTCAATCACGAATCCAATTTCGCTAAGGAATTGCGGTGCTATGTGGTATCCGGAAATACGGTATGTTTTTTTCGTATATTTTTATCATACTTAGTTTTTATAAAAGTTGAGTAATTATTACTTTTTTATAATTTTTTAGACGTTTCTGTCCAAACACTCCCATACTTTTGGTGGGGTGCAAAAATGATCTTCGGTATATGTATCGAGATGAGACCTATTTGAATTATTGCAAAGATCGGAGTCCCTTTATTAGGTAAGTTGATTTTCATTAAGATAATGAAGAATAGATTCATAAAGAAGGTGAGTACTTATTTTATAATTAATTGTGTTTCAACAATTCCACTAAATCCTCAATGTCGCTAAATATTAAGCATAAAAAAACGAAGTATTCTAAATTTGCAATTAAAATATTGTTTTTAGCAAATTTAAAGTAATATTAGTAATTTATTATAATTATTATAGTAAAACTTTACAAAATATACATATATCCGCCTGCATGGCTCGATATTTAAACCTGGTACCTAGCAATACTTTTGTGCGTGGCGTTTCAAGTGTCGGGTCAGCAGACGCCAGATCAACTTCTTCTCTTAAGGTAAACTTTATCAGTGAAACAGATACAGTAATCTATGTTCCGTAAGGGCTATGCTCCACTTAGACCTTATGAAATTCTAAACAAAATTAAAACTTAATATTCACGCAGAGCACCCAGAAAAAGTGATTTGGTCATGCCAGACCAGGGCAGGGCGCTAGCACACGAATTCGGTATCTACTATTACGAGACATCAGTGTTCACGTACTATGGGGTAAACGAGGTGTTTGAAAACGCGATACGAGCCGCGTTGATTGCGAGACGGCAGCAGCGGTTCTGGATGACGAATTTGAAACGGGTTCAACGACCTCTGCTACAGGTAAATAAAGGAAATGTAACCGAAAACGTACTTATACATTGTATTAGGCTTTCGTGACTATTAACCAAAGCTTTCGAGCAGCTTGGCCAATAGCACGATAACTCAAGAAGCACTACAAATAAAAACAACAAATCATACGAAATGGCCCACTGAACTAAGTTTATATTTTGTAAGATGTACAATTAAAATGTAATTAACCGTTTTAGGCTCCCTTTAGGCCGCCAAGGCCTCTGGAACCAGAAGTAACAATTGTTAGCAGCGTGTATTTGGAGAACATGACAACATTATTGCGACAGCAGGTAGCTAACTACTTTAGATCAGACTAATCAATAAAAATAATATTATTAACGATAAAATATTTCCAGTATTTTACGGACATGGTCATAATCTGTGGTGCGAAGGGATTCCCCGTTCATAGATTCATGATTGCGGGAGCGTGCGAGGCTTTTCATAGACTTCTTACCACAGACTGCATTAGTGTGTCTGCTGAACTTGCTAGAAGCTCTAGTGAGAGTAGTATGGTATGCTATATTACATACATATGGAGCAAACTCTAAATTCATTCATCAAATATAATTTATTATCTCTTCTAGGTAAGTAGTATGGGTGAGGCAACGACTGGTGACTTTAACGAGGATACAGAATATTTGATCAGACAAGACCAGGCTAAACAGATCAGGTAAGAAATTGTTATCCTAAGCTAATGTTATGTTAAGCTATGGTCATGGCTCAAAGGACCAAAAGTTCAATTTCAATAGATATTCTTTTTGGTGAACAAAAGAAAGTGAAAGGCTTAGCTATTGATTTCAGTGACTACTTTACGTTCGTTGATTCTTATCACATTATGTTTTTTAGAGTGTGGGATCAAATAAAACGTCGCTCATCGTGTCAAATCCTTCCTGTCAGTGACAGCTGTAAAAAACCGCCAGATCTCTACAGGGAAGTCAATCATCCAGCAATTCTATCCATAAAACTGGTCAGGGTGAGTATTTTACTAATAAAACTATAATACTTAGATAAATTCAAAAGGTCAAGACAGACATTTGACTACTAATAAATAATTACTAAAGTGGCTAATACAACCAGTTATTTGCCAGTGGCATTTTCTCTCAAGATAGTCCTTGATTGATAAAATTGACAGACATACAATATAAATGTATATTATAGAATATTATATGTAGTAAAATCCTCTTAAATTTAAATTAGAAACTGCGGTTTTGTTTTCACAGATCAAAGAATTTAAAATGTATTTATTTTAGTGTGATAAAATCCAACATGCGACATCACAAACGCAGACCATCGTTACGATGAGTAAATTGATATCGCAGAACGTAATGCAAGAAATTATTAACTTTATATACACTGGGACTTTAGACAGTGGGGCGTTCAAGCAACAAGTGAGTACGAACTCTAATTACTAGCAAAAAAGCGGTACTGATTGGCTTATTTTAAGCTCTTAAGGTCCGGGGCACACTTGGTGTAAATAAAAAATATTATTTATTTTTCTATTACTAACTACACTACTATGTTTATGAAAGCATGTAATACTATTCACAGAATTAAATCTTGGTCCGCAGTGTAACAAGAACATAGTTACAACTTTAAAGTAAAAAAGAATGTAATACTTTTTAAACCTAATTAAACGAGCTTGGTTCACTAAGCTAATGCAATTTTGAGCTCTTGTACGTGAACTACTCAGTGTGCCTCTGCCTTTAGCTTCTTATGGTAGATAGAACCTTCCCCAAGAACAATACAATGACAAAGTAAAAAATTATATTGCTGCTTCTAAACACAACTCTACGCTTCCTTATCTAATCTATGTATTCTAAGCTGTATCCACAAGATAATTCAAAATTAAATAAAAAATAATAATTAAATTAATAATATGTTCTGCAGTCCGCTGCTATTGGATTACTACTGGTAATTTTTATTATTAAATCAATCATAAATCATAGTATTAATTTTACATTTATTATTGTTTATTTTTTATCTTCATTAAATATTGTATATGGTCACGTTTAGCTTATATTACATATTTGAATTTCTGCTTTTACACAAATCAATTCTATGCATGATTAGTTGTTTAGATTTTAGGATATTTACCATATTGATCATTATTTATTTGAACTTATCATCGACGGCTCTAAATTTAGAGATATGAAATTCAAAGGGTTTATTGGTTTTATGTATACTGAGTATTAACTTGAGTAAATACTTATAAGTAGAGATACTTAAAATAGTAATTGTTTTAATTATAATGTTTATTGACAACTTAACAATACATAGGTTCAGTTATAATACATAGTTAGTTATATCTAAAAAGTGAATGTGACTAATGAAAAGGCTAAAATCTTATGATTGTCTAAGATATGTAACAGTCATAACGTAAAAGTTGAACTCTCTTAAGTTTGAATACTAGATGAAATAATGTTTCCCATTGCTTCTATATTTATCCAATGACCCTCCAGTTGTGTTAACAGGAGATACGTCAAGCCGCTGAGTTATTGGGTTTCCCGGAATTAACGAAACTGAGCCAGTTCATACTGGATCAACATCTGTTGTTTGATAAGGGGTTCATGTTGCAATTTCACACGGTAAGTAAATTTAAAGACTCCTTTAACACTCTACCTGGGCATAGTAGTATTTTCTACTTGTCGTCATAAGCTAAAACTGAAGAAATAAGGCAATAATATTGGTATTAATCTTGTGTACGAACAAATCTGTAGGCAATAAAAATAGACCGACGACAAAACAATTGTAACAAGACGCGAAAGAGACAAAATGTTACCGCTAAGCATGCTAGCCGCCCCTTCCCTCCCCCCCCTAATTATCTAACTTCTGCGTTTATGGCCACAGTGTAATTATTTCCTTAATTTCTTTAAGATTACGTGGGAAGCTTTCTCTATACTTAGTAATCTAGTTTGATTTGAAAGTAATGGAATATTCTGTTGTCGATTCACATATGCACGTCAAGTTTACATTAACCTAAAATGTTACTTAAAAGTAAATTTACCCGAGAATATAGAATATTAAATACATTCAACCTCTGTTATCTCAATAAAAATCTATTTAGCTTGAAAAAAAAACAACACTGGTGGCACTTGAACCGGCACCCACAGCGTTCGTGCTGTTGTGGATGCCGATGAACTAATTAAGCTACCGTGTCCGTTATCATCTAATTTCTTGACCTGTATGTAGCGCAATGTCATTTCAACCTTAACACTTAGTGATTGAGGTTAAATGTCTTTTGCGTTACAGAAATAATTGACGGAGAAGTTAAAGAGTTACTCTCTTCTAGTCAATATAAGTAACCTACAGTGATTATGAAAGTAGTTGAAATGGCAAGAGACGAAATTTTCAGTTAGGTGATATGAATTTTCAGCCACTACCACAGAGGTTACGCGATATGTACGTAGAGAGGAATCTCTTTGCTGACGTCACGTTTGACCTGGACGATGGGATCCACCTCGCGCATCGAGCGATGCTGATGGCGCGGTGCGACCCCATGAAAGCGATGTTCCAGGGACATTTTAGGGAGAGCACTTCGAGAGTGGTGAGACTTATTAAATAGAGAAGTGTAGCCTGGGGTTCAATTGATGGGAGGTGAAATACTGCAGCCATATAACATCTACACCAGGTGCACTGTCGACCTTTTTTGGCTTTGGATATTCGGAAATCCACAGAAACGCGATAGCTGTCAATACGTAAGCTTAAAATTTTGTGTTAAAATTCAAGTTCAGTGTCACAAAAATTGTGTGCGAAATGATTGTTTTTGGGGTCATATACCTAAAACAGACTATCGCTTAGTTATGTAACGCTTTAGGATACCAGACTACTAATTTTAATATTACATGGTTAAAGTACTTTATTTTAAGATTTCTGTCGTACACGTACGTTTAGTTGAAGTATTTTTGTATTTTACGGCAAGTAGTATTTAAATGAAAGACTTAACGGTTTAGAACGCGTAATATATTAGACGCTTTTTACTTAGACCTGAAGTATCTTTTATTTATTATTATCAATTGTCATTCTTGCAGATAACGTTTCCGGGCGTTAAAATGTACGCATTTCACATCCTCTTGTGCTACATCTACTCTGATAAAATACCAACAGTGGAGCCGACAAGATGTCTTGAGTTATTAGAACTTGCTAATCGGCTTTGCATGAATAGATTAGTTACATTGGTCGAAGCGAGAGTGATCGACCAACTTCAACATCAGGATAGGTAAATATTGCATTTTTTAACACTTAGTGCACATTTTAAATATACAAGGAAGTCTAGCGATGTTCGCGACTTCGTCCGCATAATGTAGTAATAAAAAAATAATAAATATAAATGTTTTTCAGTTTCAAAGCGCTAGAAAAGTTCAATAAGTTATAAAAATTCTATATTCAAATTATTTCAGAGTGGGAGACGAGGATCAAGTGGTAGAAATAGCTCTGTCATTATTGGAACCTGTTAAGGTACGTCCTTTATATTTGAAATGTTGGTAATGCTTAGATTTGTAAAACGGGACCGCTTTGCGAAGATTTTATTGTCTATCACCATGTCTATAGCCGCTTTAATAAATCGTATTAAGATTAAAATAAAATTAACTAACATAAAAATAACTCAACTTTTAAGCCGCTTTTTTCTTGTTCTTTTCTATTTTCTGATATCAATACTACCTATAGTTAGTAAATCTAGTAATTATGCTTTCACGGACATTGTTCAGCATAGACGCTCGTGATGGCAAAACGTCGAGAACGTCTCCCCGCTTACCTGGTACGAAACCTTTTTTGTAATTATTGGTACATATTGGGACAATCTTTATACAGTTGCATAACGCGCACAATCTCTCGGAGTGGTGTACTTGGCGGCTCTGCGGGGCCTATGACCGCGTGTGTCGTGCTAAACACCTTAGTCCTTCTTCGAGGGACTATCTGGCTGATAATCGTTGGCCCCCAGTTTGGTAAGTGCATACTAACGCTACGTTTTGGATGACCTTGTTTACAAGCAATATATATAGGCATACGATAACTTAATAAATCCCTAATGCTCTTTAAGCACTGTTAATGAATAAGTCTTAGATTTACTGTTTATTTATGTTTTTATAGGTACGTCAAAGAATACGATTATTATCAGAAGTGCCTGGCCGAACAATCTAAAGAATTAAAAGAAATAAGACCCACCACGTCTCTGCAGGCCAGTCAGCAAACGGGGTGTTTGTGCTTTGCTAGTAAGTGTTGTTATAGAGTGAAATCTCAATTCTCTTATGGGGCACGGGGCTCATTTATATATTGGTTTCTCTGATAGAATTTATTTAGAATTAGATCAGACGTTGACCTTACTTCAGTTCTGTAGACTCAGACCTTGCGTTGGTGTAACTATTATATTTCAAAGTAGAACTTTTTTCTGACTTGGGATATTTGAACCCTATATTTCGTGATCACAGAAGTTTACCTTATTAATTGTTTATCGCCTGAATTTCAGGTAAAGTTCGCCGTGAAAGTGTAGCGGTGACAGCTGACGCGTCCACAGCGCTCTGCAGAAGCGAGCCTCAGCAACCGCCGCTCTGACATATGCCTTACTGGAGGTGAGTCATTTAATAATGGGTACCTCATGATACCAATGGCTACTAGAATAAAGCTTTTGAAAACTAATCTATTATCAAGATTAATTAACTTTCACGTCTCCAATCTTAAGGAAACACTACAACCACTTGTTTTGGTTATGCAGACTGCATATTTATTTAGCTGAATAGGATAATAGGGATCTTAAAAGATTTTTTCCTATAATAACCTTTCTGTTTCAAAATGTGCTTAACATTCGGATAGTATTAGTAGCCTCTAGGGTTACTTCGTGTAATGTCAAAAATATGTAAATGCGACATCTCCATATGCAAAAATCGCAACCTTCTAATGCAGGAATTAATGCCTCATAGCTTTCTTTTGTATAGGTAGCTTTCGCAATTCGGGTTTCATGAAATTTTCTTATTCCAGATCGCTACGTTTCGCGGTCCTCCTACCCGTGTCCATGTGCTTTATGAGCACAATACTGACTATTTTAATTTTATTTCACATCTACACTTAACGCCATTGAAAACTACGCACGCCGAGGTGATATGTAACTTTTAACGAATTATTTATAAAGAACAATCTTCTGCCCACTTTTATTAAAGCCCAAATCAGGCAAAACCAAAATTTTATTGCGTTGATTTTTTTTACGATAAAGAAGGACACACAAGGATAAGATGAATATGATGGAAGGAGAAATACCCAAGTCATATAACATCTAAACAATCATATATATATGAAACAAAAAACAAACAAAAACAAAAAACAACAAACAAACAAACATAAACAATGCGCTGTCGACCCATTTTGACTATAGAAATCCACATCTGAAATCCAAACGCGATTAAACTCCACAGACTAATTTTGAAAATGTTATTGAATTACAAAAGAGAACTTAAGAATACGATTATTGCAGAACACGAAATATGCTAAAAACTGATTTCGGGGTTAAGATATTGGAATTGAGCAATATCTATGGTTGAAATGTCTTTACTGCGAATAATTCGTTAAAATTACAGGCACACATTAAAATAAGTCAATAAAATTTAAGCGATCCATCGCATAGCAAACTAATGCACTAAAATTTTTCGAATTTTTAATGACGTCTGGATAATATTTTCTCATAAAGTTAATCTTAAGTGTAGGTCGGTTTTACAAAATATTTTGCAATGCAAAAAGGAAATGTGATTTTGTAGATGTATGTTTTTGACTAAGATTTGCAGTGATTTAGTGTAAGTACCGCTCATATATTTTGGCCATTATCTGGGGTATATCTCTTGTAAATTTGCGTTCAGCGCAAGATGTTTGAATTCTAGACAAGGTAAAGTTCTAGTGACGGTAGGTAGTAGGGCACACAAGTTGGAACTCTTTGTCTGTTAAAAGATCAGTTGAACAAACAGATAAGTGTCTGTTCATGCCGTACATACGTAAACTTACTGTAGTTTACGCGAATTTATTTATTTTATCTTTAGTTTAACCTATTATCCAGTATAATTGAGCCTTAAATTTATGGTTTTGTCTTTATCTCGAGGCAGCTCTATGGAATTGTGTTTGTGTAAAAGGTTGAATACTAATTATCAATAGACAATGGTATACTACAGATAATGGAACACATGGCCAGGACTGTTATGTATAACGTCAACTGTAGTATTGTTAAATGTATGTACTATGCATGTAAAGCAATAAAAAAATCAGTTAATCTCAGGAGATATGTTACACTACTCAATTGCCTTACTTTTCCTGTGCATAGTACATACCTTCAAATGTATCATAGTTTAGTCTTGTAAAAACATTAAAACTATATTGTGTGTTTAGCAGAATTAGTTGAAAACTCGTAGAATCAGTATTATATCGTTTAGTTGTTTTTCGTTGTGGAATAGTACCGTTTTTGTTGTAACCTCCTTATAATTATTATTTATGTGATCCTAAAATACGTATTGATTAAGAAGAGTGAGAAATAAGGTTCAGGTTTGGAAAGCTAGTAGTTTTATAGAGTGGAAGTCACATTATGGGCAAAACGGCATATAATATTGTGTCAGAATACATACTTAAGGATCTATTTATTGATTTAATAGCACATAATAACACCATACAATAACGATTGTAAGGTCCATAAATTAGTTACGGTATGCGTATACCATTTGTGTTTTTTTGAGTACTATTTAAAAATATGTATTTATTACCATTTATAGATATTGATAAATACAGTGTAATGTTCTCTTCAAGCGTGGTGTAACTTCTTGTCTTAATTAATTTGTTATAAATCAACGTTTTAATGACGTCGAACGCCATTTTACTTTGCTCATAACCTGACTTGCCGTACTGTGCAGGGCACAGATATAATCCAGCCAATTTAGCTTGGTGCTTTTTGTATATATATGCGAGCGGTAAGAGCGGATGTTAAGTAACTTATTGTAAGGATCACGGAACAATTTTTTCGTATATTTGTGTGGCAAAGAGCCTTGCTATTTAGGTACCTTTGTCCTAATTACATACCCACTTTTCTTTAAGACATACTTCTCTATGCACACATTTTTTAGTTCTTATTTTGCATTAAAGAAGTGGTATTATTTAATGTTACTAGTTAATTTAAATACAATAATTGTTATAGCTTGAACTATGTTGATGGAAACTGTGATAGTATTTTCTGTGATTGTAAAAACCAGGTTTGGATAACCATATGAAGTATGACTTCTGTTCTTGTTTAGTTTATTTAAGATTAGTTTAAAACAGTAAGGTCGTCTTCGTTTTATAAAAAAATTGATGAAGATGATAAATACTTGATTTGCTATGTAGTCATAAATTTTATAATGTTCTATTTAAAATTTGTTCATTATATTCACTCCTTATACAATCCCACAAATTGATAAAAGAAAAATGCTTTTCGCTTATTTTAACTGGATATGGTAATTTAACAGGTTCAAATAGCCTGCGTTAATTTAGTGTTTGTTTTACTTTTATAAGTAGACAGTTAATATTATTATTTGCCCCTTTATGCCTATGTACTCTACTACTTTCCTAATCTACCTTAAAACATATTTTCCAAATATTAATATTTTTTATAAGTAGCGTATTACCAATAGTTTTTAATATACAATTACTATAATCACTATACCTACTTCTTATACATGTTTTTACGTTTATATAGTTGAAGTACAAATCTGTAAAGATCATCTATTGCACTTAGCGGCCATTTTATTTGCAGTTCAAAGTAATCTTAGACAATCCATCAAGTTATGAATTTGTGTGGCTACATATCAATTAACAAAAAAGTATTTTCATATAATAAAGTCAAGACGGAATTCTATAAGCTAAATAAGTTTCAAATTAATCAGCCTGGAAATTTCTTAAGAAATTAGCTTAAATTGCTTAGACCTCCACGGGCTATAAAAATTAATTCCCATCAATTAGAATTCTTATAATGATGTAAAAAGCATCTCGATCTCTAATCGATAAAATAAAAAAGAAATATTTTCGTATTCCACTTTTTTGGGTAAATTTTAAGACGATCTCATTGTCATTGCACTCTGAAGCAGGGTTTTAATTCATAAAGTATTGCTTCAATTACTAGTTTATAATATTGTTAAAAGGATTTCAGTTGCTAAGCAACGATAATTGTTATCTGTGGTAAAAGGTAAATCATTATTACTAATTAGCACTAAAATATTGGATCATTAATTTTGAGGTTATTGCACATGAGAGCACCTATATTAATAAATAGAAATGGCACCCATAACCATGTTCTTGGTTGTGGGGTCGACTGCTGCTATAATTTTATTTTTACCCAAACTATACTTTCAAACAAGCACTAACATAAGATATACCTTTTGTGTTCTATAATTATACTTTATAAAGTATGTTTTATACACAAGATTCTTCAGAAAGCAAACTGAAGTCCTCTTAACACCTAGTTGTATCTAGCGTAAGCATATTAGTATTCTATAGCATAATAATGTCTGATGTATTTCGCCAATCTTCACTATTGGTTAATAAATAATCTGCCATTTTTTACCCATAGATTTTAATAAGTGTAATTAATAAAGTATGTGTAATGATATTGTGTTTTACTAGTAACCTTACCCTCACTAATAAACAAAAACAAATCTATATTAATATATAAAGCCGAAGCTTGTTTGAACCGCTAATCTCAGGAACTACAGATTCAAATTGAAAAATTATTTTTGTGTCGGTTAGAACATTTATTAAGGAAGGCTATAATGTATAAAATATGGCGCTGACACTAATAGAAGCAAAGTTACAGTGGGAAATGTGAACAAAACAGGAAATTTTTCATTGTGGGTTTCAGATGCGTATGCTACGAAACCAGTTTAAGACACCCAAAATATATGTATAAAAGAATGATTCCTTTTTAAATGTAAGTGGTTTGCAAAAACAAATTTTGAGTCCCAAAATATCTTCTATGTGGATGAAGTCGCTGACAGAGCTAGTTAAAGAAATAAAACAAGGTTATACTTAACCATAAATGTATGTATGGAATTAGTTTTATTGATAACATTAAATATGAGTTACAAAAATTAAACATATTTTAATGTTTCCATAAACTTAATCATTAATGTAATATCAGTTTCAGTGGTATATAACAATAAGTAAATTCTATTGTAGTATACAATGAATACATAGACTGTCTTGCTTATTACTAAGTTAAAAATTTAGTCTCCTATTATAATGGATGTCCCAATAACTTAATTTCACTTTTAACCTCATCATAGAGGTCTTTATAATCATCATGTTCTTTAACAAGGACCATTATACAACCACGCATAGTACCCATGGCAGATCCAATGTCTTTGCGGCTAGGGGTATAGCAGTATGGGACGTCTTTCTCCTCACATACAGCAGGCAGGTGACACATTATTTCTATGGGTGATATGTCACCAGCAAAGAAGACCATCCTGAAATTGAGGAATAATTTTTTCAAGTGCAATTGCATCTCAATCATCAGAGGATACAAAGAAACCTTTACTTTTGTTGGTGAAAGATTAATCAATGTGTGTAGACCAAATAAGGGAAAATTGTTTTTTTTTGGTATAAATACCATACTATTTGACATACAACACAACAACCGCATCGCCTACACATAACCTAAAAATATAACACATCCCGCTTACCCTTTCTCGCCCAATCTAAGTTGCTTCTGCACAATTTTGAGACCATTCCTTATGTAGTTTTTATGTCCAGTAGATTTCTTAATTAGTTTATATATTTTCTTGCTTAGTTTCTTAGATGCCATCGGCTTGGCAATAACACTGCAATGTTCAACTTTGTCGTCGTAACTTAACGATTCCGTTTTTATGCTTATATCGCCTTTCTGATCTTCTTGTTCAACGTCAGGTTCTTGTTTAACTTTTCCCATTTTATTTCTTCAGGTGAAAAGTAATATTTCTTAAATTTAATAAATATAAACACGCGGCAGACTTGCACGTTTGTAGATTAAATTTTTATATGTATCTTGACAGTTAACAGTGGTTGACGTTTGGATTTGATAGTTTACATTGACATTTGGGAAGCGACATTCACACTTCACAGTCTGAATAATTTGCTGGTTACCATAGCAACACTGTCGCATCAACAATGTTTACAAAAGGAAACAATTTTACTTGCAGTTACAGTTAAAACTTTAAACTGTCTTATATTTTACAAATAATGGTGCGTTAAATTTTTTTTTTTAAATATCTTTTTTTGGTCAGATCGCTTATATTTTTCTATGTGGACAGGGTCTTCTGAGCATTTTAAAGAAATTACGTTCAAACACGGAAAGAGAGTTGCGACTGTTGCTATTAGGCTTGGATAATGCAGGAAAGACAACGCTCCTGAAACAGCTAGCATCGGAAGACGTTTCGCAAGTCACACCTACCGCAGGTTTCAATATTAAATCAGTGCTATCCAATGGTTTCAAGCTAAACGTTTGGGATATCGGAGGTCAAAGAAAGATCAGACCATACTGGAGAAATTATTTCGAAAATACTGATGTCCTGGTAATTTGAATTCATATAAAAAATATTTTTACTTATACTACACACATACTATACATTTGAATATTGCAGATTTATGTTGTAGACTGTTCAGACCATCAAAGACTTCAAGAGACTAGTTTTGAATTAGCAGAATTGTTACAAGATGAAAAGCTAAGAGGAGTACCATTATTGGTGTATGCTAATAAGCAAGATTTGTCTACTGGTGAGTTACTGTTATATTATATTATTTAAATTCAGCTAAAAAATCTGCTCATTTCTAAATATTTAATTTTTTAATAACAATAATGAATTGTCAAACTGAATAAACACTAGTGTTAAAAAGGAACATTTAATCAATATAATTTACTCTTTTCAGCGTTACCATCTAGTGAAGTAGCTCAACATATGGGCTTGCATTTGATTAGAGACCGCACTTGGCAGATACAGGCCTGCGTTGCAACTGATGGAACAGGAGTCAAGGTAATCACGTGATCACTACTTTATATCAACAATCTCTCTTGTGCTGTTTTGAGCTCACAATACATGTTACTTATAAATGTATCAAACATATATTTTTTTCTAATAGTTTAGTAATTGTAAAGATTTAATATTTACTGCTCAGATGTTATCATCTACATTATTTTTTGCAGGAGGGGATGGAATGGGTATGCAAAAATATACCCGTGAAGAAGTAGCTTTATTTTAAATACTTTATAGGCTTGGCAAATTTACCTAGTTATCAAAGTATATTATAAATAATTGTTACTAAGTTTGCATAAATTCTATTTTATGTATGTAATCTTGGTAAATAGAAGGAATATGTAAATTTGCTGCTATTTTAAAATTAACAAGCATTAGGAAAATGCACTTCCAATCAATTAACTATGTTAATTAAAATATATTGTAAGCACATACAAAATGTTAAGAATGTCGGATATATAGATTTATCTGAAACTGAGGTATAATGCATATATTCCATAGAATTGCTTAAAGGTTATTTCTCTGACTTTTTTTGGTCACCACTGCTTTTGCGCACAAATTTCTGATCCGTCCATTAATTTTGTTTATTGCTCACAATAATAACTTGATTGAAAGACATATTATGATATTATTGGTAAAATACTGGAAGTGTTTCTATTAGATATTATTTTTATAGCTATAAAAGTTTATGTAATTGGGATTAACAAATAAGCTTTTAAGCTTTTATAGTGTAATATATTTACGCAATGAATAGTATATATAATTTATTTATTTTTCTAGTCATTATGGTTTAGTGATTGTCGTAGAATTTGGATCTCTATTGTATTTGTGTATCAAACCATGAAGTCCAAAAAAATATAGTAAAGAATGCAAAGATTTTAGTTGAAGGGGAGAAATCTTAAATTGCTACCTTATTTAAATAGTCATAACACGAAAAGTTTTACTTTAACCACTTATACTAGTGAAAATTTGCAAGATGAATTAATTCGTAAATCACAGTTATTTTTTAGCTAACATCGGTCTGGGCGAGTTTACTTAAAGTCTAAAATTATGCTTAACATACGTAATTTTTATTTAACACAGTGCAATTATATGTAATGAAATAAATGAAACAAAAATTTACGAATAATTTTATTTTTAATCTCTTAATAAAAATAAAGTATGTACAATATCATATCTATAGCGTAAGAATAAGACGCAAATAAATGCACTATAAATGCAACTAATTTATACTTTAGCACCAAATCCAGCATTTCTTTTTCTTTACAGTAAGTCTCACAATAAATTCGTATATCTATTAAAAATAATACTAAATAGGCTATATAATATTGCCTATACTATAGATATATAATCATCTAAAATATAAAAGGAGCTTATCGCCTATAATTATGAAAAATAAATATTAATAGGAATTTATTTTTACAATTAACAATATAAAAAACTAAAACTAGTTCATGCCTGTACAAATCCCAAAAGTGAAACGGTCCTAGCTTAATCTGTGCGGTCCTTAAATCTTTATTATTACTTAACAATTGCTAGAAAATCTTTTTCGACTTATTACTAAAGTAAATAAACATAATTTATAGCTCACTGTGGTAAACTTCAGTTGTAACTTTCAACTCGTGTTCATGGAAGGCTGAGCAATCAGCTGGGTACTTGGCCTAGAAAAAGATTGAGGTTAGAATTAATATTATTAAGCTTGACCAGCCTCTGTAGCTAAATGGTTAAACATGTTGATAGGTCCTGGGTTCGAGTCCCGGGGAAACGATATATTGGTTTCGTTCGGGCAGGGCACAGAAGTCTGATTGCAACGAACACAGAATGTGAGCGTCCACAGATGTAAACGGTTCAAGAAACCAAAAAAAATCTGAGAGAAGGATTCCCTCTTTAAGTGATCTAAAAAATATTCGCGATTGTAATGTCAAATATTTCAGAACTAAAAAAATGACGTGAGCGCCGTCGTGGTAACAGCTGACATTAATAAAGGCGAGAGAAGTTTTCCAAAAATAAAATTTGATGCCCAAAATAATTACTCTACGCGGACGAAATCGCAGGCACAGCTAGTGCCTAAATAATATGTCCGGTTAAGCTTGTAAATAAAATATGATCAGTAAAACAGATACAGGATATTTGTTTCAAAAAAGGCTAGATTTTGCCTGAAATACAGACGCTCAATAACAGTTATATGACAATAACTAAGTCAAATCCAGAAGGGTATCTGAAGCTAATCCTAATTGTCCATTAACTCGGGGAAGAGAGCTATAAGTGAGACATAAAACCGGGGTGGGGACTGTCCGGACTATTAATGGGTGTTTAAGTATTTTGGCAGAACAGAATCTAAACTAGGAGGGTCAAACGCTAGACAATATTGTTAAAAGCATTGCGAATTAGTGTTGTCCTATAAATTTCGCGTTTTAAACCGCTATAGATTTTTTTATTTAAATGTGTTCGACTCGAGTAAACAACAGACATTACTTATATAGTATTGTTTAGATCTCAACTCCATTTTATATGCTTTCCGGTTACTGTTAGGGATACTTTTTTTTTTACACAGAACTAAGCTGAAATAGTAATGACAGAAATTGATGATACATGCGGGACTTTCTCTCTAGTATCATGCGTGACATAACACGAACAGTTATAAATTGTTATCTCCCTTTAAAAGACTTATATAAGAAAGGTGGCCTATCTTTAGATTTTTTTAGAAAGCCAAGTTTCTTATTTCATTGGATAGATGGTATTTTTAATAACTAAAGATATCCTATTATTTTAGTATATTTGTATAGTCTACAATACAATAATATCACACACCATACATTATTATAGGTACCTTCAAACTTACTAAACTGTACTAAACTTTATTTATTAGTTAGTACGTAAGATTTTTCCTTATTCATATCTTTTCTGTGGTGTGTATTACAAATAACAAAGCTATAATAAATATATCATCTTATTACAGTGGTATAGATACAAAGTATTGTATCGTCTCAACATAGCGTACTATGATCTACGCGTTAATATAAGTACTATTATAGCAAACTAGAACTATATCCATGATAGATTTTAAATAATAACAAAAATACTTACTTCACAATTGACATCGCTCTGTATTGCGTTATAAAGGTCCCAGAAACCTTTGCCGTCCTGGAAACTTAGCGCTGCAGAGGCGACCACGCTGCTCAATTTAGTCAGACCTGCCTTAAAACCGGGAAGACCTGGAAAATTGTTAATCTTTGTTACTTTGAGCAATATCTTTTACGACTACATGACACCATTAGGTGAAACATGGGAGAGTCATGTTAACGTGGGTCGTTACTATGGAAAATTAATGTGTTAGGGGAGTTGCTTATTACCTACATTATGTAACTTTAAGACAGGTGTGTCTGTTCTTTACGTGAGTAGTACACAAAAGCTTTACGGTTCAAAACGCGAAATATATGCTTAAAGTATCCGAACGTCATTCAAAAACATTTTCAAATAAGTGGACAAATATATTTCGCGTTTTAATCTGTTAAAGTGTTTGTTTAGTGGGGATACCCTACATAGCGTGCTTGTTTGTATTTGATTTATCGTGTTCCAAAACAAATAAATGTTACTTTTTCTTACTTATATATGTCTTTTCAATTTCATAGTTCACTTAATGCTAGGTGAAACACAATACCTATATAAGTCTAAACAAATGCCCTGTTAAACTGCTTTGGGTGGATATTGGATACACTAAACCGCAAGCGATTTAACTTTTCATCTTGATGGTAGTTCGTGACCTGGACGGAATTTCGATATTCCTACCACCCGTGCTTAGTTGTAAACTGTTGTATCCGGTGGGGATCGAACCCACAGCCCGTTGATTTATTAGCCGCACATTGCTGCACCAAGCTGGTCAAAAATTGTCTAAGTATTTAAATAAAACACTTTAACGGTTTAAAACGCGATATATTAGTTAAACTTATTTGGAAATGATATTTAACTTCGGCCCGACGTTTCGGATGCTTTGCAGCAGCCGTGGTCAGGGGAGACCAGTTCTTTGTCTCCACGTCGGGCCGAAGTTAAAAATCATTTCAAATAAGTTTAATTAATATAACGCGTTTTAAACCGTTAAACTGTTTTATTTAAATGTGTACTACTCGCGTAAACTATAGACAGTATTTTATGTCTTAGTATTTAAGAACATTTAATGACCTAATAGAAAAAAGTGGAATCGATGTGTTTTTATGAACTAAGCAAATATTGCTTACAACAGTTTAAAACTTCGATTTTTTACGTAAGGGCCATTATTTACGAATGCCTACCGAGTTTATCTTTCTCCGTATGCCGATTTACGAGGCACAGTAGATGTTCTTGGCAGTGCGGCGCAGCGACTGCATGCTTATACGCGCGGTACACACGTAAAACTGGTTCTATCACTTCCAAATTGAGGGTATCTGTGATACGGTCAGCTAGCTTGTGGTAATCACCGCGAGATGCCAGGCTCTGTGATTTTGTTTGGGCCAGTTTTAGGGTTTCCTGGAACACGGTTTAAAGCTTTTAACACAAACAAATAACAGAGAACACGTTAAAAATTCTCTACTCTATGCCTCTACTTCTTATAAAAGAAAGACGTAGATGGGAGTTATATAAAAAAACTGACTAATATATACAAATATGAGGTAGCATATATGCAAATGGAGGTTCATATAAGAAGGAAAATAAAAATGCCCAATTAACTTAGGCGAAAATGAATTTGTACTATCGTTTGTGTAAGAATGTTGCCGTTGTAGACTAACATTTTTAGACTATAAAAATATGAATAAGTCATAAAATTGCAGTTAGGCTTCTCTGGCTCTAGCGGCCTCATATGTAAATATAAATATTCTTTATGATAGAGGACACACCAGCACTTGCTCACACATTTCGGACACATAAAATTATAGGTGTGATAAAGAGGAATATATTATATTATATATATACTTAAAATAAAGCCTTAAAAGCTTACCTTTACATATTCAATCGCCGGTTTCACATACCCCGTTACGTCAGTATCCATGTCTAAATATTTGTTTAGAACAAAGTTGAGAAGTGCTGTGATTGATTCCTCCGACCGTTTCATGTTCAGATGAACGCTCTTGGGCACGCCCTGGGCGTCTAAGAAACTGTTAACTATATACTGGCCGGAAACGAGATATCTGGAAATAATTCTTTTATTGTTTTTGACGGACACACAAACTACACAAAGCTTATTGAATAAACACAAAAGGTTGTAGAGATAAGTAACATTTGAAATGTTTTTGGACTTTAACGGTAAGGTAAACAACTTCGTTACTGTTTTAGTAGAATTGATTGGAATACGTGTTCAAGGTAAAATTTTTAGATCTATATAATCACGAAATAATTACAAAAGTATTCCAAAATAATATATAGATCTAAGATAATCACGAAATAACTACAAAAATGATTGTTACCAAAATTTTTGTAAAAGATATTGATAACAGTATCAATATTTTTTGTAGTATAATTTAAATAATTAATTCATTTGTATTCTTCTTATATTTTTCTGGGGAAATAAAATAAGCATTTATGATAGTCTTCGGCTATACTCACCTTTGATAAACCTCTGGTTTAGCGACGTGTACAACCATATCCGTCAAATATTTCGCGACAACCTTAATCCAATGACGTCTAAACGAATGGTTCTCAAAGTTTTTGAACATCAATTCAAAGCTAACATTTCCGTCAGGACCAATAAACGATTTCATCGCTCGTTTGAACCCAGACTTCTCCCAAACGGTCTTCCCTAATTCCGAATTGATAAATATGTCCCAGTACAAATGCACCTTCTCTAGGAACGGGGGCAGAAACGATGCGTGGCCTTTGTGATCATCTGAACGTTTCTGAGCCTCGTTATCCGATAGAGAACTCAACGTGTTCATTATTAAGGGTAAGAAACTCGCCGTGTTCTTATTCCCCAAGAAACCAGAAGCCAGACCCATCAAACCGTCCAAATTAAAGTCATCTGTTTGGCGTTTCTCGCGTTTGGGTTCGTTCGGCGCCATCTGTTGAGCGAACATTGAAACCATGGACCCAATCATGGCGGGATCGATTTTGCCATCTTGTCCGGCGAAGAGACTCCCCAAACCTATAAAAAAGATTAATTTTCTTTGATTGTTCTTAATGCTGCTTTAGTGCCAATAAAGTTGGAGTATGGTAAATTACGACAGGGCATAAAAAGGCTCTTAAAAGAATAGCGGTGGTTCAAGAGTTTGTCTCGTAACAAATACGGTATTTACAACATTATCTTTATTTAGTCCAATTTAGAAAAGTATAAAATCCAGTAAGGTGTGCCTACTTAGAAATTATTATTTAGGAAATCAACCAAGTGTAATATGTTTTCTCGGATGTTATTCAGTTTTTGTGATCGAGATTAAATACGTGACTAGAATTTTCTTTACAAATCTGTCATGCTTGATTTGATATCACAATATTAATAATATAATTAATAATTAGTAACTCTTTTTGCATTTAGACTGTATGTGGCGTACCGATACAAAATATATCGCACATTTTATATTCATCACCTAATATAATTGTAATATATTTTAAATGTGAATGTTTGATCTCATACCATTCTACAAGAGAGTACGTGCCATAACAAGGAACTAATAATTATTACACCTTCAATAAAGTTAAGTATCTCCTCACCGTTTAATAGTTTTAAAAGATTGAGACGCAGACTGGAAGCGTAGTTTTAATTCTATCGCTATTTTACGATTAAAACCACAGAAAATTGCAATTCTCTAAGATGCTTTCTCTAAGATGGCGACCGTCAAATGTTTGTGAAAGAAAAAAAATATGACACGGGCGGGACTTGAAGCGGCATCCGTAATGTTGTTGTGGCTTTAACCATTTGAGTCATTATCGTATTTCTTCAGCCCATACATGTACTTTTTTCAATCTAAATAGATGTATTATTTATATAATGCCATCACGTGCAATAACACGCGAGATAAATTAAAGTTTTCAACTAGGAAAAAATAAAAAAAAACAAGCATGATGATGACTAATTAAATTTATTATATACTATTTTTAAAATCGGACTTGAATCCGTATTTGTGAGGACTGAAGTACAGTATTATCTATATATCCCAAATATGTAATTATTATATTTAGACATACATTGGTCTTACAACCAGGAATATCTCTTAACACTCGAGCGAATACGCCGTTTAACGAATTACTTTGTGATTCTTTTAAAAAGTCAAGCAAAATGACACGTGTTTTTCGTGTGTTGCAAAGATCATAGCATTCCATGTGTTCTTATTGCAACATAATTAAAAGAAAGAGAACACACGCACTCTCTGTGGACAATTACCAACGTGCAAATCACGTTTTCTTCGTTGCACTCCGTTTAAGAATTTACTTATACATTAATTTGTGCACGATTGTTTGTTTAAAATAGATCTTTTAATTAAATATAATAATACTACCTCCGTAGTTCAATGGTAACGCATTGTCTAGAATGGAGTATGAGTATGGGTCACGTGAGGTCCTGGATTTGAATCATGAGGACATGATAAAATGTTTCGGTCGGGCAGAGAACACAAAGCTGTTTAACTATTATACTAAAATAAATTACTAAAGTAAATATCGATCAGAGAAACGTGCCCCTATCGTGCCCCGATTTTACTTAAATGACCTTACCTGATATAACATCCCCAGCATTGCCCCCATCCTGTCCGAACATAGATCCTAGGTTCTTAGCGTTATCCCCTTGCATAAGAGTGCCCATAATATTCCCTATCGCGGCCAAACCGTCCATGTTGTTACCTCCTCCATTGCCCATATTTTGGAGGAAAGAGGACGCCAGGTCCAAAAGGGGGTTATCTTCATCTGACCGAATTTCCAGTATCGGTATCGTTAGAAGTTGGCAGATAATTACTATGAAACTAAACTTCGCCATCTTGGAATCTGGAAAAACGGGAACTCTTAATTTAAAATATATTTAAAATAGCTGACCTGGTAAACGTTCTTTTGCCATATGTACCATTTCGACTGAATTTGATTACCCTCAAAACTGTTTATGTGAGTTGACCTTAAATCCTGTCGTAATTAGGAATTATTCTTTTATACCATTTTCGCACCGCACGCAATGGAATTCCACAAAGACGATAAACTTTCTTTTAAGATTAACTTGCAAAAACGACGGAAGCGAGCGACATCAGCGGTTAAATTCATAAAGATGATGAGGAGGTTTCTACAAACAATTCTTGGATGGCCAAATGAACTATTCTACGCAGCCCAAGTCGCTGACACAGCTAGTATTAGTATGGATTAACAAGACGTGTTATTTTTGACATAAAAGAGAGAATTGTTCACGTATATTTAAACATTTCCCTTGTTTGTTTCGTGTGATGGGAATTTTTTTTAATCGTGACGTCACTGATGTTCGAAATTTAAATTAAAGAACATCGTTTAATATACTCTCAATAACTTATTTATGGTAAATGTGTCTTTTATCATTATTTATCGTTGAAAGAAATATTATAATATACATTAATAATTTGTAGCAATGATTAGCAGAAATCAGTAACATTGATATTGTAGATATAGATTGGAATTTGTCGCACTTATCGTCATGAATAAAAGATAAGAAAAACGTGTTTACGGTCCACGGCATACGATTTTCGCTATTCAATGTTAAAAGCGAATTTCAACGTATGTATGTGATGGACGATGGAGATAGATGTACTGGAGATTTGTGGTAATTGATCAAATTACATTGTTCGGCAAATTTTACGTTTTCCTGAATTTTCTACATAACATTTTTGTACCACATTTCATAATAATAATGCACATATTACAATATATATTAAAAAATCGTTCTTGTTTCGTTTTTTCTCTGTTCTTGTCTGTAGTTTGCGCGATTGTACAGATTTGGTCGCGGTGGTCACGGGGGGTGCCCGCATTTCGGATGCTGCTAAGCATCCGAAATGTCAGGCCGTAGTTAAAATAAAGTGTAAATAATGTAACTCATACATTTCGCGTTTTAAACCGTAAAAGTCTATTATTTAAATATAGTTTAGTTTAACAGGCTTGTAAGGCATACACACTGACCAGCAGAGCTTGCGCGCAACTCCCAAATTGGACAGTACGACATTTGCTTTGGCACTTTTCAAGAACTATTTTGAACCTAATGCATTTAATAGTGTTGAGAGCTTCTGGAAAAGTTTACCGAAGTACAATTTGTAAAATGGAACATCAAACACGATTTCTGAGAAAGACACCGTTAGGCAATTTACTTACGCGGTTGCTGAGTACATTAATCAGCAAAATTGTCGTCAAGTCTTAGCTGAAAGAAAGATTCGTGAGTACTTTTTAATAGGACTATAGAGTGCAACTATAAACCACTGTTTCTCAAAATATGTAACGATCACACGTTCATATAAAAATAACTTCTATATAATCAACAGTTATAGTTTAGTTTGATAAAAAGGGTCTATATAAGAAATACAAAATGTACATTTTATGACTAATCTGTGTTACCCTAAAGTGACGGAAAACTACAGCACGCAAGGTATCCATTTTTAAATACTGTCTGTAGTTTACGCGAGTAGTACACATTTAAACAAAACACTTTAACGGTTTAAAACGCGATATATTTTAGTTAAACTTGTTTGAAAAATATTTTTAAATACCGGGAGATGCTCCGCGACTACGGCTGTTGCAAAGCATCCGAAAAGTCGGGCTTTAGTTAAAAATAATTTTTAATTATACATTCTTGTCTAGAATGCTTATTAAGTATATAGGTATGTAAATGGCTATACCCATTTTAATGAATATTTGTATATAGAATATATGAATATTTTATAATTTATTTTTTTGGTTTAATAATATAAATAGAATAAGGCAAAAGAACGTTTCCGAGTCAGGTGGTATTTCTTAACATCGGACTAAAATGTAAGTACTTTTGATAATCCGTTATCAAATATATATAAGTTGTCAATATGACAAACGTTTTCTGTTTAAAAATTCATAACACATATATTCTAGTCACCTAGCGGTCCTAAGTGACGTCACGTGGGCAATGACCCCCGCACAATCCGATGTTTTTGTAAAAAAGTTTACACAGGTCATTTGTAACGCTTTGAATGGCTACATTACGAATAAAGGTCCCGTAATGTAGTGGTTTTCCGCTAGGAAACCTCGTGTAGCATGAACGGATAACTCATTTTGATGTTCAAGGTACCTTAAGCTAGTTTAGGACCAGCTGTTTTAAATTGGCAGGTCTATAGAATTTAAATAAAACACTTTAACGCGATATTTATTAGTTAAACTTATAATATATTAGTCCCCCCCTGACCACGGCTGCTGCAAAGCGTCCGTGTCTTATAACTAATATATATCGCGTTCAAACTGTTAAAGTGTTTTATTTAAATGTGTACTTGCGTACTATAGACAGTATTTAAGTGTATAAAAGTTGTTTTAACATTGATTGTCTTTATTAAAAATATAAAAATACATTTTGTTTCCAGAAAGAGAGGTACTTAAAGCATCTTCAGAACCAGACAAGCTGTGTCCGTGACATCATCTGCGTGGAATATTTATTTTTGCCAACAATCTCCTTAGCTTTATAAATTATAGCTCTTACCCAGGAAGTCACCCGCGTTCCGATGTTCTCGCAAGTTAATCCAAAACACAAAAGACACTTCAAGTTCAAGAAACGAAATCCCTCATATATTAGTAATTTTCCCTAATTTTCCACATTTTTCATTGTTTCTTTACACCTATTGGTTGCAGCGTGAGGTTATATAGCCTTAAAACTTTCTCGATAAATGGATTTTCCAGCACAAAAAGAAAATTTCAATTCGAAACCGCACCTAGTTCCCGACATTAGCACGTTCAAACAAACAAACAAGATCTTCAGCTTTATAATATTAGTGTAGATATACGAATGTATAACATGCTAACCTTCTTTATGTGTAACAAACTGTTTGTAAGCATTTCTTTAACCTAATTATTTAGTTAGAAAACATATTTTTAATGCAGCGAAGGTACAAATAAACAACTTCGATTATAATATTATTTATCAGCAATCCTACTGTAGCATTTTTCATTTCATAATCTAGATCTAAATAGTTACGTAGTGGGAAAATTTTATCCAGGTATTTCAAAGCCTGTAATATTAGTTTTCTTCTAACTACTTTTATTTATTAACTTACAACAATTAAAGCGTATAATGAATATTCCTTTGTAAATTTGTTAATACTTGCTTTTTTAGATTATAAAGCAGCAAAGTTTAGATTCGCTTTAAATATCTAGTGATGGATTCAAGCTTTTTTGGAACACCTTCGGTACAATAAGATTACATTTTTGTATTAGTCTATACCTTTGTTTACTTCCTTTATGTATTCTTTAGAGTTTAGACCTTACTAATATGATTTTCCTAAGAGTAAGAAATTACCTTTAATGCCACAGCTTCATCCAGAAAAATATTCACAGTAAAATTCAGGTAGCACTTCTTTACTCTCACATTACTTACTTACAACTTGTTACTCACAATTTCACGCGATTGCCGTAAAAAAAGTTATTATAGAAACTATAAAAAAACAATTTGCACCGGCTCGTATAAAAATATGACTGATCGAGATTTAAAAAACGAACGACCCGCGGCGTGTACGCAACGTCAGCACACGATGACAGTAGCTCGTTACTAAACTCTTTCTATATAACCATCACTTTCTATCGTATAAGAAAGTCTCCTTCGCACAAGTATGGAAATCCGAGTGCATTTGTCCTTGACTTCCAACGCCGCTATTCGAAGTACCGTTCGATTTTCCATCTCTTTCTAATGTAGCGGTAATGAGGTAAATCTATGGGGTGAAAAGAGAAAGGCGTATAATTATAAGGTAGGTGTTAGGCCCAACTGTCAATGACCGAACGCGGGAAGGATCAAAATAAAAGAAAACTTACGGTACTGTTATGTAGGTCCTTTGACCTCGTTTCACTTTTGGTAATTCCGGGTTTTTTTTTTAACTTAGAATTCCGCGCTTAGTATACTTAAATGTAATAGATATTTTAAAAAAAGTGTCGGTATTACATAAATAAAATGATTTTTACCATGTTTATGCTGTGTCGTGTCCTCGCAACGTATGGCTAATAATAATCATCGGGTCGTGGGTTGATCTCCACAGGATCTATCATTAATTCTAATAAATTTATAATTTTTCTGAAACATGTTGGACTTTGGAAACCTGGGTATTAAATCATTAAATGGGTGGTAGGAATATCAAAATTCCGCTCGAATCATCGTCACGAACCATCGTCCACAGATGAAAAAGCCGTCCAATTTAGTCGCGTTTCGGTATCAGTCTGTAGATTTCTGAATATCCAAACCCAAAATAGGTTGACAGCATATCTTGTACAGATGTTAAATATGGCTGCGGTATTTCACCATCAAGAAAAGAGTAACAAATATTCTTCTATAATTCTATATTCTATAATTATTTTAAAACTACTACTCGTATATTTTGGTAATTATTATAATAGTTAATTACCAAAATATATAGGGTCTCCATTTTATTAGTATATTTTGACATACTTGACTCATTTTATTGGCATGGTAGCTTCAAGGCTTGTAAGGAGGAACGAGTAACAGATGTACACCTGAACAACTTATAGTATTGAAAAAAGATGACTCCATGCTAAACATATATTTTTTTAATTTCTTTACTAAAATATTTTATCAATGATTCATGTAACACAGTGAAAAGGAAAGATTAGACAGGTATTTTATATTCTATGCTCGGAAGCGGAAAGGTAAGGGCTCAGGTATTTGTGATAAGAAAAGTAATATAATTTCCTTTTGTCCTTACGAATTACAAAGAGATTAGATAAAATGTGACTTCGACGACATAGAATAGGAATTCGATGTTAATTTATTTTATTACTAAAAATATTGAGGAAAACGTTATTTGAATAGGATTTTATCTTAGTACCGACGTTAATTTTTTTTGGGCAAACAGAATATTTCTTGTGGTAAGTACCTAAATATGCATGTTGTAAATCAAGGCTGTTGAACATTTATGCTAAAAAATATAATATAAATTAAAAGTAAATGTTTTAATAATAAAACAAAGAAACAAAATATGATCATAACCGATGCAGTCATCCGTACCAGATTCTTAAATTAAAATACCACCATTTTATTTAATTCAGGTTTTATTCAATAAATACCAGTTAAAAACTGTCTGTAGTATACGCGAGTAAACCGGTCTCCCCGTGGCCACGGTAGCTGCAAAGCATCCGAAACGTCGGGCCGTAGTTAAAAATTATTTTCAAACATTTTTAAATAAAATATATCGCGTTTTAAACCGTTAAAGTTTTTTATATAAATGTCTTTTACTAAGTAATTTTTACAAACACGAGTAAGCTGTTACGTCTCAAATCGACCGATGTTTGTTTTCTTAGTCCTGAAAAAATGTAGATTAGAAGCTGAAACAATATGCCAAAAGTCATGTCAATATTAGTATTAAGAATGAAAACATTCAAACAATTTGTAACTTTTCTACTAACATTCGAAATAATTTGTAGAACCGTCGAGTTATGTTTTATGAATATTTTGCCTGTTTCTGTTTTGTTCTGGAATTACTTTTGATTGGAAATAAGGTAACACAAGTTACAAACTTCTATTTAAGGACCATATTTACATTCTATATACTCTAAAAATACCGTTCATATTATTTTTATTCTGTAAGGAACAACTGCCTTCGTGGTTACTAAACATATAATGGTACAAGAGTGAAACCCAATCCCAAAGTAACATAATACTTATGGTTACATAGTAAGGAACAGTAGTTTGCCGTGGCAGGGAAAACAGGACTTAATTTTGTTAAATAAAATAGAGCCCACACATTTCTATATCTGTTTCACTAATCGGGTTTGTTTACCCCTGTAACCCAGACCGAAACAATCTATTGTTTCCCCGGGATTCGAACCCAGAACCTCTCACACTTAACGCAATACTAGGCAACACGTTTAACCATTTAGCTACAGAGGCGGCCATGTTATAGATTTTCTGTTATACTTGACAATTTAAAATTCCTTAAAACAAAGAAAATGGAGGATGTAAGGCAGTTTTTCTATTAAAGGTAGATTCGTCGCATGCGGGAGCGCCTCTTGGGAATTTCTTTGGCAGCGTAGAAAGTTTACGATTCCAGGTATGTAGAATGACTAATCGAATTGAATGTGATTTGCTTCAAAGAATGTCAACTCGATTGAAATTTACAACTCTTAAATCAAATCACGGAGTTAAGATTCAGTGACTTACATAAAACGTGTTTAACGGCATAAAACGCGATTTATATTATTCAAATAAATGTTAACGATCCGGGGGTTTCAGATTTTCCACAGCCGCCAAGTTATTCCCCCTTAAATAATAACTAATTTCGTTCCTACCTAGGTAAATTTATTCCTTTTTTAAATATTTAAACTTCCCGGAACTATTGAATACTTTGAAGATAGATAGATATACAACACTTAACTATGTTTTCATTTTTTGTATTGTTTAATACCAATTTAAAAATGTGGAAATTACAGAAATGTGTATAACACCTCTTAAATGGATTCATTTAATATATATAAACGTAAAACTTTGTGGATTTCCAGAACCACTATGCAACCACAATCAAGCCCGAATATTTCGAAACCGATAGAGCAGAATTTCCCGAGATTCGTCTCCGAAAAACCAGTAACAAGCGAAAGAAACAAAAGAACAAGAGGAAGCCAAAAAATACCGAACGAAACGAGGTAGTCGACCGCAAGATCGCCAAGAGAAAGTACGGTAAAAGATTTGTAAAAACTTCTCTGCGCGATGATACTTCTGCGTCTAAAGAGATCGGTAGAGGGAAACCGGTGGATATTATTGTACACATTAAAATGACTGAATAAACTAAATTACTATTGATATATTTTATTCTTACATTGAACAATCTTTATTAGGTAGTGATCAAACGTAAACTATCTATACAATTTTAGATATTTTTCACTCAACAATTTAAGCTAATTTCAAGTAGCTTCAAATATAAATATGTGCGATCTCATATTTCACTAATTTCTACTGAAAAAATAGATATTTTGTTATTTATTATTTATTAAAACATAACGATTGAATGTATAAAATTGTGGTGCCAGGTAAAATAACATCGTAAACAATCGTAATCATTAAACAAGTATTTCTTCAAAAATAAATCAAAGGTTACTTTACGTATTGTCTGTAGTTAACGCGAGTTATATACATTTGAATAAAGAACTTTTAAATCAAAACGCGATATATATTCGTTACCTTATTCTCAATTTATTTTAACTACGACTCAACGTTTCGAATACTTTGAAAAATAAGTTAAAAAAACAAATAAATCATATTTTTAATAAACTTGAAAAGACATGTCATTTAATCATTTTAAATATTTCTATTTATTTTATTCTTGAACCCATGTGTCCTAGTTCTTCGTCGTTTCACATATTGCATTAATTTTGCTCTTAGTTGGTTTTTTATCTTCTCTATGGATTGTTTTTCACCTGTCTTCTTCAAGTCGGGATAATTCCTAGCTATAGTGTTTGATACATGTGATAAAGTAGACTCTGTAGTTAATTCTAGGTGACGAGGCCTCTGAAAATAAAGGTTATTATCTCTATATACCTTTAGTTAACTAGTTATAAAACCGAGTAAGTATAGAATAGTTTCGATGGAAATTTAACCCACAACGCCGTATCTCTCTTTCAATTGAGCGAAAAACCTCTCAGAATAGTGTATTTTATTTATGTCAGTCTTCAGATCATAAGTTTTTTTTATAATTGGTAACTAGCTACAAGAGGGTAGCTGCTTTGTTACCTTCTTTTTTAACTGTTGGTGTGAATGCCTAATGCACGTCCACGTAGGGCAATAGTTACGTGGCGAGTCTGGTAGATCGACTACAATCTTCTCGGAGACAATAGATGACCAGAACCACTAAACATACCACCAGTCCGCTACGGTGCTTTAAAAGCCCTGAGATGCTGCTCTGTTACCTAACGCGTTACGTTACCAGTCTGTTAAGTTGATGTTGTCACTCCTAACACGTATTAAAAAAGAAGACTTTACCGAATAAAACTTATCGAATGAGCTCGTTGATGTAATCATATCAATGAATTGATAATATTCAATGGTCAGTTCGATCCCCACCGGGTCCAAAATATTTCTAATCGACTTATTTTTTTTCTAAAATAATGGTATTCGTCTGGATATATAAATGGGTCGTTAGAATTTCGAAATTCTGTCCACAGATGAAAAAACCGTGGAGTTGAATAGCGTATCGCTTATAGTCTGCGGATTTCCAAAAATCTAATGCCAACAGCGATCGTGTATGTCGTTGAGATGTTATATGACTGCGGTATTTCACCTTCTATCAATTGAACTCCTTAAATACTGTCTATAGTTTACGCGAGTAGTACAGTACGATATATTAGTACTATATTATAGTTGTAACTAATATATTGCGTTTTAAACCGTTAAAGTGTTTTATTTAAAAGTGAACTCCTTGTTTGTCTGTCCTTCTTCATCATAAACTATATTATATTATTTATCTTATAAACTTTGTTTTTCTACAACGTCCGACCTAGTCGCAGGGGCAGAAATACCCATTACAACCCTATGTTTGTCTGTCTACCACTATCATAAGAAAAATTACATACATTACATACAGAAACATACATTGATTAAATACAAAAGTGTTTAGAAGTATCATCTATTCCATCTCAAGCGCAGGTCATTTAACAAAAAAGCAATCAAAATATAACAATGGACGAAGGGATAAGAAGAGCTTAGTGTTAAATGAAATTCTCTATCTTAATTAGACTTTATCGTGTCATTTGTGAAGACTAGGATATAACTCAACGAACAGTTTGCTACCAACTTCTTTTATTATATATTAAACATGAATCGTTTGAATCATTTGAAAACATTAATATTTTTTAGATGTTATTGCACATGAAGGCACATGAAATATTAAAAATCGAAAATAAATTGAAAAAAATTTGGACAAGACTTGAACCGGCATCGTCAGCGTTCCGTGCTGTCGCTCTACCAATTTTTTATTTTTTTTTTATTTTATTTAATTTTTTAATTGAACTACTGAATCACGGTGACTCTATTTTCGATTTTTAAATCGTTTGTGTCATGTTATTTAAAATCGATTCAGATTGAAAAAGATTTACGACGCGGGTAGGACTTGAACTGTCATCAAACCAATTAAGTTACCGTGAATAACACGTTCTCAGGTTTTAATACGAAAAGTCCATGCATTCGATTCCAAATTATAAAAGATCAATAATCATTATGATCTAAATAATTGTAAATCGAACGCAAAACGGACATAATATGTCTATAGTATGTGGGGTTCTCGACGTCCCACATCTATTTTGCCAGAAGAGGACAATCAAGCTAGGAGTACGTTTGATGAAATACCCAAGCCCTGTATAATTCAATTAAGATAAGTTGTTAACCTATATAGGTCACTTTAGAAAATTTACAGGTTGAAGCCTAAACGCGATGTGGGTTAATGTCTAGGGACCGGACAAATTTTTGATATTCCGACTGTACATTCAATGTTTTTTATAATAAAAGAGGATGGACGAGCATGGGTTTCTCTGTTGACGTCTGTCATATAACATGAGTGTCGTCCGATGGCTTTTGATATTCGGAAATCCACAGACTGAAATCGAAACATGATTGATCTTAACTTTTGTAATCTATGGACGGCGGTTCGAGATCTGTACGGTATTTCGATATTCCTGCCACCCATTTAATATTTAAATTTACAGACGAAGTTTAACATTGGTTTAAAACATTTCGACCCGTTGGGGAGCTAACCCACGACCCTTCGATTATTAGTCTAACATTGGTACCATTACGCCCGTCAAAGCCACACATACCACTTGTGATTAAACACTTCTATAAGACTTTGAATGTATTAAACGAAAGGAGCTTAGCTTTGAAATCTAATGCATTTTCACACAAATGTGCATAAAAATTTTACTCACGCGTATAAGCATTGCATTATTTTTAAAAGGCGCATTAAAAGCTCGGGAGCCGTTAACCTGAAACCAATTTTATTACGATTGCATAAATTATATTTTTACGATAACTTTTATCGTAAATAATATCTCCTGATATTCAACTTAAAATCTGTTTACATGGTACACTTAAACGGTTTGAAACGCGAAATATTTTGAGTTAAACTTATTTGAAAATGGTTTCGGATGCTTTCCAGCAGCCATGGTCTCCCCGTGACCACGGCTGCTGCAAAGCATCCAAAACGTCGGGCCGAAGTTAAAAATCATTTTCAAATAAGTTTAACTAATATATCGCGTTTTAAACCGTTAAAGTGTTTTATTTAAATGTGTACTACTCGCGTAAACTATGGAAAGTATTTGAAAACTATTAAAATAAAATTGTAAAAATATTCCGATTAAGTCTTTTTTGAAACAAGGAGATAGTTTTTTACACCGGTAAGAAATAATTTGTCAAGAACAATATTTTCTCATACATCCGAGGTAATTTATATTACGCTTTTATTAAAAGAAAATGAGACGATAACTTATAAAAGTTATCAAGGTAGCTTCTTTAAATACGTTTTAAATAAGGCCTAAGGTAGTTCTCCTGCTGAATTACCGGACGTTGCTTAATAAAAAATTGTTATGTCACTATTATGTACGGTACAAGTAAGAAATAAGAAATAAATTACCTCTTCTGTAAGAACAACTTTCAATAAACTTAGATATAGCAAATATTGTATGTATGTCAACATTGTTTTATAAGGGTAAATCTAAAATTTAGTGTATCTATTCAGTTAATGCGTTAGATGAAATACAGCCGTCCGATCGTTTTTGGTTCTCGTTTAAAACTGTTTCAGCAAAGTTGATGTTTGCTTTCAGCGAAAGTTTGATTGCGTTGTTCTTGATCAACTATGTTGTTCTATTAAGTAAATAATGGTTATAAGGTTTGGTACTGTCTGTGGTTTTACGCGAGTAGAACACATTTGTAATGCAAAGTGTATTAGTTATCTTATAATCTACCGCGGGAAGATGGCGCTAGCGTAGCAGTTTGTACTTTGACACCACATCTTCAGTCCCCCCGTAACCATGGCTGCTACAATTAAAGAAAATTATGTCAATATATTGTAGTTTTGTGTTATTTTTCTTTTCATTTAAATTTAATAAGCGTTCTAAAAAGTTCAAATTGAATATATTATGCATGTCGTTAAACCAAAATTGCGTGAGAGGTTTTAGGTTCGTATCCCGGGGTACTAAAAATTTTATAAATTAATTTTGCTCGGTTAAGATGTACTGTGATGGTACTAGTATTTTAATGTAAATAATAATTTGGGACAGTGTTGCGTTTGCCGGAAAGATCGATTTAATAATCGTACGTTTCTTATATTATCACAACCCATGTCGTTAAATAAAAACTCCAGCCCAACATTCTTATAATCTCGCGTACATAAAACATGGAACTTATCAGCGCGGTTTTACGGCGTTGTACGTACAAGGTTGTATGAAAAAGTGGTTTCCTCGCAAAAAAGCCTCGACTTATTAAAAGCTCTTTTTGAAAATATGGGATTTACGAGTTCCTTACTCTTTCGTATTAACGTGTCATGAGTAATACCTGTCTGAAAAGACTGAAATCCCTTTTATGAAGTTAGCTTGTCATAAATTCGGCGAGTGTTTGAGATATTTAATGTCTCGATTTTTTCATTTCCGACGATCGGAACAATATGAATGGAATGGAATTGTAATTTTTAAATTTCGAATCGATATAGAATAATTATAACTAGAATTTTTCCCCTCGTTTTTAGAAACAATTTTTGAAAGTCGGTGAAGTTTTATAAAAGATAACGGATTTGAAAAGCCATTACTTTTTCGGTTTCGTGGCGAAGAATGGAACAATAGTGTTTAGTATTGTTCCAGTTTATAAACATGTTTCGCTAGGGCTTGTTCCTTGCTGATTAGGATTTAGTTTTTAGTGAAATAGGAAAATGTATATGCTGTTACTCTTTAATTTTCTTTATTCCTCCTATGCAAATGAAATAATACAGGTACATTCGTTGTTAAACTTTTATTGTAATAAAAATTCATAAGAACTTCTAATACTCGCTAAAAAATAATTATATTCCTACAATAAATAGAATAAAGTTATATGTTTTTCCTACAATAAGAAAGTCGCAACATATATATATATATATATATATATATATGTATATATATTTCTGTGTCTCTTTTAATTATTTTATGAAAAATTATAAATCAATTATTACTTCTTAAATAGTGTTAGATGTTTTTTCATAAGGGGCGGATTTAGTCTAGCTACCGTATATTTATAATTATGTTTACAGAGTCCTTCAATACTAAAGGAAAACAACAATGGAGGATCCAGCTACCTTTTATCAAGAGGAAACATGGTAAGATATTATTTCCTTAGTTTATACAATAGCGTGGGCAACAATGTTTACAAACAACTTAAATAAATGAGAAGGAAAAATGTAGAAAATCTTGGAATATATCTTCCTGTAGGAAGCCTCACAAGTCTTTCGGAATTAAATGATCAGTGAACATCGCTGACTGGCTTGTTGGTGTAATGGTAGCATTGTATGGCTGATAATCGATGGGTCGTGGGTTCGATCGCCATCGTGTTAGACTTTGCCTGGAAAATCAGGATTAGGTTAGAATATCGAAATTGCGCTCGGGTTCCAAATCCATCGATTACAGATGACAAAAGCCGTAAATTTTCGCGTTCCGGTTTAAGTCTGTTGATTTGTGAATGTTCAAAGACAAAGTAGGTCGATTATATCTAATCCTAAAAAAAAAGAAGAAGAAGAAATATAAGGGGAAGAATATCAGTGAGACATGATAGACAGCAACCCACGGAATGCCGGAATGGCCAAAAACAAATGTTATGTTTTTGAATTATTAATAAATTGATAATAAAAGTTTCAGAGTGAACCTAAATTAAATTTTCATTACAAAATGAATCATATTATGTTATGCTACTCTTTCAAAATGTACGCTACATTTCGTTTCAAAATCCCCAGGGATTTTCTCGTATCAAGGAAGTAAAACTATCACATACACCACTGTTTGAAATACGTGACAAAACTTAAATTATTAAATGTACTCTCTTTACTCTGTTATTATTATAGTTTTCAGTTATAGGTATAGTCTTAGGTGGAGGGGGGCCCCTGTTTGTGTTAAAATAAACAACGTTAATATCTTTAGACTTCATACTGCGACACACATTACTCTCAATAACACAAAAACAAACACACAAACGCATATGAAAGCCGCAATGAAGTGTTCTTTACTTTTCATTTTCGTCTTTCGATTGTTTATCAACCTTTATAATAAAGCAAGTAAATATTTTTTCCTATAATAACTAATTAGATTTCCTTTTAAAGTTTTTTTTATTAAAAAGCAGGATTTATTTCATCCAGTCCCAAAAGATAGGTAGAGATAATTCACTAACCATTGCTCTTATATTTGAGCCGGATAATTACAAACAATTTTTCCGTAAAATTAATGAGAACTTTTCCTTGGGTATCGTAACGAGAAAGCTTATTCGTTACTTTGAATTTTGGTATTACGGCTTAGTTATTCAATTTCGTTAAGTGTTACTTAATTAAAGTAACATTTTCAAATTTTTCCTTCTTACTGAATCCATTTGTCAAATAACAATCCGTTCGCCATCTTTTGTCGCGTTTAAATTTAATAATTCCATTTTTATACTTAAATTAATTTCATAATTGTGGTTTATCATCCTGTAATATTTTATATAAAAATATTATCCGTTACGTTTTTGAATATAGAACAAACACATTCATTGCTATCGGTCTCAATATTAGCTTAATGAATCTCGATCCATATGACAACAAAGCAAGACCAGAAGCCTGTAATACAATTATAACTATACCAAAGCTAAGTAAAGAAAGTCAGCGACACGCTAGGGACAGAACCATAAAACAAGACCAATAAGTTTATTTCTTATATAATGATCTGATGCCTCATGATATACCCTAAAGGGCTTAGTTTCAGATGGTTTCAGAAAGGTAGCGTATTATTTACTTTAAGAAATTGGATCCAGAATATTTATTAGCAACCCACTGGTGGGACTAGTCTGTTTCGATGACAGCTTCAGTGATAGTTTATGCGTAAGAAATCTTTTGGTGTCTTATAAAATGTTCGATATTAAGTGTTTTTTTTTAAGAAATCTAATTGATAAGATATCCAATGAAAAATTATAAATAATTAATGTAATGGTCGTATAAATGTATTTTCGCAAGTACTGTATAAACTTTCATCACAGACACGAAACAAATACTAAGTGTACAAGCCTTTTGTCTTGTTACTAAATATCTACAAGTGATATGAGGGCTTTGATCACGATTGCCTTAATAGTAGGTATTAAATGGAGTCTGGCTTAAGCTCGCTAGGAAAAACGGGTTACTGCTTGAGATAGAGTCATCAATCAATGTTATATTCCCGCGTTTTACTGAACCATGAGATTAAATGTTCAACCAGACAGCACATTTTATTTTTCAGATGCCCTTCAACCGAACGTTTTTTGATAAATCGGATAATATACTGCGAGTACCGAATACGTTCTACGAAGATAATAAAAGAAAGTCCAAGATAAAGAAATCACCGAAACGCACGATACAGAAGATAATTAAGAAGAACACTGTGAAACGGAAGCGTATCTACGTCAACCCAGTGACGAGTTTACCAACAGTCTCGACGATGTATAACAAAGCTGACAATATACATTCCAGGCAAAACGACGATACACAAACGACCGAAGCGAATTCGAGAAGAAGACCAAGAAAGAATTCGAAAGTTTTGCGATACCATATGCCGTTTCACAAGTTGCAGCCGCGGACGAGAAGAAATAAAAGGGAAGATATCAAAGTAACTAAAAAGGAAGACACGACAGAGATAGAAAATGTTATTAAGAAGAATAAAAGAGACGCAGATAATGAAAATGTAGTAATACTCAATGACTTGGATGAAATCGAATTTGTTGGTGATGATAAAGACTATGATGTAGTGAAGGCACACGTCCAATACAACTGGTAGCGCCTAAAAATGTTCATGATTTGCCGTATAGTTAAGATAGTTTTGTGTAGACAGAAGAAATAAAATAATAATATTATCATAATGTTTATTTCAAACGCGTGTTTCAAATTAACACACGAATATAAGAGAGCAAATAGCTAAATACAGAAAAGGCACTAACGCCTGAACAATCAATTGACAAGATCCTAAATACATGTTTTAACAATCATAAACATTAAACACGCATCAAATATAAACAATAAAGTGAAGTGGATTTTCTGTATTTGGCGTAACATCTTATAAGTAATAAGCTATTTACAAAAACTTATAAAGTTTACACATCCGTACCAAATGGTACAATAATACTTATGGCTATAAGTTTTAAAAGATAATTACAAAACTATATTAAACTACCATAACTTAAAGACTGAGAAACTGGATAACTTCTACAATGAAAAGTAATTTGGTCATTTAAACAATGATGAACGATTGGGTATTTATAAAAATTGTGTAAGGCTTTCACGGCCTATGTTCAGCATATCATTGGCTTTCAGGAATCGATTAATTCTTCGAGTTAATTAATCGATTAGTAAACTTCTCCTGATGATGCCTTCCGCACATGATGGCGAAACGTCGGGAACCTCTTCTCGCTCACGTCGGCCGAACAGCCCGAAAACCAATGATATGCTGGGTATACATTTTTTGGATACAGAAAATGGCAATAACTGTAAAAAATTGCCATTATAGGTTGACAGCGCACCGTGTCTATATGTTTTGGCACTACTAGCGCTATCTAGTGATTTCTTCGCCATTTAGTGAACTCCTTGTCTTGTCTGTCTTCCTATATATATACAAGCCACAAATTAAGTTATCAAGCATCGCCGGCCTTTATATCTTCAGATCCTTTCTTATTCCTATATTCCCAACCCTGATAAGCTAAGTCCTGAGGGTTTGATTCATGGTCTCGAAACAGAATACCTCCTGAAGGTTGGCCGTATTTGTGTCCAGCCTGTAATAAGAAACAATTATGTTCTAAGCAAATTCTAAAAGTGGGAGTTCATATCCGTAACTCGTCCTATTATATATGTTACTTAAAATTAATTTCATTGATCTTACACTATTGAAATTCGATTGTTTGATGAAAATGACGTTTTAGTTGCTTTGTAGCACCCAAACTGTCGGCCGTAGTTAAAATAATTTGTTAAGTTTAACTTTCTAAACCGTAAAAGTGTTTAAATTAAATGTGAACTACGGGAGGTAAAGACACGGTTTAAATGCAATATATATTTGTTAAAATAATTTTAACGATTTTTCGAATGCTTTGCTGCAGCCGTGTTCACAGGGAGATTCAAGTAACTGTTCCTAATATATATTGCGTTTTAACCCGTTAAAGTGTTTTATTTTACTTATAGTAATCTTCTTTTAAATTGTCACGGTTAGTTTCGGGGACCCCAGCTGCTGTAAAACATCTTAAACGTAGGTTCGTAGTTTTTTAGGTAATATATTATGTGTTCTAAACCGTTAGAAGTGTTTTATATAATGTGTATCCATCGCGTAATCTATTATGTACTTAATTCCAATTGTATCAAATTAAAGTTGCATTATTTTCTGTTTATTTCTTGACATATTCCATTTTATCTATATATTTTGTGTAAGTAATGTTCACAAAGTCGTTAGATAGAACAAGACAATATCTGTACACAACTTTTTTTATTTCAAGTCAGACTACAGAATCGCGTGTTGGTTGCGAGAAAATTTCGTTTTAATACTTATTAACGTCAAAACTCGGGAACTATCAACATGATTAATGGCGAAGCTTTCACGCGTGAAATTTCCCTTTTCGTGTTTTTTCAAGGAAAACGATCGAAAGAATAGATCTTGTTGTTTTCCTTATTTTTCAAGCTTTTCCGATGCTTTGTATACATTATGTAACCAAGTACAATCTTGCGTAAGGCAGCTTTGTATTAAGTGATATATTAGCTGAGCTAGCGACATCTTCCGCGTAGAATAGTTATTTTGGGCATCAAAATTTGTTTTATAAAGTATAGCTGTTACACACGACGTCGGTCACGGCCCGTTGTGTTCGCAAGCTAATATTAAAAGGTACATACAAACATACTGTCGCGAAGATTTTCAACATATCTCACTGTTTATACCCTTTCGTGGTTGCAGCTAACCAACACAAATATATTTTTTCAATTTAAAGTAGTTCTTGAGATTAGCGCGTTCAAACAAACAAACAAACTGTACAGCCTCATAATATTAGTATAGATTTAGAAAAACTTATTCAGTACTTACATAAGTCTCGTAATGCCCATAATGATTGGGTTCTCTGTACGGACCAAGGCCTATCCCAGCTGGAGAATATTGCGGTGCTGAGTAATGATTTGAAGAAAATGGTGACGTCAAATTTGGCTTACAGAACTTGAAGTAGCCGATTACACCTGGAAAATATTGATAACAATTAGACTACTGTATTATTATCAATAGTATATACATAATATGAGGCTGCTAAAGCCAGATTGACCGATCTACATAGGCCACTATATATATATAGGTACTGTGGTGGTTCCTGCCAAGTCTAACTTAGGCCAAAATGAACTTGTACTGCCATTTGTGTAAAAATTATGTTACGTTAAGGTCACCGTGATATTATAGATGGACATTTTTAGAATATTAAAAAAGGAAATAAGTTAATTGTCATTAAAAATGCAGTTGGTTCACTCTGGCTCTAGCCGTCTGATTTTAAATAAGCTTAACAAATTTCGTTTCCCTGTGAGCCGCAATTAGACATTTCTGGGTTTGTTTCACAAATTCTTTTTTATTGACAGACTAGTCTCTTGTCGTCATCAGATCAGATTTTTGTGCCTTCTAGAACTATTATTTCCGGGATTCAAATCTCAAACCTCTGAAGGCGTTAAAACTTGATTCTAGGAGGCGGTCACAATCTATGTTTTTCATGATAAAATAGAATTACCTGGTACTATAAGCGCCATGAATCCAAGGAACTTCTTGAAGCTAGCTAATCCCAGAATAAGAGGCAAGAAGAGAAGCAACTTCAGCTTGAACAACTTTAAAATTAACAGCATTGGAATGATAAGCTTCTTTAATTTATGACGGCCTGAAAGAAAAAAATAACAAATTTTACACAAAAATCCAACGAAGAGAGAAAGTTAATTTCACAATTAATTTGGGATCTGAAAAGGCTTAGCAATGATCTTTTGATTAAGTTTTTAAGTAATTCTTTAATCCCATTACTTCCTCAAGCCGGATTGATGGAGATGTAATTCAATGAATCACTTTAAGAATTCAATGTATTTTAATTTAGATTTTCGTTTATTATGGATGGACGAGGACAGACTTGGTCTTCACAAGGTGGTAGGTGGAATACCCCAGCCATATAGTAAACATGGGTCGACCTGTTTCGACCTGAATCGACTTGACGGGCATTTTATCAGTGGACGCTGGTTTGTGATCCTTACGAGAATTTGACTATCCTACCACCTGTTTAATATCTAGGCGAAGTCCAAGATGTTTATTTAGACTTTTTGGACACTTAACTATAAATAGTAGAAATATTTTATTGTCTATAGTTTACGCGAGTAGTGCACATTTTAATAAAACAATTTAACGGTTTAAAACGTGATTTATTAGTTAAACTTATTTGAAAATTATTTTTAACTTCGGCCCGACGTTTCGGATGCTTTGCAGCAGCAATGACATTTTCAAATAAGTTTAACTAATATATCGCGTTTTAAACCGTTAAAGTGTTTTATTTAAATGTAATGTCTTTTGAAACCATCACCCGTACCTAAAAGATACCAGTAGTGAAATAACAAATGAAATTTACGCATTATTGAATAATACTACGAGAGAGGGGGGAGGGAGTTTTGGTAGAAGGGAGATGTTTAGTTACTTACGGAAAGGTGCCTTTTTGTCTTCGATTATGTCCACCTCGTCAGCGATTTCGTCGATAAAACGAGGCGCTATCACCCCATCAGATGTCACTTCATTGTCAAGCTGCATCTCTAGAGCCGTTGACCGAAGAAACCTGTTAAAGTGTTTGGGATCACTTATAAGGTTTGAATAAGTTATTTTTTACGTGGGTAGGTCTGGGTCACGAAAAATGTCGACGGATGAAATTTATTTACGTTTCTGTGGATTTCTTAATATTTAAAGCCAAAATAGATCGACAGTGCATCTTGTTAGGATGTTGTATGGCTACGGTCATACCCCTTACATCAAGTGTACTGCATTCTTGTAAGGCCTCCAGTATAATAATAAAAAAAAATATATAAAGTGTAACACTTCGTGCCTGATCCACCGAAGCACTGTTACATTTTTTTTAAATAATCAAAGCGCTTTTATCAAGCTTTTATCAGACATAAACAAGGTAATCAAACATTGTAGTGCAGTAGTTTTGATAACAAGAATGTTTAAATAAAACACTTTAGCGGTTTAAAATACGATATATTAGTTAAACTTATTTGAAACTGATTTTTAACTTCGGCCCGACGTTTCGGATGCTTTGCAGCAGCAATGACATTTTCAAATAAGTTTAACTAATATATCGCGTTTTAAACCGTTAAAGTGTTTTATTTAAATGTGTACTACTCGCGTAAACTATAGACAGTATTTAACAAGAATGTTTCAATTGTCTTTTTAAAAATAGAGATTGGGAGAATAAGTAAGGTAAGGTTTGTATCGTAGAGCAAAAATAGCTCTCACAGGCTCCCAAGTTCAAGTTACAAGCTCGGTTTGATTCCGAAATGCAAAATTGCATGGTATCAAATGAAATTGCGTTGAAGCTTTCTCTAGAGAATTCAAATCCTGTTCGCTTGAAATTCAGAGTGAATGTAGAAATAGGATACTCTGGAACGATGCGATATATGTATCGTAGCAAACTTGATGAAGATTCATACTATAAATACATATCGAACTAAAATATATTAATGTAAATATATTTCAGATATACATATCATGCGTAAAAACATAGCAATGACAGCTTTTTTGTCTAGTCGTATATTTCTATATTACATATATATCATTTCAGCGTCAACATACTATGTTTTGCTTGTGAACAAATTATTGATTTATTAATATAAGTGGCGCAAATATTTAAGAAAATGTTATAGTAAGTTAAACCTTAAAATATAGTCACGATAAAAACTCGTTCTTAGTATCAAAGTATGTTCTTGGTAACTACATTAAAAATGTATAGACATAAATTAACCGTGCAAATACAGTTGTGCAAATAAACACAATGTTAAAAATTTTACTACTGATTTCGTAATGACTACTTAAGATTAAAATTCAGAGCTCTGTATTGCGATTCAACTCATTACAACACATTTAACATAAGTAGGGTAATCTTGTAATTTCAAACATTCATTTTTCATATAAAATTTATACACATTTAATTGAATTTTAAGATGAGAGAAATTGAACACATACATTGTAGCTCAGTTCAGTTTCAGGGGCACGGGCCGAACACATTTCTGTGTCCGTTATAGTGATTGATTCTTTTACAAGTAAGTAGTTAGACTTCCGCTTCGTATTTCGGCACCGAAACAATTTATTGTTTTCCTGGGATTCAAAGCCAGGACCACTTGCGATAAACGCAATGATAGGCAACACTTTAAACTCACCTTTAGATCCGTTTGAAATTAGATACCTACACTTTTTAAATTTAGAATATCGGTTTTATCGATGTGGATACATAATAAAATATATTGAATCGAATTTCAGAGCTCAAAGTAGCACAGTAGTTATTGATGGCGTACAGATTAACATTAGGAAATTAAAGCAATTGAAAATAAGTATTTGATGTTGAAACTGAAAACGCTCAAGTACTGAGTCAGACCCGGTAACTCATGAAAACTTACTTACTTCTACATCTATCCAGGTACGAAATGCAGCTAACGAGCAATTCGTATGGAATACGTACCTAGCAGTATGTACTTGCTGGTGACAAGCCGGATGGATGCAGGGGGATTTTAAAGAGTTTATAGACGTATTGCTAGGTGGTTTTTTTTACCGGTTGTCTCTTAATCTTTAAGTATTATGTGGTATGTATATACCTTTCAATTTTCCTCATCCCAAACTTGACAAGCGCGTCCCAGTCAGAGTCTTCACTCCGGGGCTGAGAACTAAGCTGCGGTGGTTCGTGTGATAGTGCCCTTGCTTGAGATTCCACCTTCACGAGGACTGCGTTGTCAGATAATCTGAAAAGATTAAGTCACATAAGTGAGACATATAATATAATTGCTAAATTAAAAAATCTATTGAGTTTGAAAACACGGGCGGAATTTGAACCGGCATCCACACCGTTCCGTGATGCTCCAAATAGCACCGATTGAGCTACCGTGTTACCTGAACCTTCGTTAGCAACCGCACGAAGAAAACCACTGTTTAAGATGCCATAAGTGTCATAAACATTGAAAAATATTAAACATTTGTTCTTGTTTTTAAATACTATTTACCTATATGTTTAATGAAATACCAATTTAATAATCATTTGGGATATTCTATTTTAATATATATCCAATGAATATGGATTTTTATTCAATACATATATTTTGTATTCCTAAGCTTCTCCCCGCGCACGGCTGCTGCAAAGCATCCGAAACGTCGGGCCGAAGTTAAAAACCATTTTCAAATAAGTTTAACTAATATATCGCGTTTTAAACCGTTAAAGTGTTTTATTTAAATGTGTACTACTCGCGTAAACTATTGACAGTATATATTTAATACATGTTTACAATTGTAGGAGGCTTTTTGATAGCACTTAAAAGAATTACCATTAATTTAAGTCGACTTAATACTCCTGAGATGCGGATTATCAGCAATTAATTTACGATTTACAGCTTGATCCCTAGATGCGATCCTTTTCTAACGAGGGATAGACAGGTTAATAACACATTAAAGGCATCCTTTATCTCTGACAATACTAAAATCATATTGCGTTTTCGTTAGAATTTCTCTGCTCTTTGATGTAGGATCATACTTCGTAACCATTGTAAACTAATTTGCGTGTTTCAGTGACTTTAAGGATTACTCGAACAAATTTTAAACTCTGTCTATTTAAAACATTTATTTTATTTTGTAGAAATACATCAGATATTTTTCTGACATTCCATGTGTCAGTAGTTAATTAAGAATATATTATCTGTTAAAAATGATTCAAATAAAACGATTAACTTGGAAGCTGGTGAATGAACGATATCCAAAGTATTTTTCGGCCTACATTACCTTCAACTAACTGTTGTATAAAGTTTACCTTTCCTTTAATATTGATCGTTAACACGATACGACATAATATATTAATTAAACTATTTTTTTTATATAACTACGACCAGACGTTTTAAATACCAATAACAAGGAAACAGAGAAGAAAGAAGAAAAGAAATATTGAAAGATGGCGCTAGTATAACAGATTTGTATTGACTGTAGTGTAAAATATGAGAAACGTAGGGTCATAGTAAAATTAATTAAAAATCGATTCATGTAATATAATTCTCGTTTAAAACAGTTCATAGTGTTTTATTTAAATACCTTAATCTTTTCAAAATACATCCCAATAAAACGACAAATGTTTATTTTTTTGTTATGAATTTAATTTACTTACTGATAAGCTTGTTTGTCGAAGAAATCGTCAAAGGATCTCAATGCTTGAGCTTTGAAACAATCTGCTAGATCTCCGTTTATGCATTGCTGGGTCGCCTGTTGGATGTAAGGGTCTTGGTCTTCACCAAGACCTATCCAATCGAGAAGGCCGCGTCCCTGCGCTTGCGGCTGTCAAGTAAGCATATAAACTATGACGTGGCGTTGGTTTGATGGTAGCAATTAATTACTAATAATCAACGGGTCGCAGGTTCGATCCCTTTTTTTGTAAATCTAGATATTAAATTTAAAATTAAATAAGCAATTTAGTCCTTTTCGAAAAACCGTCCACAGATGAAAACGCCGAACAGTTTAATCGCGGTGTATAAACAGAATTTGACTTTGACCAAAATGGGCCGATAGCGCATCTTGTTCAGATGTTATATGAGTTCAGTACTTCACTTATTATCAAGTGAACCAACCCCGTTCTTGTCATAGACAAGAATTCGAAAGTTGTATCCTCCATAACTATTATTGCCTGGTACTTACAGATCGTCCATTGTCATTGAAGTTCAATGACCTCCCGGCGACCTCTTCTTGTGGTGGTTGATCTGGTAGTCTAATTCCCCCTTCACCACGCGACTGCAATGCGAGCATCGCCGATATAGCGAGCATAAGCCATCGGGCTTGGTTCAACATCTTCTATGGTTCTGATTACCTGGTAAATGAAGATGAAATTTTAAGAAAAATTCGACAACGCATCGTTATTCACTTCCATAAAATGAAAGTTTGAAAGATATATAGGTATATTGTTATTGTTTCAAATTAACAAAAGGTTAATTTCATTATAAATTTTTGTCGTATAAAGTTGTCGTGTATGAAACAGTTAATATAAAATTATTATTGTAATATCTCTTCAATTCAGTCGACAGATTAATATGGAAAGGTTTTTTTTACATCGCTAAAAAGGGGTTGGGCCCTTTTTGTAGTCGTAAATTACAAATAGAACACTTTTAACGGTTTAAAACGCGAACCGTGAATGGGAGAAAGTTTGCCTGTTGCAGAGCATCCGAAACATCGAGTCAATGTTAAAAAATTAAAGGTTTTGTTTGCTTATGTAGATTTTTCCTTATTCTTTCACGTGTTATGTATTCAGGAAAGTGTCTCGTGAAAGTAACAATAACGAAATTAGTTTTCAGACAAGAGCCATTGAGTCTTTTTCTTCGTATTCGTGACTTCAGCCGCACAATAGACAATAGTTCTTTGCAGCCAATATTGTCGGCAATATCTTCTACTTTTACTTGAACATAGGCATTTAGGTACTTTCGCGTATTGAAGCGACGAGCTCACTCGACCTTATTTTTAAAGCAATAAGGGTGACGTAATATCTAAGATTCGCAGGGGGTCTTAATATTAACTTTATAGCGTCGTTACACGATGTTGTAATCTATTTAAATGAAAATAAAATTGAAAATGGAAAAGCTTTCCTCGCCCATTACTCTGTCGAATCGCTTCGTATTGATGAACGATTCGCGACACGTTTTATTCGGGTTTTAAACGAAATTTCGAGTGTAATCAAGTAAAATTTTGTAGTTAAAAGCTTTTAACGGCAACCTTCGTTTGCATAATGGATTTATTAATGTCCCTTTTTCTTTTACAAATTGTTCATACATTACTGGGAGAATTTACGCTACACTTACGTGCTACGAGGAAATTTGTATTTACCAATTTTTTTATTGCTAGAGTGTGTATATAACATTGTGTCTTCACTAGTTGAGTTTTCACTTGATCGGTTGTATATATTTTTTTCACACAGGAGAAATCGAATAATAAAAAATCAAGTAGGCCACGGCGTGCAAGCGATACGCATAATATTCGCTCACTGCGCGTGAGTGGACAACGAACTGTTAGCTGTCAAAGAAAATGTTTATTTTCCACAGAGCGTCAATACGATTCTATGTTCATGAATCTATACAAATATATAAAGCTGAAGAGTTTGTTTGTTTGCTTGTTGTTTAATATAAGGAACTACGAGTTAGAATTAAAAAAATATTTTTGTGTTAGAATATATATCGAGGAAGGCTATAAAACATCGCCCTGTGACAAAATACAAGCCAAGATACAGCAAGAAATTAAAAGGACATTGGGTAAATTGTTCATCATTATGGGTTTCCGAGGCGTACGCTGCAAAAGCGGTTCACGATATCCAAAAAATATGTATGATAGCATTATGCCTCTTTAAATGATCTAAAAAAAGTCCACGACGCTATACGCCTATCTTTTAATTTTAACTTGCAAGAACGACGGGAAGGAAGGCGACCGATGTCGTTGGGTTTTAAGTAAAGGGGTTAAAAATATTTGGATCCTCAAATACGATTCTCTGGACAAGTCGCTGACAAGTAATAGTATAAATAACATACGACTAAAGACCCATTTTGATATATTAATAGGTATTAAATTTGTGAAATCGCGTTACCCCCGTGGGACATGGGGCGAATTAATTTCTCTGTCTGTTTCACTGAATGGTTTTATTTAAGTAATTGACTAGACTTCTGCGCTCTGCCCGGCTGAAACAATCTATTGTTTCCCCGGATTCAAACCTATCTCGCCATTTAACCATTTAGCTGCGGAGGCGGTATTAAGGTAACCTAACCCTTTTTGTAATGAAGTGAAATAATTTTCGTTTCTACGAACTTTAATTGCACTCTGCTATTGGGCTCAAGCTTTTTTTAATACGAATCAGAATTTGGTTGGATTATTTTAATGAATTAGTAGAATTCAAGTGGAAACACAAAAGAAATGACAAACGCTATATCTACATTTTCGTTATTCTTTGTCTAACGGCACACTGGTCGCAAACTGTAAGTTTCAAGTTCACGACAGGAATACAAAGCAAGCCATATGTTCTTAATGGCCTGAACTTGTATTTGTCCTATATACATTGTTATAATCGCTTTCACCTTAAATGTTCTATTTATTAGCTCTGTTAGCACAAAGTTACCAATAATACATTATAACTTACGTATCGTATGTTTAAAATACAAGACGCTAATTTCAAAATTAGAAGTTGTAGAGTTTTTACTTTGCCATCACGGACACCCTCTAGCGAGGGCGAGGAAAGCTTTTCCATCTTCAAATAAGTTTAACTAATATATATCGCGTTTTAAACCGTTAAAATGTTTTATTTAAAAGATGTAACAATTTAAGAAAATATGTCTTCGTAGAAACATAATTTTCTGTGTCTAGGAAGGAACCTCTTTTATTAAGTAATTGCTATAGTCTCCCCAATTAACTCTTAGATCTAAAATGAATAATTATTCTCTAATCAACTTTTGACACGAGACAATATAAATTTTCTCATTGTGTCTCAAAGGGATCTTTGTCAAACGCAATAACGTTACGGCTGTGGAAAATCTTCAGGGCCCTATTTGGAAACACATTATTCTGAAAGATTGCCACTTAACAGTAAATTAGAAAATTGAATACTTTGTTAACGCGGTTTCAAAGGGGTGAAACTAATTTTACTTAAGCGCGACACACGTATTTGAATTTCCTAATAACGTCGTTACAATGAGAGAGGTTTAGAGTCTTGTTCGAATCTATTATGTGTCTCAAATGTAAGCGAAAACTTTGAGAGTTGAAGTTTCAAATTGTTAAGCGTTGATCATTGAAAAACGTCTATATCACAAATATTTGGAAAGTTATGTGATGATTCGTGCGTGTGCGAAGTGATAAATAAAATTAAACGATTAATATTTATTCATCGATCGATTCTATCTTCCCCTTTTTCCTTTATATCCATCGCTCTAGGATTCAAATACATCGAATTCGAAAACATATCTTAACGGTTTAAAACGCGAGATATATTAGTTAACTTAACAATTAAATTTAACTATGGCTATGGCAGCCATGGTCATGGGGGACTTACGATGGAAGATGTCCTTAACGTCAAAGTCAAAACTAACTATAACCTTAGTTTTAAATAACTAGTATGTTTTGCGTTTTAAACCGTGAAAAAGTGATTTATTTTATTGTGCACTAGTAAACTACACACAATACTTAACTTTATATTTGTTATAAACTCAATTCGCAGTGAGGTAAGCTCAAATATCAAAGTCTTTTTGGGTCATTAAGCACTCCAAATGGATGATCTGTTCGGCCGTAGCCAATATATTAGGGTCGAATTTAGCGATTAATAATGTTTATATTATTAGAAGCAATTTATTACCGGAATAAAAACGGTCCATTACATACACTTTACCCCTAAAATTAACCTCCAATACGGACCGTACAAGGAAATCTTAATATTCGTAGTACGATGATTGTAAAAAAAAATTACACAATTATTTTGCTTCTTCGATACACTTACTACATATTTTGGAAGGAGATCTGCAATTAGTCTTTTTTAACTTAACATTTTTATCTCTGTGGGAATTATAATTTTAATCTATAAAAGTAACTATTATAAATACTAAGTATCGTCTGTAGTATACGCAAGTAGTACACATTGAAATAAAACACTGTGTAATTAACACAGTCGCCCGTGACCACGGATCCTGGATCCTGAAAAGCATCTGAAAGTTCAAATAAATTGAAAATAAGTTAATATATTTTACGTATTAAACGGTTAAAAGTAATTTATTTGGAGATCCTTGATATTATCAATAATATTGGTTGGCTGTCGCGTTATTTAAGATTTATTTTAGTTAGTTAAAACATTGAAAGTCTCACGTCCTTTTAAAGTATTAGTTATCCAAAGTTTAGAGGACGGAGGCTCTAGTAATATTTTGAAACTAACTCTAACAGCAGAAGCCTTTACGTAACTGCTTATATATCCTTGTTGAAGTGGGCCATTTTAGGACACAATACTATTATGTAACGATTATACAACATTGGTTTGCTATTTGTAATACAGACGAGTCACAGAAATTATGACTTTCCCTATTTAAGTACTATAGGCAAATTTAAATAACATACTTTAACGGTTTAAAACGCGATATATTTTAATTAAACTGGTACAAAAATATTTTTAACTACGGCCCGACGTTTCGGATGCTTTGCAGCAGCCGTGGTGACTGGGAGAATTAAAGATGGAGGATGTCTCTGACGTCAAAGTAATAAACTGCTACACTAGCGCCATCTGCTCATTTTTATTTAAAAATAATTTTTAAACAAGTTTAACTAAAATATATCAAGTTTTATTTTTATTTAAACCGTTAAAGTGTTTTATTTAAATGTGTAGGTACTCGCGTAAACTACAGACAGTATACCATAATTATTTACTTACTTTTTAATAATTAAGATGATCAAGATATAATGATTTATTTTTGTTATATGAGATTTATATAGCATAAGACTGTTTGATAAAATTTAACATGGAAATATGTCTCATATATATCATATATAAGGTACGTGTATAAATGGAATGATGAAAGTCGACGATGACGGGCCTCGGTAGCTCAACTGGTAGAACCACACAAAATACTGCAGTCGTGGGTTTGAGTCTCACCCGCGTCATTGAATATATAGTTAACGAATTAAAGTAGTAAGTAGTTATGTATATTGATTGAACAGCTAATTTATAAGGAATAAAATATGTAATTTTCATAATTGTAAACTTCTTATTCACTTGCTTTAGAGTTAACAAAGGTTTTAGCTGTTTATAGTTAATGTTGTTTGTTCTAGACTTGTATAGTTAAGCTAACTAAACTTTCTATTGCCAATACGCTTCCTACTTTCTAAGGTCTAGTACTTAGAATGTAAATAATTAAGGCCAAGTTATGTAATAACGTAGTATGTATGTTTAATTACATTATGGTTATGTATTTACACATCCATCCATTGTTTATATATATGTATCACTACACTGCAGGGGAATTTATATTGTAATTAAATCAGTAACATAGCTAGATGAACAAGGGCCCTCATCCATAAGAAAGAACTTGCCCTCGTCTTAAACCCCAAAATTACAGTTAATTTAATTTAATCCATATTTTATTTACTTTTTGTTTATTGCCTTTATAAACGACCTCGACACATATCTTTATTACAATGTATAGTTATGTATAAGCTTTAGGCAGTGGTATAAACAGGACTTAAACTTTTGTACCTATTACAAAAAAAAATTACTGTGTAAGGCTTACCCTTATTTTAGCACTAAATCTAGTTCACGTCAATGCACTGTACGTTCCGAATAAGAATGACCCACGGACCGACAAAACATCTTATATAATAATACATAACAATTGCATAAACTTCTTAAATCCGCATTCGTTGAACACACTATTACATACCTTATTCCCAAAGTATAAGGTTTTTAATTGATTAACAGTTACTTACTTGATATTCAGATTTGCACTCAAATAATTTGGTAAACGAATTTCAGCTTAATCGCAGTTTATTAAAGTCGACATTTTGTTGTATTTCTTTGAATTGGTTAAGTTGATGCTCCGTATAGCTGTGTATATAAAAATAAACTTTAATACATTGCTATAAAGTTTAAAATTTCCTGTAAAAAGTCATCGTGTGACTAAGACAATCTAGCGCAACTTTGGGATATCCCAGCTGTTTGAGGCTTAGAAAGTGTGGAGAAGGCTTTTTTAGACTTGTTATTATAACGTTAACAATTCACCGAATCTTTTATAAATCTTGTCATATATAGCAATAAATATAATCGTTCATCGGTTCCGGGCAAACAAGTTAGAGTAAGACATATTGCTCTAATCACACAACATTTGAGCTCGAACACAAGTAGAGTAGTTTAAGATACAAATAAAATATTTTAACGGTTTAAAACGCGAAAACTATTGCTTAAAATGTTTTTAATTAAATTTAACTATGGCCCGATCTTTGGGGTGATGCAAAGGATATATGTTTAACGTTGTAAACTGTTAGAAGTGTTATTTAAATGTGTACTACGCGTTAATTGCAGACATTATTCAGATTTAGGTACTTTTAAAAAACAAGTCTACGATTATTAATAATAAAATTATTGTTAATAATACTCTTTCAATACTTATAATATTTTTATAATGTATTTATGGCTTATAAATGTAATGAGATCTCGTTATAGAGGCGTTCATTCTCATAATATTGAAGCCAATAATATAATATTAATACTCGTCAAAATTCCTTTTCTACATCAAAAATATACTATTTTCGGTGTAAATATAAATCCTTAATTGGCATTTTAGGGATAAAAACGAAATCGATTCAATCTTCCGCTTTGTAAATATAATATGGATGCGTGCTTAATACCGTATAATTGGCAATTTCACGTAATTTGAATGTTTATTTGTATATTATGAGAATAGTGTTTTTACTATATCATTATTCTTCAATTTATTTATTAAAAAAAATAAAAAAGTTGTTTCCATAGCAACGCAGCCCGCCATCGTGTCCTGTTGTTTTTCATAATTTAGTTCATGGTTGATACTTCGGAACTTGCAAAACTCATTTCTCTTTATACACTTTCCTAACAAGATGTTAAGAAGGTTGTAAGGTGGTTTTACCCTTTGTTAAGAAAACGTTAGGCGAGACTCGAAGCCTGGACCTTTTGATGATGGAGAGGACAAACAAGCATGGGGTTCGATTGATGGGCGGTGAAATACCGTAGCCACGACTTATTCCCATGTCCACCCATTTTGGGTTTTCGTATTCGGAACACTTGGGTTCATCATCATATAAGGACCTGATTCCGCAAATGTCGTTCTGTTGTTTGTATTTAAAAAGGAATCATTATTTTTATATAACATATTCTCTCTTTTGAAGTCTTAAACCGTTTTCGTTTTCATACGAAAACGGTAATTTGTAATATTTTTAGATAAATAGTTTTCCCTGATTTTCCCACATTTTGCAAAGTTAAGCCATCCTAGGTAATTGGTCTATCTAACACAATAATATTTTTTCAATTCGAATCAATAGTTCCTAGACTACACGACTACAAGACTATCACGTTCAAATAAACAAAAAAATCTCTTCAGCTTTACAATATTAGCATATTTTGGTCTTGGGAGTCTCCCCGTGACCACGGCTGCTGCAAAGCATCCGAAACGTCGGGCCGAAGTTAAAAATCATTTTTAAATAAGTTTAACTAATATATCGCGTTTTAAACCGTTAAAGTGTTTTATTTAAATGTGTACTACTCGCGTAAACTAACTACTCGTAGATAGTATATTTTGGGCTTGTTCACAAGAAGTATGTACATACGTATAGATCAGTTAAACAGAATAAATGATTTGTCGATAAACGCACAATAGAATTTAGAATAAAAAATATTCTAAATTTAAATTCAAATTCAAATCTTTTTATTGCCATTTATAAAATTACAGTAAATTTATAACTAACAACTAAATTGGGTAAATGAAAACTACATACAAATAATAAATACATAAGAATTGGCAATCGGTACCAGCCTCAGCTGAGCTGCTGGATGCTTGTCACACTCAGCAGCGCTGGTTTACGTGAAGCACATTATTTTATACGCTTTATAAATTGAGTTTTCGTATACAACGTAAATAATAGCGTAGAAAGTCTAATAAGATGAGAAGACGGACACAATGAGTCACCAAGACACATAAACTTGAAACACTGTTCGACAAACATACATTGGCTAACATTTGATGCATTGACTACAGATTATAATTTTAAATGATATAACACGTGATAAGAAATTCTATGCGTTAATTGTGTATAATAAGGTCTATTTTCCTACATTATTGCTTCAGCTTTCTACCTAGGAACATTGATTAGCAGAAAGCGTATTTAATTTGCCGATTAAAATTTTGTTGACATTGTTTGGATATAAAAATGTGCCCATAAATAAAAATTGATTTTTACCTACAAATTAGGATATTGATTTGACGGCCTTCGTTGGTCTAATATTAGCAATGTTTGCTTAATAATCAACGGATCTTTTTCCAATTTATAATTTTTCTAAAACATGTTGGACTTCGTCTGGAAATCTGTATATTAGATGGGTTGTAAGAATTCCGCCTGGGTCACGAACCACACATGAAATGTCCACAGATGAAAAAGCCGAGAAGCTTAATCGCGTTACGGTTTCAGTCTATGGTTTTCGAATTGAGTCAAAATAGGTCAACAGCGCTTGTTTAAATGTATCTAGGCTTGCTTGTAGGCTGCTTATCTTCCTCATCTTAATGATGAGGAAGATAAGCAGCCTACAATGGGGAAGCCACTATTCTGTATCTGTCTTTTTTTTGTTAAACTTTTGTTTCTCTATTAAAATGTCAAATATTTTTAACTGCAAATTCCTTATGGATAGAAATTAGGAACTTTTAATATAGACGATTGCATTACATTGAGCACAAACCGAGAGAATATGGAACAATTGTGCTGGACAGCATAATGCGGTTATTAATATTTAATCCTTCATTTGCATAGTCCGTACTGATATTATCCTACTTAAATACTGTCTGTTGTTTGCGGAAGTAATACACATTTAAATAAGACACTTTAACGGTTTAAAATGCGATATCTATTAGTTAACCTTATTTGAAAACTATTTTAACTGCGGCCCGGCGTTTCAGATGCTTTGCAGCAGACGTGGTCACAGGGAGACTCTCTCCGTGATCATGGGGAAGATTTTTATTTTAATATTCTACTTTTAAATTAAATCATTCAATTCTTTATTGATGGCGTAACATGTTAAATATATTCTACCAATTTTAAAGCGATAAATTATTATTTTGCAGGTATATAAATAAAACAGATCTTTAGTAAAAAAAAAGAAATTTATTTCTTAAATCAATAATTGGATAAAGTAACAAAAAAATAAATATTACCTTACTATATAATAATTTACAATAAATAGGCGTAAAAATAAGTTAATAAATAATTCAAATAGTTCTACACAAGCATGCAATAAATAACAATCACACAATACTTAAATAACAATGAGCAAGTTTTTATTTAATATTTACACCTTAATTATAAATGTTTACATATAAATGCCGAAATGTCTTTTTCAGTAGTTGTGACGTCACAAAAACTAAATACAGACGTAACATAAAAATATACGAAATAACCTTCTTTCAGTGGGTACAAGTTTCCGCTGAAACTATACTACATTTTTTCAATGTTTAATAGGCCTTCAAAAATTACATTTAGGGAATCAACTATTACCGCCATCCACCAAACACTATAGCGACAAACATTCTTGAAAGAATATGATTTAAATAAAACACTTCACGGTTTAAAACGCGATATCCATTAATTAAACTTATTGCGTATTAAACCGTTAAAGAGTTTTGTTACGCGAGAAGTACACACACTACTCGCGTAAACTGGACAGTACAATTAGATTATCATTTGAAAAAATATTTTAAGAACCGTAGATTTTATCTATCTATTTACAACATTTACAAACCCTTAATCGTAGTAACAAAATCATCCCAGTTTATTTTTTTTAATGTACAATGCTATGCTATATTTTGATAACCACAAATATACAACAAACAGCGCCCCCAATGGTTACCCTTAGAACTAAACATATTCCTATTCAACAATGTTAATAATACATAAACTTCTATAATATATCAAAGGTTCTGTAAACGTCTGGCAGATACCAGCTTGTTAATATCATGATAAGCGGCTATCATTGTGTGAGTGGGGGTAGTAACGGTGCAGCCAGGACTGAATTGGAGACAGTCGGTTCCCTCTTGGCCGCGTCTTGCAGCCCTCATGTACTTGAAGAATCGGAGAATCTCAGGATTATCAGACACTGGACGGCGGAGCTCGTTCAGTTCCCTGCAAATATAAATAGTTAAACTTTTACATGATAGCTTTGTATTATATACGCAAAGAATGCAGCGGCCGTGGGTTCGAGTCTCGCCCATGTCATTATATATAAATTATAGTCTTAAAGTCTTGCTATATCTTTTGTTTTTTAATAAATTTGTTCCTCAGTATTTAAGAAGTAGATTTAGGTTTACGTGTCGTATTTGAATTTAGGAAAAATATGACAAATAAAAAATACAAGGAGAAAAAATCGAAAAAAAATATATAAAGATAATAGAAGCACTTATAACGATTTAAAATTCGAACTATTATACATTAGTTAACTTACTAATAATACTATAAATAAGTACACTAATAAGTTTCGAGTTTGAAACGGTTATAAGTGTTTTATTTAAATGTGTGCGTGTGCGTATACACATACTCTATATTAGGTATGTGCAATGTGCATTATTAAAGTAGTATTATTTTTATGACTTAGGAGTATTAATAATATTAACGAGGCAACAATTATGGAAATAAATTATTTAATTACAGGGAATTTTCCCGGAAATAGTTTCAGGTTTTTCATCGAATAAAATGCTAAGCTGTACCTGTTTGGTCTAACGATTTCAGGCGGAAATTAAATTTACATCTAAGCTTATTAAATAAAAGATGAAGCTCTACCTGCTTAGCTGAGCTGAAACCAAATTACTGTAGGGTGCATATTTCGCTGGATTAGCATACATTAAGCATATAAGCTGTTCTCGGCAAGCTTCCAGCTTCGCATCGCTTAAGTTTTGGCTGCCGACTTGTGGTTCATTAGTTGCGGTCTCAGTGGGTGCAAGACCTGAAACAAATGATTTTCTTTATGATAGAGGAAGAAAGAGAATCAAGGGGTTCGGTTGGAGGTAGATTCCACCAGCCATCAACATCTAAGCGCCTTTTAGCTTTGAAATCCACGGAAGAAAACGAAGCGAAACTTCACGGCTTCTTCTGTGAACGGACGGAATTCGTAAATCCAAACGGATTTTTAGATTCCTAACGATTTGATAACTTTAAGGCACTATTCACTTGTACATGCCTACATCTTTTTTAGATTCCTATAAAATTTTAGTTTTTTTCCCTAGATAATAAGAATATTAGTTTTAACTTATCATAAGAGACGGGACTGTTTAGTTTCCTAAGTAAATAAAAAAAAAAATATCCAGATGTTTCATAAAAATTATAAATTGATTAGAGAAATGTTGGACGAACTCACGATCCGGTGATAGTTAGCCACAATTGCACCAATGTTTGTACACGCTTGCCCGTCTTAAATTTTTTTACCTAATATTTGAAATTAGTAATTTTATATCAACATCGAAAATAATGCCTTCATAAATCAAGGGCTAAGTGTTTACTTCAGTTATGAAAGTATGTTTGAATACCAGGGAAACAATAATTTCGGGCATAGCAGAAACAACTAATAAAAATCCGAAGCCAAAATAGGTCGATTGCGCATCATTGAGATGATGAATGGGGTATTTAACTTACTTGCTTGTTTGTCCTCCTTTGTATCTTTATTTATAAAAAAAAAATCGGACACAGTTATGTGTATGCCCCAATCCCCACATGGGGTATTGCATCACTATTACCTATGAAAATATATAGATTCTATATGTAATTTATAGATCTTTAAATTGCTAGGGGGCTATTTTATCTCTCTCGGGACTGTAATCGGCCTGCAACACATTTTTAAGTATTTTCAAAGTCTTACCGAGTCTCGCGAAAATCCCATCAAGCCTTGATAACAAAGGCGAGTAAAAGGGATCGTAATTACTAAGAATCATAGAAGATGCTGGAATTTTCTGGAACATCTGCAAATTAAAATATATAAAATTATTTCATGGAAACAGTTTAAGATACACCTAGATTCTATGTTAATACAGTTTATTAATGATATTCTACAATAAAGTATGAAAACATTACAGTCTGGTATAATTTTTTTACAGGCTTTGTTTTCTGAAATTTGGTAATTTTCAGAGAGACAAACAAACTTCTAATTATGTGATTTTGTACTTGCATCCGATATAAATTTACATTTTATCTACCTCCGTATATATCAATATTTTGTATGATAACCTTAATTATATTTATTATAATTGCTTTTAAGAACATTAAGGAGGAAAATTAAATGGTTCCCATTTAATGCCGGTGTAACGTTTTCTACGGAAAATCAAAGCGTTACGTGGTACCCTTGTTAATGTCAATTAATTATTCTAATTAAAATAATTTACGGTCTTGCTCTAATAAATTTTGGTTTAAATTATACCATATTAAAATGAGATAGCTGTAATATGGGAATTTATTATAAATAAACACTTTCAACGGTTTAAAACGGAAAGTATATAGTAACTTATTGATCTAGGGCCTGACGTTTCGGGTACTTGGCAGCAGTTGTGGTCACGGGGCACTGTGCACAGTTACACAAATTAGTTACCAAAGTGTTTTATTTCAACGTTCGCATGCACGTTAGGTATAGACAGGTACTTTTTGTGTTCCCACTATTTTTTTTTTTTAATTAATTCAAACTATTTTTATTATTTAGTATAGATAAATGCGGTACTATGCGTTTTATATCTTAGGAAAGTATTTTAGGTTCTTTAACTGTTGCATTGGCTAAAACTGAATTAAATATAAAATGTATTTACCTTATAATTATTAGTCATCTGGTTTTTGTAGTAACTGTTCTTGGAAGGCAAGTAGGAGACTTTTTGGCCTCCCATTCCGAATCTGAAAAAGATATGACGAATTTATTAGCTTGTAAACGAACTTTTTAAACTATTACCTATGTTAAATACTGTCTATAGTTTACGCGAGTAGTACACATTTAAATAAAACACTTTAACGGTTTAAAACGCGATATATTAGTTAAATTTATTTTAAAAATGATTTTTTAACTTCGGCCCGACGTTTCGTCTCCCCGTGACCACGGCTCCTGCAAAGCATCCGAAACGTCGGGCCGAAGTTAATAATCATTTTAAAATAAGTTTAACTAATATATCGCGTTTTAAACCGTTAAAGTGTTTTTTTTTTAAATTATGTATGTTTTATATTAAATCTGTCGATCTTTTTTGGCTTTGGATATTCGGAAATCCACAGATTGAAACCGAAACGAAATTAAACTTGATGGCTTTTTTTATCTGTGGACGATGGTTTTGACGCGAATAATCTAAAAGGTTAATCCTATAGCCGCGTCATAATAGCGACTTGGTCGTTAAATCAAGAAATGTAAGCGCCATACAATGGCACATTAATACATATACAGGCAACATAATTATCTCTTCCGTTACATTAAATTGCTTTGATGTGATACAGTGATTTATTAAGAAAGGGAGATGAATAGTCATTTTAGTGCCATTCAAGATACAAATAAATTCAGGGAAGATGAATAGCGCTTTTAGCCGTGCCGTTACAAAGGATTTTTTATAAGCATAAACATATATATTTACAGATATTCAATATGATATTCGTCTTTTGTATAGCATAGACCATTCAGAAAAGTTAAAAGGGGTTATTAATTTTTGTGGGATTTCGCTGTGTGCGCTGGGAACTCGATTTCATGGAACAAAAATATATATGAAAGAATGATTCTTCTTTCTTCTTCTTCTTTAAATGATCTCAAAAATAGTAACCGATAGTCTTATGTATTTACTTAGTGCAGTATCATATAAGATAAACTTGAAAGAACCACGGCCTCGTTCGACGTCGAGGGTAAGTGAGTACTTGATATTGATAAAAGATTTAAACATATAAAACTAAAAGTACCTAACAAAACGGTTTCAAGAGAAGGGTCGAATATCGCGATACCGGCAAAACAACTTTCCTATAGAAACTTTAGAAGCGATAGGAAGTAACAAGATGTAATCTTATACGTATTGTGAACGTCTTAAAGCTTTTCACGAATTTGAAACGAACGATTAAGGCTGGTGCCTAATGCTCTTAATTGGATGGATAAAAGTACAGTGTAATTGAGAAGCTCTATAATCAAAGTAAGTGAAAATGACTCTGAAATTAAGTCGCGTGACGAAGCTACTTTTAGTTGAACTTTCCAGAACACAAATTCTGACAGTAGGACGATGTTTAAATAAAGCACTTTAACAGTTTAAATCGCGGAAGTCTAATGATGGTGGGTGTATTTTATGTCAAAGTAAAAACTGCTACGCTAGCGCCATCCGTAACATCACTTCTGGTTCAGTGTTTTATTTAAATGTGTACTACTCGCGTAAACTACAGACAATATTTAGTAGCTCGATGTAATTTGGGTATTATATTATTTATCTTCGCAAACAACCTCCTGAGCTTTATAAATTTTAGCCATTACCTATGACATTTGACGTCGTTCTTGCGAGTTAATCTTCAGTGATAAACATATACTGTCGCGCACATTTATGTAAAATGATTTAAAAAAATGTTTGTCTAAAAAAAGAAAAGCTATAAGCTATCAAATATCACGCTGCTATCAATACGAGCGAAGGATCAATGGGTAATGTGAAAAAGCAGGGAAAATATTTATCTACCTATGATTCCTGTATGTCTAACTCAATATCTAGCTTTTAAGATATACTTATAATAATGGCAGGACCGACCGACGTCATGGGCAACAGCTAAAATTGATAAAGATAAGTTTGTACAAAACAAATTTTGATGCCCAAATTAACTTATGATTTTGTAGTCGAATATAAAATGATATTTTTATATACTACGTGTTTCTACTGCTTACATAAAAAAGTAATATAAAATTAGTATTGAATAAAACGATAATATAAAAACTCGTTGAAGTAATTTGAACTACCTCGTCTGAAAATATCTAAAAATACCAAGTATATCTAAAAAAAAATTTTTTAATATCTAATTAATAGGATTGAAAAAATATATAATGAAAAGCATTAGTACGGTTTATCAAAATATCTCAACTGTTGCTAACAAACTGTGACACGCGAAAGCTTGTTTAGTACAATTTCCTTTCAATCAGCGATTGAAGGGAGTTCAAATTGGGTATATTTTGTCACTTAATGAATTTAAAGACGCAATTCGAAACGAATCATTACGATGAGGTTTTATAAAACGCAATAAAACCTTTTTGGTGGCGCTTTCAAATAATAAGGTATTATAATTATAAATTAATATATTCGTTTTGTCAGTAAGATGATTAATAATACAGCAAGTTTGCTGTACTTTTTAAATTATTAAGAAACACATTGCCTTGATACCGCTACAACGTTTATCACGATACGTCCAGGGTTCGCGAATCCTAATTGAAAAATGGAGAATGACGAAATAATTCGAATTTTAATCGACTTTTTTATATTGTGCCATCATGTGCGTGAAAACACAGAATTTTTCAAGAAAATTAATCTCACCTAGACATATCGACGTTAGCTAAATCGCTAGAATCGCCTTCGCCGTTGCCATACTCCTGCGCATACGCATATGTCCCGGCTTGGTTCGTTTCATATCCCATGAAGTCCTTATTGTCATAATTGTTCGGGTCTTCGGTGTTTGCTGGAGGATAACTGGCTTGGCTTGAAGTGGCTGAGAGGTGAGATATTCCTGTAAGATTTTAATGAAAATAAGTGAAGATGTTATGATACTTATCTATTAGGATATTCTTTTGCCCTTTTAAAAACAAACGCAAACAGCAGAAAGAAAAAAATAATTATGATAATACATGCTCACAAAAATACCTCTCCCTAACGCAAAGTTTACTTGAACAACTGTAGTTTACGCGAGTAGTACTCGTTTAAATAAAACACTTTCAACGGTTTAAAACGCGACATATATTAGCACCGCATGACCACGGCTGCTGCAAGGTATCCTAAACGTCGGACCATAGTTTAATTAAATTAAGGATAAGCTAATATATTACGCATTTTAAATCGTAAAAAGTTTTTATTTAAAGTGTACTTTTCAATATCGGAGATGGAAACATTTTGTTTTTTCTACGTCAAACTCGCATACGACTACTAACTGTTGCTTATTGTAGTAACATTAAATATAGTATTCCTATAAGCATAGAATAAAAAGGTGTAATAACGATTTTTAAATTAATATGGCTAACAGGTTTTACGTTATATTTTTGTGTTCAATTACTACTATTTCGTGTTACTTCCGTACAGTGTATTAGTAATCTACAAAGTTAAGTTAAGTAGAATCCAGAGAGGCTAAAACTAATAAACCCATGATAAAAGATAAAGCTTCTAGTTTATCAAGTTCCCAGAGTCCTTACCTTTTCCGAGAATTTTCCCAAAACTTCCTAATATGCTCGGCAAAAACATCGCCAAGAGAATACTCTTGAAAACTTGCATGCCTATTATTAGTGGGAGGAAGAACTTCTTTAACCCAAACGCTGAAACAATGGAGAAAATTAGATCTTATGATTATGTGGTTGTACACTAATGGCGCACCTAATTGTGTAGAAAATCCAACTTATTTTGCTTTGCGGGCTTGTTGGTCTATTGATAACAATTGGTGACTTATATTCAACGGGATGTCGGTTCGATCCCCTTCGGGTCCAACATATTTCTAATCAACTTATAATTTTACTGACATGTCGGGAATCTGGACATCAAATAGGTGGTAGGAATATCGAAATTCCGGCACGGGTCAAGAATAACCACAAATAAAAAACTGAGCAGTTTGTTCGCATTTCAGTCGGGATGGCTTTTAGGATATCCATAGACATATTTTTGGAAACATGATACAACATGAATTCCACCATTTCATAACTCTTCTTTGTTCTTGTCTCTTCTTCTCTATCATGTATAAAAAAATTCCAAGCAATCCATATGACCCAGGATTCGCCAGAATCTGTTGTCACATTGTGACTGACTCAAGCTCACTTTTGTTTACCTACTTTAAAATCGACGGTGATTAATTAACCGAAAAGACCGAAATCTAAGTATAAAAGAGACGGCAACAGAGATAGCCTTAAAAATCCAACAACAAATAAGCTTTCTAATTAAAATAACGATGTTAAGGAAAATTTACTTTTTGTATAATAAAAATTGAATGTTTAGTCTAATGAAAAATTTTCGACATTTCTTTTTCTTGAATGGATAGAGATTTTCCTAATCTATTCAATACACCATTATTATATATTTTGATTCACATTCTCTCAATATGCAGCCACACGTCCTGATAGTAAAAGTGATTACTGCAAAAAAATTAAACTATTTTTATTCACTGTCAACAAGCATAAATGTATACTGTTCATTCAGAAGCATTGCAGGTAACGACGTGTAATAATTATACTTAAACAAAAAAACATGTCTAGACAAAATGCAAATGATTCTCATTACATTCTTTACTCCGTTAGAAATGTATTTTAATTGCATAGACTTTTCACTTTATAAGCCTAAGCTGTAGTCTTTTATACGCCAGGTAGGCATCGTACATCCTGAAGGGTAACGCGTTACGCTGCGTTAATATGCTACCCATTTATTAATGGTAAGTCACCTCGCCAAAGACAACGTCACGTTACCAAACTAACCATACTCGAATTGTAATCGATGATTCGAAATAACTAAAGACGTGGCTCAGAGGTTGTGAAGAAAGAATGAATAAGGGTAGGTACATATCCATAATATTACAAGAAGTGGCGTAACACGAGAGAAACTGATTTTATTAAAAATAAATACTTACATCTGAATCCTATAAGCCTCGCTGCCTTAGGTAAGTTTATAGACAGTATATGCGTGTCTACAAAATCTTTAACTTTCTTGAACAATCTATACTCATAGGTATACGAGCTAAAAAGAGCTCTAGCTTCTTTATCTTCCTTTCTTTGAGCGTTCGTTTTATTCACATTCACAGACTTTATTTCGAATCCGTCAAATATTTCATATCGCTCCTTATTCAATGCTTCGTCTATTGCTCTTTCTAGAACGTGACTCAGGTCTCTCTCTGTGTTATTTACAAATACATATTTCTCACAAAATTCACTAACCGATTCTATTAAATTACCTACGAAACTGTCTTCTTCCGATCTATTTACAATTGTATCTTGACTATTTTGACAGGTATGGCAGGTACTAGATTCTAAAGTATTATCTAATGTTTTGGTTTTACTACTTGATTCACTGTCATTGACAGTTTGACAACTGCTTTTAGAGATAGAGCACAGTATTAGCAAGATCGTTATCCCCTTCGTGCACTTCCACCTTCTGTGTACCCGCTCTCGTTTCATTTCCATATTGCGTTCTTTTTATCTTCATCACCGAATGATTTCCCGTAATTTATAGTGAAAATCTGCAACAAAGAGGAAGAGTATTAAATTTCTTAAAGAAAATTGCGGAGCATCGAGCGGTTATAATGGGTTCCCACTATTGTTATGTTGATTGAGAAAATGTCCGGGCATTGTTGGGGGTCGGGATCGTAACAATAAGTTTAAGTGTCGTTATGACGTCTGTATATTTCTATTGTGGTATTTTATGTAATGTTATGAATCGTTTGCATATGACATTTAATATGCGTGTTACTTGACTTAGCTCATTACTTTTTCTTTGTATGTATAAAAGTGTAAGGCGCAAAACTTAGACACTATGAAGTTCGTGAACATCGTAAGCGTCTGCAAGTGTTTGGTGTTACTTTATAACATTTTATACGGAGGAAATTATATAAAAAATGGACAGAAAGTACCGCTAGTTGTTGGCAGTTTGAAATTGATTCTCCCTTGCAGGAAGTTTGTTAACGAGTCATTCAGCCTCAAGTTTTGCAGAGTTCTGATAGACAAAGAGCTGATGCTTTCTTTCACATATATAACAACATAATAATTTTAAAATTGTATTTGTATATTTATCATCGGCACAATAAAGGCGAATAAAAAAACATAATGAAACGAGGATTAACTAAAATACTACCAATACTTTTTAATGTTACTTTCACCAAATCTATCTTATTAAATCGAATTAATATATGCGTAGTAATAATGAAAGATTATGGCATAGTGATCTCATATTATACAGTTCCTGTCACCAGCTCCCCAGCTAGGTACGAAACTTATTTGCCGTTTGAGAACTTACTGTCCTCTTTAGACCGTCTTTTGAATAGTTTTAGGTTAACATTTGGTCGAGAGAGGGGAATGTTTGGACTGTAATTTTCGTTCATTATAACTCGTTCAAATCAATTCAGTAATGTAATCGTAAAAAGAGGAAGTATATAAAATTTACAAGATCGATATTGGCAGTCTCTAGAATTAAAATTGAAAGAATCTAGCTTTATGAATAAGTTAATATTAAGCTAAGAAAGCAATTTAGTTGATTTTAAGGTAATTTTAAAATATCTTCACGTCTAGACTTCAAGAAATAAGTTGCACTAAAAATATTTGTTTTTCTACAGCTTTGCTGTAAACTAAACACATTTAATGGACTGGTATAAAGCTGAAAGCCAAATAGTTACCGAGACAGGTGTTTAAAATCGTTCTTGATGTACCTCACCCACAGACTCTACTTACTATCTACTTTGAAGTTTTATGATGGCATTTTATAGTCTATAATATTATTTACGGTGTAAATAAGTATAGTCTTGTCGGTGTACCTGTTACTCCTGAAAATAACGAGTTCCAAGTTCGAATTCCTTGTTCAAAATGTTAGTTCGATTTTTGAAAATTATCAAAAAACAATTCTAGTATTACACTGGAGGTCGAAAATCGGAGTACATGTTAAGCCGTAGGTATCGATTATCATTACTAATTTAATAGCAGCGGTAGTCGTAAAACGCCGCTTACACTTATTGGAGTACTTTGCTGGGTGTCAGCGCTATACTTTCTCTTATGAAAGCGATTATCTGTGCCTAGTACCAGGATAACATAATAACACAAGAGAATCCTTGTTCTATCTTCTATCTATTTTAAGAGGCAATAAGTTGGTCAGCGATCGAATTTACCATTAACAGGTCGTTCAAACGGCCCTTAAAAATATATTTCCGCAAATAAATAAGCTTCTAATATCCGTGAATCCGACGCTCAGTCATAATTTCTTACGCGGCGATTTATTTGTTTTCCGTCAGCGCCTTATAATATTATGTCCCTTAAGCTGTAATTCAGATTCTGCGAATAATGATATGGATAAGAAGTTGAAATGTTTACTCAATTTCTGATTAGCTACTTGATGACATTCTCCGCACAAAATATTTATTCATCAGTAAAACACTTTTAAAAAGTGTGAAATATCTATTTAATGATTTTATTTTACCCCGAAATTTCATATGTTTTGCAGTGGCCGTTAGTGTTTTATTTACATGTGTACACCCGTAAACTTTAAGCATACATACATTAAAAGAATTGTTTTTTTTATTCGGTTTTAGGTCTTCATTTCGTGATTTCATTTATATTACGAATGATTTGACGACTTACGTTATTCAAATGAGGTGAGGTGTGTATTTTAAGCGATACTCTCGAAGATTCTACTGGAATAAATATACACGGTTTCATTGGTCGCTTAATAGAACAACATCCAAAATATATTTCTCGAAAGGTTTTTTTTTAATGATAAAGGAGGTTAGGCAGGCTCACTTGATGGTCGAAGATATACCCGAGCCTATAGAATCTAAACAAGTTCCGCTGTCGGCCTATTTTGGATTTGCATATTCGGAAGTCCACAGTGAAACGTGATTAAACTTTACGGGTTTTTCAGCTGTAGGCGGTGGTTTGTGACCCGAATGGATATTCGGATATTCCTACCACCCATTTAATATTCAGATTGTTTGTGGACCCGGTGGGGATCGAACCCGCGACCCGTTGATTAGCCGTACATTGCTACCATTACACCAATCAGCCCGTTAAAAGCGCCGTCGAGTGGATGGCGTATACTCGTGTTTCGAATAAAAAGTACCTTAAGCACTCGGATACAAGGGATTATTGGCTTCATATTCAAATGATTTTTATTTACGAAAAAACATTTAACATAGCACAAAAATTCTGCCGCAACTCAGCGTGATAAGCTGGATTAATTTCGCGTCGGAATATATTTCAGAGAGTCTCTATACGCCATTTTAATTTTTTACAAGCTTTATTTGTAATAAATATGTGACTTTATTATATTAAAATGTTAATAAATAATAATTCCTATATGTTTATTTAAGTCAATTTCACACATATATAAACAAAACATAGACGCTTTTAAATAAAACACTTTAACGGTTTTAAACGCGATATTGTAAAGCATTTGATAACGTTTTTTAACTACGGCTCGACGTCGGATTGCAGCAGCCGAGTTAAAAAACATTTTCAAAAAAGTTTAACTAATATATCGCCGTTTAAACCGATAAAGTGTTTTATTTAAATGTGTACTACTCGCGTGAACTATAGACAGTATATATGCTTTTTCACCTTAGGATGGCCCCAGACATTTCTGTGCCTGTTTCAGTAATCAATTACTGCCGGGCAAAGTAATTAGTCAAACTTTTGTGCCCTGCTCGGGCAAATTTAGCCACAACCAATGATTAAACTAGTGTGACTAGTGTTTAAACATGGGTCCACTGGTGTACAAGTGGAATTTTGAATTCAAACATGTTTAATAAGGATAAAGCTGTATATGTTCACAATAAAGCGAACACTGTTTATTTTAAACTGAAGCTCTACAATCTACAATTCTATAGACAGTGCCCTAAAAGACAAAGGTGAAATACCAAAGAACAAAAGGTTGCCTAGAATTTTAAATAAAAGAGACTATTTTGAATTTAATACCGCTATAAATTGAATTTCCAAGATAACGACAAACAGATAATAAAATGTAGTGAAGTAAAGCCTCTAGTCCCTAAATCCCACACAGATGAAGATTAAGGTGTATTCATACTTTTCTTAGAAGTTACTTTTATGAATACTTTATTGACTTTAAATGTCTAAATTTTACGATTATTAATGAATTAAATATAATTTAAGAATTTAAAGCAGCGTAAATCGATGGGCTATATTAGTGTGATAGTGAGTATAACTAACTAAATTTAAATACTGGCATAAGTTAATAGTTTTATCAGTACTAAAAATTACTACTGTGGAGGAAGTTTATCCAATGAACAAATCCTACGTAGTGGTACATATCATGGTAGGGTAATATTTTTCAATTTTCCAAGCATAACACTATGACAACTTATAAAGATTTATGGAGCGAGTTCTTGCTGCCTTGTGGTTTCCTGTGTGAGATAAAGGAGGACCTCCGTTGAGGCATTCGTTAGACATAATTTTTTCTAATATATTGTATAATAATTTTTATCAACAATTTAAGCAAAAATCATTTATTCAAGTAGTTAACAACACATACACATTGAATGTCAGATTTACAACTACTTCTCAAATCAAGGGCGTAGAACGAACGAGAAGAACTGGCAAGAAACTCGCCGTCACTCCTTTTATCGCCAAGCTTTTTTTAACATACACTACAGTATATCGACTTCGACTATTTTGGGATTTCAGAAACAACTTAATTAAAAAATCCTGAAAAATTATAGTTCCAGGTTCCAAAGTAGCTCCAGGTCTACTTGTAAATAAAATCAGTTAACGGACACAGAAATATATCAGACCCATACTCTACATGACTTCTTCAGTAGCTAAATGGTTAAACGTGTTGCTTAAGCAGTAAAATAAGCGCGGTAGGTCCGTAGAATTCATAGCCCGGGGAAACAATAGTTTCGGTCTAGCAGAGCACAGAAGTCTGATCAACTGCTTGCCTGTAAATAAACAGTGAAATGGTCACAGAAATGGGTTCGTCCCACGCCCCACGAAGGGAAACAGGATTTCACTCTTTAATACGTAGAGTATTCGAGAAATTTAATTTCATATTGTTTCGATCATTTAATCGAACAGGCTTCAATTAATATTTATTTATAGCATGATAAAGTCCTTAAGCCTCAAAAGTAACTCACATTTGTTACGTACATTCTACGTTTAGCTTCAAAGTATTGGTATATTATAATAAGGGATGCGCCGAGTAACGAGTACCGAGTATTTCGGCGCAATTTTTTTTCAACCGTGTACTCGGTCGAGTAACTCAGTTCAGTCAGTACCATTTCGCGCCCGTAAACAAGTATAAACGGGTTCGCGCCGGTCAAGACATTGGCTCGCTATGATACACCCTTCGCCCGCCCACACCTAACTTTAACATTACTAATGTTGTTTCAATTATATCTACCTAAATTTATTGCTTTTCTTAAACGAAGTATAGTCGTTATCAAATAACAAAGTATAACCGAGTTATT